CAAAAAGAATTGATAAATCTTAGATTTTCCTCTTCGTTATTTTATTCATACAAAATTAATAGAAGCAAAAATGGAATCGGAAAATAAAAGTAAAATCAATCGTTTGGACATAAATCACTTAAAACATTTTAAACTATTAAAAGTAAAATCAGATAGAAACGCGAGCACGAACAGGAATGCTCTTAAAAAAGGTGAAATAACTAAGCGCCTAACGTTATAAAGCACGACCCTGAACCTCCTCCATCCCCCGTAAAGCAAGCTGAGGCACCTCCTCATCCTCCTCCTCCTCCCCCCCCCCCCNATAGCGTCACTTGCTTTATGAACGGCGGCCCTTAACTGCGCAAGCGAATGAAGGAGATGCATTTATATGAAACAGGGTCTACCATAAATACATCTAATCGTAAGTTACTTAAAAACCAAAGAGGGCATTTAATCTAAGCGTTTCGTAATTTGTCGGACGTAAGAAAAAAGTCCGTCAAATTAAATTTCGCGGCTTGCTTACACGAGCGACGGAAATGGATTCGAGCGGAAACGGAAACGACCGTGGTGAATCTAAATGCATCACTAACCGAACCGATGGCAGCGATGCCGAATTAACCTACAAAGTAAAAATTGAAAACAAACAAACAAACCAGTCAAAATTGAATTTGCTCAACAACTGATTACTTGGAGTATTTAATTGATTTATACTGTTTTACCCTTTAAAATCAAATTTTCCTTGCATTACTGGAAACTTACTGGTAAAAATCTTTTAAAAATATAAAGGTATTTTTCTCCGAATCCAATGTTACTGCTGGTCACCGTAACCGTTATCAATCAAATTAAACCTAGAATGAAGGTAAGCTGTTTAACAGGTGGATATCACCTTGCTGCTGCTTATTAAAGTTGGCATAGTCCTCAAATTCAAAACCCACCGAGAACCCCATCTTCCTACAACTCTAGGCCAATCTTTGGTGCGGTCAGAGAAATCACCCCACATAAGTTCTTGTATCAATCTCACCAAAAACATTTCTTTTGTTGATTGTGAGAAACCAACCTCAAAAAAATTTAACATGACAGGCACTAGCAGAGAAAAGTAGCAGAGTCCTCCTAAAGGTACTGTGAAAAATCAATTAATATCTGACAGAAGAGACTCCAACTACTTTGACATATTTACATTGCAGTGATTTTCACCGACAAATATGAAAGGTAATATTGAAGTGTGAAGCGTCTTGAGATGTCAGAGTCAGAGAGAGAGGTCTTTATTCTGCCCAAAAATATGAGAACTAAGCTGAAACAGTTATCACTCCAGCTTTTAAGCATAGATTCAGCTCTTTGCTGGTAGAGTACGCAGTATCCCTGCTGCAAAAGCAGCGGGTCGATTGTAGAATCGTTATCAAATGAACTTGATCACTGAATTCTTATCTTAGCCATGCAATTTATTGAACGCCATTAGATAAAGTTTCAACAATTCGAGCGCAACGTTAACTCTGCTCCTCTACACGCTTTCACAAAATGCCACAATGACAGCAGAGGGGTCGAATACCTGAATTGAGCGCTTATAATAACAAACTTAGATTTTTTTACTTTCGGAGCCAATTATGATTGGATTTCTTACCTTAAAGTGGTAATAATTTTAGTAACTGATTTAGGAGTGGCGTAATTTAGTACTTGAATAGTCAGATTAATAGAATTTACGTTTTTGCCAAGTTTGGAGCTCCTCAAAGGTGGGGGCTACGTCAATAGCCTGTAGATATCCTTAAAGGTTTTTTTCTGGTTACACATGAGCACAGTCAGCGTGAAGTGATCAAGACTTTTTGAAGCTTGTAAGAAAGAAAGTAAAAGACATCATCAGCTGGGACAGAAAGAATGCTTTCCTTCATTCATCATAATTCTAAAATAATTATGATTCAGCTCCTCTGATAGGAAACTTCTTCTCTAACTTGTTCTGTTTTTGTGATTTCAGAAGTCTGTTACTTTGAATTGAAACTGATAAAAAATCAAAGGACAAGATGAGTTATCCCTACAAGGCACCTAGCATGGCAGAAATTTTCCCATTGTCATACCGTAAGTATCAGAAAAAAAATCAATTTGCTCATAATAAAATAAAATGAATAAACTTCCGACATAGGAGTACTTTTTTGGACTTGTCGTTAAATAACGTTTAAGGAAGATGGGAAAATTGATTTTAAACTATGGAAAATGGAAGAAAAATAAAAATTAGGTAACAGACAGAAATTAAAGAAGGAATTGTTCATCAAAGTTGTAGTTATTCTTTCTCTCCTAGCCATTAAAAACAAAGAGTGAACGATGACTTGGCTACTGTGTTACTTCTTTTAATCTCTGGTGGAAAAAAATTCTTATCAACCTGAGGAGGCAGACATTTTCACATTTTGATATCAGGAAATAACTGAAGAATATAAGTTGAAATGCTAGTACCCATACCGCCATTAATGTTGTGAGTTATGACGCCTATGAAACACTACATGAAAGTTTTAGGAGAAATTTCATTTTACTTATGTGATAGTTTAACAAGTTTTAACCGATGAAAATTTGCAAAATTGAATTTACTGCAATATCATTTTTATTTTTATTTCATTTTGTTCCAGAGCAACCGAAGAGTTCAAAAAATTTTATCAAGGAAAATATCAGAAAAGTGAAAGGAGTCAAAAGTAAAACTAGTGAAACTGGCTCTAGGATGTCGGTGGATTCCAGCTGCAAAGGATTTCCACCATTTAAATCTGCTGTGAGTATTAATGAATTCTGAAATTACTTAATCACTTAAAACCCAACATATTTAAAGTGTATGAAACTGTTAAGACTCCAAAATTGCTTAAATCAAAGTTATTTTAAGAAAAAACGGAAAAAAACTTATACATAATTGTCACAGACTTTTTACAACTTTGAACTGCAAAGGAATTTCTTCAAATCAATGCTTCCCGGAGTGGAAGGACTGTTGCTTGGCAACCAACAAACTGCAAGATCGTTCTACTTAAGCCACAAGAGAAGACCTCGTGTGATTAGAAATTAGAAGGAACTGTGCATTCCTACAATGCTAAGATTTTAAGAGATGTATGTTTTCAAATTAAGGTAAAAATTCAAAAATGCATAGTGAATGTAATATATTTGAGTCTTTTTTATTGTAGGTACGGTCCAGAGGCGAATTCGGCAGCCAGTCTTTCGATTCTTTGCGAAAACCTCTCATTGAAAAACAGAAGCTGACAAAACATGCTGAACAACTAATTGAGAAAACCCGCTCGGAAATTTGCTCAAAAATTTCCTCAGCTAGTACTCGCAAAAATTATTCTGATAAAGGTGAGCATCAATATGCATGTTGTGAACTCATGCATGGTGTACTTGTGAATTTTGAGTGAATCAAAACCAGAGCGTATCTACCAAACAGCACATGTTTTAAGAAGTTGTAGTCCCAAGTATTTTTGAATTCCTTTTCATCTGTTGCAGAAAGTTAAAAGTCTTTAAGTTAAATTCAGTTAAAATGCAGACATAAATTGCCATTTTATTAGAAAGGTTTTCTAAATCAGAGCACAAAATGTTATCTGATGAACTGAAACAATCAACATGAAAAATCACCACAACTGCAGTTTTTTGTTCATCATTCCTATTATTATTTGTTTGGTAATTATTTGAAAATTCATTTTCAGAATGTCAAACATATGAAATGGAAAATTTACGAATAGGCGATCAAGACAAACCTGCATCAGCAGCCAGCTCAGCACGGAGCATAGGTTTACAGACAGATATTCTGGAAAATATTAACAAGACTGATAACTTTAGGACGGCCCCTAGTACCAAGATAAAATCACCTCGCTCTAAAAAAAAGGTAATCTTGAGAAAAAAATTGCTAAGCCAACAGTACAAATCCTTTTCCTAACACTTGTATTCATATTCAGCAAAAGAACTTCACTACTCCTATGTGGACCTGAAGTGTGTTCATAGTTGCGCCTAGAGGCTCCTTTCCATACATAAGCCAAAATGGTTTACATTTTGATGAAGATAAGAGAGGCTTCAGAAGACCGCAGAGAATTAGAAGAAGACAATATGGATAAAATCAATAGAGTAATTCTAGGGATGGATCCGTGTTAGGGATCATAATTATTTGCCTTTCCAAAAACTTAAATGCACCTAAAAGAGAAAATTCTTGGATTCTACTAACTCAGAGATAGCTACAGTCCTACTCTGAAATTTTTCAAGATCATATTTTCTGAGGTATTCATGAAATCTCTTGGAGCATTGAACCTACCAAGAGGGTTACGGAAAAACCACTCAAAATTGAACTGATGATTCAATCAAGAACAAAAGGACGTAAGAGATCTCTTGGAGCATTGAACCTACCAAGAGGGTTACGGAAAAACCACTCAAAATTGAACTGATGATTCAATCAAGAACAAAAGGATGTAAGAGACTGATGAATATATGAAAAATTGTTTCAGAACAGAAATGGATAACTAAAACATGTTATCATGAATTCAGAACGAAAACACCAAACAGAATTTGATCCTCACATAAATTATGTAACCTAAAAATTAATTTTCTCCGAGTTCTACATTCTCTGACTCTCTATGTATCTATTTATCCTCTCTTTTTAAAGCGTTATAACCTTCAGAATAAAAAAAAAAAAAATACAGAGATTACCCAAGTTGACCAAAACATAATTTTATTCAGTTTGTTGTTCACCCCACTGAAGAAAAAGGAGAGGTAGAAACATAAGGAACTAATTAAAATGAACTTTTGTATTTTTAGAACTTGTGTGGAGTAAAGTCGAGTGATGAAACCCTAAAGACCAATCGTTCTTCAAATAATTTACCATCTAAGAATAGCGTACCTGAATCTTATCAAAGAGGAACCATACCAAAGTAAGTCTGTCCTGTATTTTGTTGAGTTACAGTAAATTGATAAAAGCGAGTTTCGGTGTAACCATGATGCATACTGCGATTAGCTGGTCAACAGTGTAGGTATTTTTAGAAGTCTAAATCGGGGAGGAAAAAAAAAATTGAGAGAAAAATTTGATAGAAACATACATCAGATACGACCACCAGTTTCCTTTAGGTATAAATACTTTTAAATATAATGACGTAAAAATTCATTCAGCTACCTTCAAGTCCAAAGCAGTAAGAAATTAATCTCTTCAGTAAATAAATTCATCCTTGTCATAAGAAGAAGCATTGTAAATATTACTGAACGTCTATTTTTCTCTTCCATTATCTCTTCATTCAACATACCTAGACTGATCTTCTCTATTCTAACAATAAGTGTGAGAGCATCAAATGAATGAAGCAATAATATTTTTCAAAATACTAGCAGACCAGCCTGTGTATGCAAATACATCGTAAGTAAATAACTATGGAGAAGTGATTGCAACTCTCTACTTTTATTTCAGGTATATACAGGAGAAAAAATTGCAAAAAGAGCAAGAAGAAATGGAGAAGAAGAAAATGGCGCAAATGCTAGGAACCGATGATCCTGACTGTCCTCCAGGCCACGTTAGACTGCCAGATGATAAACGGAAAGAAACTCTTCAATTAATTAAAAACAGTATGTTCTCACTCATCCATTACTTTATATCATACTCTCTAAAACTGTTTGTTGAATCCTGGTCCTATGAAGTAGGCAATGACCCTCAAAAGAGAACAGGTGAAAAGGGTATTCCATTTTTCCAAATTTATTTTCTAGATTAGACGATTTAGTGCTAAATCTAAAAATTAAAGGATTCCTAATACAAGATTGCTGATTCCCTGAGACAAAAGAAAAATACGCCTTACATTATAGAGTTTAGAGTGTGTGGTATGATGAGTCTTTGTTTTTCATGTTTTATTGTGAAACATAAAGCAAAGTCCTTGGGAACATTCTAGGGACCTTTCTTTCCTAAATTAGATCGAAATTTTCAGAATACATCATATGCAAATAGATGTAGGTTGCTGGGATAATTTTGGTCAGACAAAAATTGCTTTTGTACCAAAATTTAAATGGATTTTGGCTTCTTTTTTTTAAAGATAGTTCAAAATCTATTAAAAACTAATGAGACCACAATAAAGGGAAACTTTGTTTCTAATGGGTCCGGTAAAAACTTTAGCTACAGCAAAAACAAGAGTTATTCCTCATAGGAAATGTCTCAAAAATCATGATGAGCTCATTAGCAAAGTCCGAAAGCACTCCTAACTTCACAATCTGCATAAGAAATTTGCGTTGTCTTGAGAGACAGGAGCTTTCTTCAGTTATTCAGTAATTTGAATGGTTCCCTAATTTTGACTGACAACCTTTCTCAAAGGACATTATAACTTTCCTTTACAACTTTCAAAGCACTCCAGACAAACTGAGTTGCATTGTCAGCATGATATTGTTTTAACTGCATTGATTAAAGTACCCTGAAAATTAATCTGCAAAAACTGATGGATTTTTATTTAATACATTTTAATTTTCTCGTTTCAGAATATGATCAGTTATTACTTGAATTAAACGGACTACCTGTGAGATCGGATTCTTACAGGATTAAGAAACACAGGACATTCTTGGAAAAGGAGCTGGAGAAAATGGAAGCTGGACTGAAAACATTTTCTCGTGAAAAGTTATTTGTAAAAATAGCTCCATAATTCTGTACCATCAATCCTCTCACCTGTTTCCTCCTACTTTTATGCTTTCTCTCACTGCCCACCACAAATTTTATGTGACGATAAGATGAAATTACTTTGTGATATTGTGTGATAATGAACAAATAAAAATTGTATTTTGATCAAAAATGATACAAGATTTTCTTTTTCGTTTTTAAACTTCCTTCTAAAACCAGTTTTATGCGAATAAAGCTTGAAACATCCCTGCATTAATAATTTCCTGTCATTTAGTCTGGACTTGATCCAGGATTTTCCTGTGCGATATTAAGTTACTCAAGGGCTTCTTACTGACAGTTAAGAGCAGTAGAATGTTTAAAACTTCCAGTGTCGGATTTAAGATAGGGCAACCTGTGCTCCCTGGAAACATCCGAAGCACCAAAGGCACTGCGTTATTTTTTCTTTACATTTAGAGAATGCTATGAAGTGGATTGTGTATAAATGATACTTGCTTCTGCTGGATGAAAATCAGTTACAATGAAGCCATCCAGCCTCCTTCTCCCTTAAAGAACACTATTTTTCGCAAACTTTACTCAGCATTAAGAAGAGGGCATAAGAAACAACATTATTGTTTAAAATCCTTAGCTTCGGGTAAAAGCTACGATTAAACCTTGGCCAAATTTGCGTCTATTCTGGTTCATGCGGATGAAAACACCTTGCACAACCCAACTTACAATAAGGCAAGATGTCTCACAACTAAGGAAGTATGTTCAAGTAATTGTAAGTTGGACATTCTGGAGCAACAAAATTTTGCCCCTAATCTGAAGCGCCTTTCACTGAAAATTGTTACAGAACACTGAAGAGAGAGTTGTCATAACACCATCTCTCTCTTAAGCCCATATTAGACGATCAAAGTAGAGCTCTCAAAATGGCGTGACGTGGGGTTACGTGACTCCACTTGATACCGGCTTTACACCTTGAGTCAAGGAAAAATTTTCTGTGTCATCATCAGTGAATAGGTACACTTTTGTTCGACTCTTCAAGAATTTGATATCAAACCACTCAATACTAATAAAGCTGCTACTTATTACCTATGGATCAGTGTCTTGCAGGGGGCAGAATTTTCTCCATCAAGCGATGATACTTGATGAATGATGGATGCAAGGCCGCTCGCATGAGAATTGGGGAAGGCTTTATTTTAAATTTTTTTTAATCATCTCGATCAAATTTAGGAAGAAGACTTTGAGTGCATCGTATTTCCTGCTGGATGCTTTTTGAGCATGCTGCTTTCAGCGAAGGAAACTATCAACCGCATTCTTTTACGTAGAGGTGTAATTATACCGAATCGAATTATTTCATCAAATTTTGGGGGAAGCGAGTTTCGAAGTGGGGAAGGCTAAGAAATTTCTGCACCTCCGATGCCTTGGCATTAATTTGTACATTACGAGTTTTGCCTCTCAAAGACACAGATTGCGAAGTACCTTAATGTAGTGGCAGATGTCATCCATAAATAACTTGAATTAGTATGTACAAAGAATACCTGATGCAAATGAAGATGTAAATGATGCTGATACATTTTCCGATGAAGATTCAAATGTATTTAATTGGAGAAAACTTACCCCAGGAAGGTGATGAAGATACCAAGAGATTGATTTCATGCCAGTTGATAACATTCTGCAATTCCGATATTACTTTGAGAGCAAGTTTTTGCGGAAGAACTGAAGGCACACATGTTGAATGTCTTCTAGTTCTGTTCGTTGCAGATGTGACAGCACTTCTACGTAAAATTTTAGGAAACTTGCCGATGATTTGTCCAATTTGTCCAATTTGTCCAAGCGCCGAATTTAGTCACGCACGCGTCGCGTTGCTAAAATATTGAATCATGAATTTTTTGTCAGATTTTCACAATGCAGAAATTCAAATCAAAACAGCAAAAACTGAATTTTGATGATCGGTGTCCCCCGACACTATGCAATTAGATGGTATTAGATTAGATGGTATTGCACTATGTCATCGATGTATCAAAACAAAGCCATGTGAGTTAACCTCAACTTTTTTATTCAAAATCTCTAAAGTCAAGAAAATTTCTAGTATTTAGGTTTCTTATCGTTCATAAAATTTCTCTTCTAGTATTTCATCTACATCTTTTAAAAATGTACGCTCGAGTAAAATCTCCCCTTCGTTTTCCAGGATTTATCTCTCATGAGTTTAAAATTGTGACAGTAAGTTACAGGAAGAGTGTCTGTTTCATTTGAATGCAATTCTCAATTTGGTCGAAGAACATTCGAAGTAATGCTGATCGAGAGGAGATCATGAGATCTGTAATTTTGATCTGTGAAAGTTTTTGTTCTTTCTCAGTTATGTGGAGAGGCAAGAGACAGTGCCAAACTTTGTGAATTCAAAATGGGAGCACTCCTAACATGACCGGGATCACGACTACCTCGAAACCATTTCAGTTGACTCTGGCAATCATCAAACCCCACATAATCTCAGCACCTCATGCACTTCAGGTTGTTATATGTTTTATGTACTTAGCAGAGTTTACAACGAATAAGTAAATGAATTTTTAGATTGCGACAGCAGATTTGTTGTCCTTAGTCTAGTGGTGTAAGTAAATACAAGAATTAAGATGGCAGATCCACTGCCTACCTAAGGTGCTATACTTATTTTAAGTTGACTCTGTATTGATTCCAATTTTTGATGAATCACCGCAGCAACAATCAGTTGGTCAAATCATCATCACATACAGGGATGCAAAATTATAAGAGCTCCCTTTCGAATCGCTGACCACATTCCCATAGGTTTTCCCTTTTAAGAGTACCTCTTGAATTTCAAAAAAATAGCATTATACTTGACTTTTAATGAATCAAATGGATTTCATTTTCCTGCAAAAAAGTGCCTGATATCTCTTCATCAGTACATAGCTGTATTCTTCATATGAGCACAATGCCTGTGACCTACTTTTTCACAAAGGCTTTTCGGATGTTGCTTCATCATCAATGAAGAAGTAAGCACCTAGACACTTACAGCTGGGTTTTATAGGACTATTGAATCCTTTTTTGTGAATACAAAAAGGCAAGCTTTTATTCATTGTGAGCTATCCACCGTATGAAGAAACTGTGCCACTGAGAGAATAATCTCAAGTTCTGTGTATTATTGCAGATCTTTATTTATTCAATTATTTTTACACATTTATTCTCGAAAATTGTGTACAAAATGAAACATTAATATTATTATTTCTATTTATTTATTTAACTATTTATTCACATTCATACATTTATTCTAAAAAATTTTGCACAAAATGAAACATACAACTACACCGAAGGATAATCCGCAAAATGAAGTTTGAGCACTTTTAACAGGGCACCTCTCTCAAAAACAGGCACAAAGTTTCAGTTAAGGTAGGGTCTGGTTAAAATCAAACCAACTTGCAGAATATTGTTCCAGTAAGTGTTTTGAATAATTTTCTCTCTTACACTCTCCTCCCTCTTTCTTTCTTTCTTTCTTTCTTTTCTTTTTAAAATGATTACCGTTTCTTTCAAATCAACAGGGAATCAGAGAAACAATACTGGCAAACAAATTTTACATCGTTAGAACAAAACGTCACAGCTTGACCCTGGATGAAGTTAAAGAGTTCTACGCTGAACACACCAACAGATTCTACTTTAAACGTCTCGTCACTTTCATGTCAAGGTAAGTACACACATGACACGACTATGTTATCTTCAATATTAGCTCTACCTAGCTGTAATCCAGTGCTGATAATGGTCTCAGCATAGTAAATCGCTTTGTGAGAAAAACCAATTACAGCCCACAAACATTAACTTTTCAACAATTTTCTCCAACAGTCTTTGGTTTAATGTAAGGAAAAGCTTAATATTTTGTTCTTTTATTTATTGAACAATATTTACTGTTTGAACAGTCTTGTAACAATCCATGTATGACATAAAAATTGTGCTCTGTTCTACCCATCTTGCCATGCTGTATAAGAAAAAGAATACTTTGCAATTACCGTAGAGAGTCATGTACAAAATTCTGCCACTGACTAATTAATATCACTTAACCCAAAAAGGGGCTTGTATCAGTATGGTTGAAGTCTCAAGGTCTAGCAGCATCCCATTGTATTAGGGACAGCAGCCTAAAAGTGAGCATATTATTTTATTTAACTTGGACAGCCAGGATTAAAATTTTCTGAAAGTAGGTACAAGGCTGGATAGGTCAAATATGAAAAAAAATATCAAACACAATTGCTCACTTGTCTACACATTTTTTTTGCTTTCCTACCGCCTTTGCGCTATCCAGCCATCATCTGGGACGTGACTCAAGTTTTGGACATCGCTAGAGTCCAAAGAGTCGCTTCCCAGATAATGGCCAGAGCAAAAATGTGTAAGGGGAAGGAAAACAACAAATATTTGTAGACTAGCAAGTAATTGTGTTACATTCTCATCTTTTTTCCAAGGGCAGGTAAACCAACTTAGAGGCACAGAGGTCTTAAGTTACCAATATCTTTTGAAAATAATTTACATTATAGCATTAAACCTCTCATATCGAAGTTCATAGTTGCAACTAAGTTGCGTCCACTTACTTCATTAAAAATGTGTGTAGTCAAACCGCAATACGGAAGGCTGAAATTGGCAAAATATTCTCTAACGGAGTAATGTATGTAATATTGTCATAGGGACCTGGTTACTAATGGCTCTGGTACAAAAGTGTATTGACGAATTCTGGAGATCATACCTTTTATATAAGTCAACAAGTTCTCACCCTGTAATGTTTTTGTTTCGCTGCAAATCATAATTTTGAATTGAGTTTTTCACTGCACAGTAACAGGACGAAGTTGGTGTCTTGCAGGCTCAAATTTACCTCATTTGAGCTTTTCAAGTCACAGCGTTCATTTTATGAATGCGGATGAAACAGTTATTTGCTTTACATGTTACATTTTTTTCTAGGTTTCCTTTCTGTAGCTCTAACCCTTTGCCAGTTGCCAGTTGGTCGTTATTTTGTGTTATGTATTCAACAGAATCTCCTTATCACAGTCGTGTCTATTCAGTAATTGAAATAATTTAATCTGACTTATCGAAACCCAGCTGTTCGTTAGTTTTTATATTCCTCTTCCTTGATCAGTGCCATCATTCAATCCAAGTTAGATCCTTTCTGAGAAGCTTGAAGAGACCAAAAATTAAGTTACTCTTTCTTGGTATTATTTCTTGAAAAAGACATTTTAAAAGTTCCAACATGTGGTTTGTGTATGAATACAGTCTGATGTTTGCAACTGTGACGGTGATGTATTACATGAAAAAGTGGTGGCTAATTTACAAACATTCCCATTGAGGAGACCTCATAATATTCTTCTGTTACACTTATTTTAAGCGTCATGTTTGTAAGGTTTGTTGTCACTGTATAGACCCTGTATTGCTTGGCCTAGATTTTTTTGGGAGATTCCTTTGATAACTGAAACATTGGTCAATTGAAAGCAGAAGCCTCAGGTTTGGAACAATGCTTCTTTTAAAAGAGATGGTTGACACCAACTGAAATTCAAGTTAATTTTTAGAGTAAAATCAAGTTATATAAGTTCGTAAACGATCTTATATAAAAACCAACTTCTATTCTAGTGTTTGCCACAGAATTACAAAATTCGAAGGAAGACAATTATCTTTGCTCTTTTAAAAGGTATTGCCAAATTAGTTCATCATTATGTCATTTTTAAAGAGCAGATTCATTTGTTTTGATAAACAAATGTAATTTTGAAAAAGGCTTGATTATACTGTTTTCAATAATATTCTGGCCTCGTAGCCTGAAAAATTGATACCTTGCAGAATGTAAGCACCACTTAACACTCAATGCAAATTCCCACAATCCTCTTTGAGTGATATGTTTTCACAAATTTTTGCATATTTGCATGCAAAAGGACCTAATTCAAAAGTTTATAGTTTTGGAATAAGCTAAAGTAAAAGAGATTTCCATAATTTTTTTTTACTCAGGATCATGTGCAGATTTGTTCCTTAAGGAAGTGACAGTGAGAGAGGCCTAACAGCAGGTTTCACCTGGCTTTCTAAGACATCCCTTTTTATTGAATTCCCTTTGTATTGAGGTGCTAGGGCTGCTCACATCTAAAAAGCTGTGCAGAAACCTTTCTTTCATACGGCTTCAAGGAGGGAAAAGAAATCTATCAGTATGGAGTTGACAGAGACTTGGTTGCTCAAACATGTCAGTAAATATCCACTCAAGTTGTACAGTTCAGGACATTTTCTAGCATAATTTTGGGAGTTCTAACTCAGATTTTTGCACTGTCAGAACCTCACTTCCTTCAGTTCAGATTGACCCCTATATGTAGTTGAAAAGTATTTTGCGATAAAGTCAACCATATTATCATTGCAATCAAAAGCAAAAATTTTAGGAGGAAGGAGTGAGAAACTCTTCACCAGACCATTTTGAAAAATGACTTTTTTACTCAATTTACACATATTTTATCATTAAATATGATATCAGCCCCTTTCCAAAAGTTCTTCATTTCCCTTTAAGTTGTAGATTTTTCTCTTTCAAATTCCCTAGAGAATAGAATGAATGATGCCTCTTTCTAAGGTACAGAGATGGATTCAGAAAGTTAGGAGAGTGATCTTCCAAACATTTTTAGAAATTTTATTTTTACCCATGCATGTTGAAGCTATTTTTAGTCCATCGATTTCAGGTAGTACAAGTCAATTCGTTACAAGTGGTACCTCTCTTTGGGGCAAATTTTTGTGTTGTTGTACAAACATCCGTTGGTGTATTTCCATGGCGTGAGGACCCCCTAGCTCCCCTCAGTTACACAAAAGCATTAACTCGGTGTGATTACGAGAGTCAGATAAGGAATATCTAAATGGGAAATCAGCCAGACAATCCAAAATTACTACAAGCCTTTGTTGTAAGCTCTTAAGGGTCAAGAATTAAAACACTATCATTTAGTCTGTACTCTCTCTTTTTCTCTCCTTATTCTCTGTTTCCTCCTCTATGCTTTTCCTTTTTTTATCTATTTTCTTGTCACCTATCATCCTATAAACCGATTTTTTTATTTCAGTTTATTTTCATCTGTTTTTTAATTTTTCACTTTGCTGTTTTAGTGGGCCTTGCGATCTACACATTCTGGCAAAGGTAAATGCAATTCTTGAATGGCGCCAGCTGATGGGGCCTACTAAAAGTTATCAAGCCCACTATTCACATCCATCTTCTATCAGAGGTAGATGGGGTCTATCAGATACAAGGAATGCTGCTCACGGTTCTGGTCAGTACTTAGTTTCATTTCTATTAATAAAATATGTGGGTGATCCCAAAATCCTAAACAACCCCTGTAACTTTTAAATAAAGTGTGCTGAGACTTAAGATGTTGGGAGTGCCAACAGGTTGAAGGAAACTATTTTTGGGGCCCTTCAAGCTTCTGAGGGACCACTTTGAAGGGGCAGGCTAGAACCTGAATTTTTTTTTTTTTCAAATTTCAATCCTCCATCTGTGATAAATCATTTGAAAGAACATTAAATACATAACAACATACGCAATAACATTACATACATTTTTGTCCAACTTGCAAGTTTCTGTCTGTCACTGTTACAAAATGAAAGTTAATCAAAGTTTTGCAAATTTCATCTTTATCGGTTTTCCATTTTGGAGCAATAATAGTTGGCAACTTTTGGTTTTCGTTAAAAAATTTCATTTTTTTTTCTCTTTCCAATTATGTATATTTCTATAGGGAATTTTGGAAATGAAAGAAATAAAAAGTCAATTTGTGGTCTCTTCTTAATTTTCATTTGGGGCAATCCCCATTGAGTGATCCATCATTGGAAAGAATATGAACATGAAATTTGTCCTGGAAAACCAGAGGTCGCTAATTATCACCAATCTATAAGGATCATAGCCCTAAAGTTGAAATTTGCAAAACTTTGATTGATGGCTATCTTGAATTTGTGATAGATTAAAGACTTGCGATTTGGACCAAAATTCTGAATTGTTTAAGTCATTTTAATGATGTATCATAAGTTGGGGCTTTCGTTGTAAAAAATAGTGAGAGTCCATGCTCTTCCCCTTAAAATGCTCTCCCTACAAAATTTTGAGGGCACTCTCAAAATTTCTAGTCTCTATGTTAATTTTTTCCCAAAATTACAGGGGTAGTTTAAGACTTTTGATGGATTACCCTGTAAAATCACTCCATTCATTTTTATGTTGATTACATTTAAAAAAAATGTAAAAGAAAAACAGATTCAAAATGTACCCGTAACAAATAATTAATAATTTTAGTGGTCACATCCTTACATGCTTCAAGGATGATTTTACCATTGCTTTTCCTATTCTTAACTGAAAATTGTGGCAAATCCTACCTCTAAAACCGACTAAATCTCCAGAAGCATTTTCTAATGTAATCGGGTTAGTAGCAGCAGGTATCTTTATTCTGTCGGCCAGAAAATTTCCCGGTTGTAAAATGCTCTTGTAGAGAAACTATTATAGTTCTTGTCAGCTTTGTAATCGGGTTAGTAGCAGCAGGTATCTTTATTCTGTCTGCCAGAAAATTTCCGGGTTGTAAAATGCTCTTGTAGAGAAACTATTGTAGATCTTGTCAGCTTTAGAAAAAGTAATGTCTATTTGGAGATTTTGAACGTGTCAAAAAGTATCAAGACAATGTACAAAAGTAAAATATGTTTAATAAGGCTTAGATGACTTAAGACTAAAGTGTGAGCTGTATAGCTTAATGATCATAAAACAATGCAGAAAGAAAAACGGGGAATTGCAATTGGTGGTTGAGAGTTTGAGATACCAAACCATGGACTGAGCGACAGTAATAAGCTGTAGAATTACAGAGGAAAATACATTTTAACTCAAAACACACCAATGTACCAGTGCTTTATTTAAGTGATGTTTCAAAATCTCCTCACATCTTGGGTTTAGATCAGAAATGTGAATTCTCATAAAATAATGAAAATGTATGTACAAGTTTGACTCCTTTTTCAGCATTTGGTCAATTGCCTTTCAAAATAAGACATAGTCAGTGCGGTTAAAAAGTGATTGTTCTTCTTTTTTAAAAAAAAATTTTAAGGCCTTAATAGTGCTCAACGTTTGGGAAGGGGCTTGAGAAGTTTTTGAATTTTACCCTTTACCTGCTGGCTTTGATAAATGCTTATTGTTGAAAAACAATAAAGTATCTGACATCAATTAGACGTTTTGGAAAGATCGCGATTATGAATGAATTTTCTGCAAAGGGGGCCAAAAATCTCAGACTCCTAGCGTTCCCAATGATATACGCAGCAGTGCTTCATTTCCCCACTGCGCAACCATTCAAAGCTTTAGGGAGATAACGGTGCATCCAAGGAAAAATTATGAAAATGGTTTCGAATTATGCTTTAAAGTTCTTCAAAAAGTGCTTGATTTTTATTCTTATGACTGCACAAACAACGGAGAAATTCTCTGAACTTTTATGAAAATTCCTATTTCAGGTATTTTTTATTTTGTAACTCCACCTCAAATCACCAGCTACTTTCAGTTTTTTCATTGATCAGTAAAAGTAAAACAAAAATACTTCATTTAATTTCTTGAAATTAATTCAAAATTCCTTTATCTTTATAATATTTCAAATATTTTGGAAGTTCCTTTCTGTAATATTTACTGTCGACAATACCATCAAATACAGATGTCTCTTCCATTTCTGCATCGGAATAATTTGAAAAATCTGTTGCTTGTTCAGGATCTGCTAATACTGGAATGAGTATCACAATGCCTGCGTAGAAGCTGACAATTTGCGTTCTGTCATACTCAGCTTTCAGATCCTCATAAGATAGAGTTACATTTGTATTGAATTCGATTAAAAATGTGTTTAAAGCCTGCAAATACTCTTGTAACAAAGCCTCTTGAGAATTTTCAAACACATGAAACTGCACATTTGCTGCAAGTAGATAGTGCAGGTCAATCACAGGGGAAGCATAAAAACTTAATTGAAAGTCAACAAACTTACAATCTTTGACAGAATTATTTTTCTCATCAAATTTGAACAAGATATTGGTGAGCCATAAATCACCATGGTTTAAAACATGTAACATCTTCGAAGGTATCTCTCTGGCTCTTAACATTTTAGTGTAGAAAGTTTTTTGTACGTTTCTAATACCCTGAGCATACTTTTGATGGTCTTCAATCTCACTCCACCTAACGAGGCGATCAGCAACTAATGCTAATGCATTATCCAAAAATGTAACAAACTGCTCTTTGAACGTCTCATCTAGCCCAATTTCTTTTCCAGCCTCTTCAACCAATTCTGGCTCCACTTTGTGCAAGGCCACTGAAGCAGCATGAAGTTTAGCTAATTTTCTTAACACCAAAACAGCCTTTGGGTAGTCTAGCCGCTCGATTCGGTTAATTAATTTGTACCCTTTATCACAAAGGTCTTCTAGGATTATTGTGCCTAGCTGTGGCGAGTGGTAGGGAATTGGCGAGACAAAATCATTGTCCAAAAATGCATTTATTTTCGGAATAATAGAGTCATAGATTAGATGTTCTTTTGCCAAAATTCCTGTCTCTTTCAGTGTTCTCCCAAAAGCGTTGTTAATTACAGCCTTTGAAAACAATGCTAGGTATTTTGGTTGACTTGTCCCCTCCTCTTTCATATGCACCACAATTCTGAAAATTCTGCTGCTGTAATTATTTCCTTTCGATGATTCTTCCTCCACCTTGTAAGAGAGAATATCATCATCTGACAAGTGAGGTATTTGTTTTTGCAGTACTCTCCTCAATTTATTTTTATTCAACCAATCCATAACTGTTGTCCGCTAGCTGTAACATAAAAAAATTTACCTAACATTAAAATTAACATATGAAATTTACCTGTAACATAAAAACCTAACTCGAGGGAAGAGATCATGATCTCAAAGTTCAACTATCTTATTCAAAGGAAAGAGTTAAAGAATTGATGAACTTATTTATTAAAGATCTCATGCTAAAGATCAATGTAAACAAATGTTGCCGTTCGTATTGACTAAAATTCATGTCTTTAAAAATTATTAAATATAATCTGGAATCTGGAAGAAGACTCAAGTTTGCATTTTAAGTTTTATTTTTACCAGCGAGTAAAAGGGTTCTTTAATATTTTCCTTGAGCATGAAAAAGCCCCAGTGACATTTTCATTTATCAGAATTGCAGTCACTATTTTAAGGGTTTAAGCTCTTAACATTTTCAGAAAGGGCTCAAGACTTAAATATGTTTGCTTCATTTCAGACTTACTAAATTTTACTGAAGGGAAGGAAGAATAAACTCAATATCTTAGGTTTTAAGTAAAATTTGTTTTTTTCTTCCAGTTTCTAATTTTTTTTTTACTAGGAATCATGCCCACTATCCGTGAACATTCAAAATCTCCGAGAGACCCAGCCCATTCGAGTCCTTTCTAAGGCCTGTTCTCCTACTTTTTGCTCGCTCTGTTCAGGTTTTTGGTTTCAGAAGGTTTCTCAAAAACATTTACTTGCCTTGGTTAGGTACGGTAACTGATTTACTCCCGATGGTCCTAAAACCCCCTTCTTGTTTTGATACTGAACATTTGTGATTATTCAGGTGTCTTCTCCACCACTCTTATCCTCCCCATCCCCTCCTTTACATTATTGTTAGCCACATGCTTGCTCCAATCTGACACCTACAAGCTACTTTAGTGAGCACATAATTATTTTACCTAACAATTCTCTCAGCCAGCTGACTTACATTTTTGTCTCATTTTAAATGTATGTAAAAGACGCACGTACCTGTAGTTCTTTCTAATTTAAATATACTGTAAGATCGTCCTTGCACATCAACCACCTGAAATTAAGCTCAAGAAAATTCTAAGTGGTTCAAAAAAAGAAGGTTTAAGAACAAAAAAGTATATACAGGCTTTCAGGATGATATTTAACTAAATTTTTAATCAGTGTTAACTGAGTCAGTATAGACTAGACTAGAGTCTGTATAAGTTATTTGCCCATATCTGTTGGTAGGTAGTCTTTATTCACTATCTGTAGCAGAAATTGTATGTATTTCCCCTAAGTACTACTCTCTTATCTTAAGTGATATTGATTGTGCTCGAAATTAACCCTGTTATCAATAATACTTGCAGCCTAAATTAAGCCATTTTTTTAAAGTGTTTTCATTCATTTGCTAGCATGAACATGTACTTAAAAAGCTGAAAAAAATAACCAGCATTTTTGGAAAGTATCATTTTCAGTATGTGTGTATAGGGTGACCCAAAAGTTGTAGGACACCCCTGTAAATTTTTTGCACGAATTGAGATAGAAACTTGAACTTTTGGCAGGGTTCCTGTGTCAAAATAAACTGCTTTATGAACCTCTCCCTTCCTATTTTGGGGGCCTTCTACAGGGGGGCCACGGAGCCCTATTTTTTTAAATGGTAACCCCTACTAGTTGACTCACTGTTGGATAGATAATGAAAAAAGACAACCTTTGGCTTGCTTAGGTCGATATCTATGTAACTTTTCAACAAAAAATGATAAAATACTCGTTTTTTTTAAGAATTTTGAGGTTTTTACCGCTTGAGGTGCCCGAAAATCCTCACCCTACGGTTTTTGACTCGAGCGTTAAAGAAAAATATTCAAAGTAATTAATCAAAGCTGAATAATTTGTCAACTGCCTTAAAAGTCACCCAATAAATGACATGGTTTCACAATACAAAATCTTATCTGTGCTGATAGGTGTGATACCACTCGATCTCCTACAAGCTCGGTGTGCCTATTCAATTCATTGAAGGCGTTTTAGTTTGCCATCGTGGCATGCTTTTCTATGACTTATCGTGGTAACAAGCAGAATCTCATTAGAGACTGTTTCTTCTTCGATGACCTTTATTCGCATAAGATGTCTTATGCGATGCCACTCTTTGTGCGTAGAACAACATCTACATGTTGCCAAAGTTTCTGGAAGAAATTACGCATTTCTTTGAAAACTATTCTTTTTTCATGCTTTACGGAAAATTTTACGCAAAATATGATCTGAATAACCGGACAATTGTTCAAATTAATTAATCAAAGTTAAATAATTTTTTAATCGCAAAAAATCTACCCAAAAAACTAAATGGTTTACTTCACAAAACTTATATGTGCTGTTGGGCGTGATCGACCTCTTAAAAGGTCGGTGTGCCTATTCAATTTATTGAAGGCGTTTTAATTTGCCGCCGCGACATGCTTAATTCCTATAAACTATCGTGGTAACAAGCAGATTCTCATTCGAAACTGTTTAATCTTCAAATGACCTTTTCCCCTAAGATGTGTAATACAATGCCACTCGTGTGTGTAGAACTACATCGTCTACTGTCTAAATTTTCATGAAGAAATACGCATTTCTTGAATATTGAATATAAAAATATTTTTAGAAACGACTGCAAAAATTAAGTTTCATTGAAAAGTATCCATACGATCGCCGGTGACATTTTTAAAGTCAGATAACCATCACAAATTATGCCTAAGGGTTTTGAAGTAGCTGTGTCACTACTTTTTCGTCGAAAAGAAAAGTGACTCAGTCCAAGAAAAAATGGCTTTCCACGAAATGTGCGTCCCTTAACCTCGATCCACCCTATTTTTCTCCCACTTTTTCAGAGAAGATCAGTCGCAATTTCATCCACAGTATCCCAAAAGTTTCAGAAAAAGTATCCATTATTTTCCTGAAAAACAGATGTTTCATAGGCAAATGGGAACATCCTCACTATTATACGGCGGTTTTCCTTTAAATGGCAGAGCTCATCTCCTTCTTTTCAATTTAATTCTCTCTAAATAGTTACTTTTAGCATCAAAACAGCTAAAGGATCGTTATGCCCCCGTCATTTACTGTGAGGGAATGTCTGTTTCCAACATTTTCAAATTTTTTACGTTTCTTTTCTCTGTGCTTTTTACAGATAGCCCAGAGTGTGTTCAAAGGGAAATCGGCATTCTTTTCCCAGAGTTTTCTGAAGAGCATTGGCTGAAAGAGGAAAAGCATCATTTTGAAAATGGCACCGTCTATTTTGATACGGAAAGATTTATTCATAGAATGAAGGATCAGTCTTGTCAAATCGACCCAACTGTCAATGCTGACGGTCCGCAGGCCGGATGAAGAACTCTGGAAACTCGTTCAAACTGAAACATAAAAACTGCGACTGAAAAACTTCAGAAATACTGAAACGTGTGTGTTTTAAGATGTATCATTGATCTTCAAAATTAACTTTGTAAATGTCTAGTCTTAAATTTAGAAATATTCTCCTATTTAAAATGTGTAGCGTTATTCTTAAAGCCTGCTCCAAGAGCTTCCGTTTCGATACGATAAAAGTACGTACACCCATAAGCAATAGTTTCAGTACTTTTGATTTTTCGCCTACTTAGAAAATCGTAATAATATCTAAGAATTGTTTTTCATCTCTTTAAAGTAAACTCTATTTTTGTTTTGAACTTCCGCCTTTACAATTACCTCAAATATCTCCATCTAAACACATGACTCCACCTATCATTTATTGTTAACTGAATGAAAAAATCATGTAAAATAGGGAACTTTCAGCAGGTTGTAAGCATATTTTAGAATTCGTCTTTAACAGTGATACATTGGTAGGTAGATTTTAATCAAATTCAATTAGCTTTCAGAGCTTTCATCTGTGACTATTCAAAGGAAAAGAGTTAACACTTGGCAAAGACTTCAAGAGAGCAGCTGAATCGGTCATTTTCAAAATTACTCAAGCGCCAAAAAATCGAAAATTGAGTTTTTGGTGGTTCGGTATTGGTATTGTTTAGGCATAGATTCATATTGTTGCAAAGTGTCTAGCAGGAAACGGATTTTCAAGGCCCAAAAATCATTCGGAAAGTCTTGCCATTCTTAATAAGACTCAAGCGCCAATTCGTTTTTTTCCTCTTTTTTCGTTCAAACTTTGGGAACATTTCTGAAACAACCACCATTCGATTTTAAATTGCTATCTTCTCACACAATCGTTCTCCTGACCTCTAGGATTTAAAAAGAATTGATTAAAGCAGTTTTCGCTGTTTTTCTCGAATTCTCATTTCTGGCGCTTTAGTTTTTTTAAAAGTGACGTATCCAATTTTTGGAAAGTCCAATAAAAGCAACCCTTCTGCTGAGTTTTTGACTGAAAACTCTCTCCAGTATCCAAAAATATTACTTTCGAGCTGCAAAGTAATTTTTATGCCAAGAGAAGGTGTGAGGTTGCCAATTGATCTTGAAAGTCTGAACTCTGAACATGGAAAATAAAAACTCTTAATTGCTTTTCCTTTTCTCAAAGTCTCTTTTTTCTATTAAAACTGCAAAATTTTAATTGCTATAGGTTGATTCATGTGACATTTTCGAGGATTTTTATGCCAAAATGCCTGTAACATACTCTATCCTAAGTGGTTCCGGTGACTCAATGTTAAGTGTTTGAGATCTCTTTCCTGGTGGCCCGTCACTTTCGGACGATATCAGACGAGATACGTTTTTGAGATAACAAAAGTAGTATCCTTTTTAAAGGGTTTCGACCTATTCAAATCCGGCTAACCCTCCTCATTTTTTTCCATCCCTAATTGTTTACAATGTCTTTCTCCAAAGTTCGAACTTCATTCCAATTTGTCTGTGGATTCACTTAAATTCGCCGCTATAGATCCCACGCAAATTTCTTAAATTAATTTGCGTTTACTCACTGCCGGTCATCATAACGCTACAAAAGATTGATGCTTTTCTTCCTTTCTCAGAAAGGGTGGTATGATCACCAGTAAAGATTTCTTCTCACTCACTCAAGAAAAATAGCCAGCCTTTACGGGGAAGAGCTCCGTAGGTGAAAATTGAGTCTGCCTTAGCTGCAGTATCAAATCGAATGGCCAACCCCCCCCCCTCCCCAAAAAAAGTCCTTTCACACCAGAAAGAAAATTCATCACCAAAATGAAAACTCACGCAAAGACTCTTGCTGACCTCGTACCCAAGAAAAAAATCGGTCGATTCTGAACCCGGAATTCCTAATGGGAGGCTAGGTGGGCTTCAGGACCATGAAATTCGGATTCTTTGGAATCTATTACCTAAGGCACCATCTTTTTCCGTGGGCGCTCCGTCAATTTTGCCGTAGAGAAAAAAAGGAGGCGTTTGCATCTTGAGGATTGCTTACCCCGTGACGTAGGTCGGTGCAGCATGGCCAGCAAAATCCGGAATTCGAAGTATGAACAGCGGACCATAACGTCCAATTCTTTTACTTAAATCAACTCATGATATAATTTCAAAAACCTTATACAGAATGAATTTTTTCCTTAAACTACAGCATTTCCAAGAAAATCGATGATAAAAGTCGTCCGCGCCGACCTACGTCATCAAAAAAGTCCAAGATGCCCGAAATGCAAACACCTCCTTTTTTTCTCCATGCAATTTTGCGACCATTTGAGCAATTTATGGAGGGGGCGCTGCCCTCCCCCCCCCTCTTTCATGGGTAATTTTTGGGTCTAGGTTGGGCTGATTTTCGATTTTCGATTTCAAGCGAGTTTTCCGTTATTTTCCAGTCTAATTATGCAGTTGAATCGTAACTTGCTCGAGAACTCCGACATAAATCCCCCGACATAAATGGATCATAATCCCCCTTAACCTCCAAATGGGACTAAGAGGGGATGGGGGGTCGATACCATGAAATTCGGATTCCTCCATTCCTCAGTTGATTCCCTGTTCAATACCGCGGTCTCTGACTTCCTGCGACCTAAAACAACCGAGAAAAAAGTCTGGTATGGTGGTCTAATGCTGATTTCCGATGAGCGCTCAACCATGGGACTCCCCGCTTATTTGAAAAGTGGCGCGTCAATTTGTATATTTTGCCGAGCGCGCCACTGGAATTGGCGGGAACCAATAGGATTGAAGTTTCGACTTGTTTACATTCGCGTTGTTTTGATAAGCTGATAAGCCTTTTGTAAACAAACGTGCGTGGTCCTTCAACTTCTCGTGAGTGTTGTAAGTCCCTTGAATATTTAAAATTGCTAGAGGTCCTTGATTTTTCGTACAAATAGACGTAGTTTTTATTTGCCTATCTTAACCACATCCCTCCAAAGAATATTCAATCGGTGTTCCCTCGTTTAATCTCCGACGCTCGTACGCTCTCAAAAGTACCTATCTGTAAGTTCTCACTGATAATTTATTTTTTCCCGTCTCACTAGTTCCATACAGTTCAAAATTATTAAAGCCTTCAAATTCCAGGAAGCTTCAAACCTTCCATGTTGGTTCGTTTATTAAATTATTGCTTAAGTATTCATCTCAAAAAGGATTTACTTGTCCTGTTGTCGTCTAGGTGCCTATACTTAGGTACTCCAAATATATTTTCAGCATCTCACCAGTTTCTTTATACCCTGAGTCACCTTAAAGCTTTTTTATCATCAGGGTTTTTACAGCTAAGGGATGAAGTACTTGTGGCCTAGAAATAATGCTATGTAAGGTCTCAGTCAAATTGGGAGTCTCATCTATTGAGCATTTGTCTGCTAGGTTAGGGGGTGGTCAATGTTTGTTTTGCCTATGATGATCATGCATTGGAAATGGTTGATTTCATGCCTCAGGTATGGCAGATTCATACATATCCCTCAAGGATTGAAAACAGGATGGATTAAAGTTTCCTTGAAGTCATGTTTAGCAGAGGCACTTATTTTCCGAGAAAGAAAACCGAAGAGTTGAGGGGCTCAGAGGAAAAGGCGCATAAGTGCAGTTTTTTGCCACTTTGAAAAATACCTGTTTGAAATTTCGAAATTACATGGATCCTTATGGCGGAAAAGAAGTTCTAACTGACTTTTTTATGCTTAAAAATTTGACCTTTTTGGGTTGAATTTTTCACAGAATATGCATTAATACCAGTTTTACTTGAAATCATGAATATCTCATGTTTTTTCAAAAACTGCCCTTTTTGCGCCTTGCCCTCCAAGCCCCTCAGTTGATCTGACGACAAACAGGTAAAAAAGACTAAATGCCTGAAGACTGCCATGCACAATATACATTAAATGCCAAAATTGATGGGTCTTTGAACTTTTCAGTCAACAGAGAGCTTGATGCAAAAACGGCTTTTTTCGCCTTCCTTTCTGGAATTTCTTTAAACTTTTTCTACTGATTACTCGTACTTAAGTGCTTCTTTCCTCAAATTTTCAGACCCCCCAAAAAAAAATTTTGGGGGGGGGGTCAAAGTCAAACCTGTGAATTTCGATATCTCTCGGGCGAATGAAAGGTACCAAGATCCAGTTTGGACGTAAAATCGTCCAAAATTGCATACTTCAGGATTTTAAGGGCCAAAATCCCGAAATCATATTTTCCATCGCGTATGTGCTTTTTTTCGGTTTTCCAGTTGAGACAATTTCTTTTAAACAAAAGATAAACATAGTACTCAATTTTTTATTTAAACCAAAACCAGTTTTTCAAATTGTTCGTCTTTTTTTTGCATCCAACGAGTGGTCCATTATACTGGGGAACTAAACGGTTCCGGAGTAATGAGGGACTGAAGTTTCCGCTCAACGCGCGCCGACCGCTTTTCGCGCGCCCAAAAGCCGAATTCGGGTGTTATCAAATCAAATTGAATGTTTAAACCGTGCAAAATAAATTTTTAGGGATTCTTAAGGGTCGTTGAGTTCAGAAATTACAGATACTTCCACAAAATTCACTTTTCCAAAATTGCAGCTTCGGAGGCCCTACTTAGAGGCCCACGGAGCGGCCGCGGCCGGTCGGCGCTCGGTGGGCCATCTGAATCTGCAATTTTGGAAAAGTGAATTTTTTGGAAGTAGGTATCTGTAATTTCTAAACTCAGCGACCCTCAAGAATCCGTAAAAATTTATTTCGTACGGTTTGAACATTCAATCTGATTTAATAACACCAAATCCGGCACAATGTAACACAGCGACCTCCTGGACTACAATGAGTTTATTTTCTTTCCTTCCCTCGGAAAACAGGATATTCACATAGAGAAAAAAAAAAGGAGGTGTTTGCATTTCGGGCATCTTGGACTTTTTTTGATGATGTAGGTCGATACGACGAGTTTTATCGTCGATTTTCTTGGAAATGGTGTAATTTATGGGAAAAAATCATTCTTTAAAAAATGCTTGAAATTATATCATGAGTTGATTTAAGCAAAAAAATCGGACATTATGGTCCGTTTTTCATCCTTCAAATTCCGGATTTCGCTGACCAGGTTGTACCGACCTACGTCACAGGGTAAACAAACCTCAAGATGCAAACCCCTCTTTTTTTTCTCTATGGGACATTCATTAAAGAGATGACTTCTCTGCAGATGCAAACTACATTTCCCATTAGAATTGAACCTCCTGCTCCTGGATATACGTGGGCTGGAGCTTTCGTGGCCTCGGAAGTTCGTTACTATGTTATAGGAGCATATCGATATAGGAAAGCGGTACAGAGTAGATTAATTCTTGGCGCACGGTGTAAGCCCAGATCATCCTCTCGAAGGTTTTACTCTTCCGAAGAGGGGGAGGGAAACCCGATAGTAGTTTGAAATTCTAGTGCCGCGCTTGTTCAAACGGACTGTTTACTTGCGTCTCTCTTACAAGTTCATTCATCATGCTTTTCTATCGCTACGCGCTTTCGGTTAGCTGTATCCTCGTCGCTCAGCTCGGGCCCAGTCTGTGTCAAAACAGCTCGAATCTCGCTCATTGGTAAGTGTCGTCCCGGTTCTTATATTTTTGTCCCGTTTTTTTCACCGTAATTACTTCGTTTTGTTACGATTAAACGATCGATTTGTTACACGGTTAATTTTTTCGCCCGAGGGTGAAATAAAATTAAACGATCAATTTACGGTATTTTTTTATTTTATTTTTTATTTTCATCATTATATTTGGGGGGCTTGGAGAACAGTTTTTGCTATTTCAAGAAATACCTACCTACGTGTTTAAAATTTCAAAATTACATGGATCCTTGTGGCGGAAAAAAGTTCGAAGTGACTTTTTGTTGCTCAAAAATTTGAATTTGGGAGGGAATTTTTCACAGAACATGCATTTAGACTAGTTTTACTTGAAATCATTAATATCTCAATTTTTTTTAAAAACTGCACTTACGCGCCTTGTCCTCCAAGTCCCTCATTTTATTTCTAAATGATTCTGACAGATGAATAACATGTATCACTTCTTGAATTTCCGAAATGACTTTTATAACTCTAAACTGCCTCATCCCCGGGCCGCTTAGGCGAAGGATCCGGCATGTGGCGTACTAAAATTCTGTCACCCACCTATCTAACTTCGGTTTCCCAAGTTTGTATTTTAAAAAATGCCTACTGAGAACTATTATAGAAGTTTGAAAACACGTTTATCGAACTGCAACTTTTGCAGATCTCCTATTATATTTTGCCTATTTCCTCAAATAAACTTTTTTTAAAAGAAAAATTCTCCAATTTTTGCACGCATCGCAAATAATACTAATTATTTGAGATAAAAAAATAATAATAATGAATAATAATAATCTGAATAATAAATAATAAAAAAAACTCTCATTAATGAATTAGGGGGTTAAGAATGAAAGATTTATGTAATTTTAGAAGAAAAAAACTGTCATAGTCGAAAAATTATCCTTAGAACCCAATGGATAAAATACCAAAAGTGCAAACCCTAATAGCGAGAATGAAGATTTGACGGAAAGAAATTTTTCTGTAAGCTTTGGGTCCCGCCTTACTGGGTGCTGAACTGACCGCAGGTTGATATCTACATATATTTTTGACTGGACTTCCTTTTAACTCCTCCGCGAAAACAAATATGTTAGGATACGCGCTCGACAAATTTTCCCCGAGGTGCTCTCGGGTCAGGAAGTGCAGGCCGCAGCCCACATTTTAGGAGGGCAACTTGTAATAAGTTCACCTAAAAAAATTAAGCATTTTTTTAGAAAATTGACAATTTTACGATAAGAAGTAGTAATGGTTTACTTCTTTGGCGCAATAGGCGACGTTGGAATTGAGGTGACATCTGAGAAAAACAAGCAAAGCAACTGACGCTGAGCCAATTTTCGCACAACGCCTGGATGCAACTATTCGAGCTCTACGGATGTTCGTGTTGCATAAGCACAGGAGTGAAGGCGTTTGCACTCTTCAGGCACTCGTCACTCACCACTTCACCCGCTGCCGCGTCGCGCCCGCGGGTTGATTGCAGGCTGATTATTGAAATTGATAGACAAAGTTACAGACAAAGAAGACTAGAGGGATACGGAGGGATCCTATTGGTGGAAGCGGGTAGTTGCAATGAACAAAGGAGGAAGGTAATAGACTAACTAACCGCAACCCACAAGAGACCCCATAGTAAGCCCATCATTTTCTTTCTTTAGTCTATAGGAGCCACCCGCATTTTAACCAACAGGATCGCTCCACACTCCCTGCGTCTTCTTCGTCTATCAATTTAAATAACCAGCCCGCTGCGAGAACCCAAAATGACAGAGCACCTTCAATATTCGTCGTCATTTCGCACAAATATTTGCACACATGCGTATAGGATGTGAGCACTTTCGGCGTTTCAGTTTTGGTGTAGCGATGTGCCAAGCAAGATTTGTAGGGTATTTATTCCCGCCTGTAAAGTATTCTCGCAGTAAAAACTCGTGTAAAGAAATGAGGGTGCTGTCATTTTGGATCTTCCCATCTCAACCGGCCACCGTAGAGTGGATCGAGTCTATTAGAGAGGTTGGACTTGAAATTATTGACTAAAACTGCTATTTTGATGTTTATTTCGTCACATTTTAGACTGAAAGCGGTGTTTCGAGAAGAAAATCTCACGAGGGAACCAATGGAATCACTTTCAGGACCCCAAAGTTTTGTATAATCGGAGTTATAAACGTTTAAAGTTTCATAATTTTGTCCGACCACTTCTATTGACTCGATCCATTGTGCGCCGCGGGTGAAACGGTGAGTGCCGGGAGAGCCAAAACTCCTTCTTTTATGTGCATATGCAACACGGACATCCGCAGAGCCCGAATAGTTGCATCAAGGCGCTGTAATGAAATTCCTTCAGAGTTCGTCGCATGCGATTCTAACGGAGGGTGCTATGCTTGTTCTCTTGTACCTCAACCTAATTTCAGCGTCACATACCTACTGTACCGATAAAGTAATAATCTATGTCTGAGTTTTATCGTCAATATTTCGAAAAATGCGTTGATTTTTAAAATTTATCACAACGTTGCCGGTCCTCGAATCTCAAAAAACTGTTGGCATCCTAGCAAACTTTGTAGAGCTTTCCTTAACCTATACGTTTAAGTGCCGTTCTTTTTTGGATTTTTTCTCCTTTTTGAAAAATACTTTTAACGGTTAAGTGCGAAATTTTTAAAAACAGTCCTCGAAGCTAGCCTGAAGTTCCTCGCACAATATCCTAGTTAAGGCTATAACAAAAATCATGTATTATGTTTCCTCTTAACTTTTCCTTTACATGGAATTTTGCGCTTTCGGGATGAGCCTCGAGGCCTCGACACTATCCTTTTGCGCTATTGGGCGATGCATTTCTACCTTTCGAGGTTTATGCTTTTAGGTACCGTCCACCTTATGACACCTGTGAACTTTACGTTTTGTGAAGAAAATGTGACCTCCAGAGCAGTGCTTCTATTTCCCGGAAGTAGTGCCGAATTTCGGAACTACACTTTTGTGATATTCCTGAATTCTTCCCGGAACTTTTAAAACTCCCGAAATTTTCCGGATCTTTTGCAGTTTACGGGACTTTCTCGAAATTGGACTACATTTTGCAATTTGGAACTATAAATTTTAGCCCGGTTTAAAAACAACATATGTGCCATTAGTTTCCCCATGCACATAAGTGTTATTCCAGAGGATCCAGAATTTATAGTTCCAAATTGCAAAATGCAGTCCAATTGTTGAAAATATCTAAAATGAATCCCGGAACTTTTGACGGTCATGGAGTGGGAAAATCGGAACAAAAAAGTTCCGAATCCCGGAACTTTTGACGGAAATGGAATGGGAGCACTTTCCCAGAGCTCATCCCCCCTCCATGGTATTCTCGGAGACCAGTCTAGGCAAAATGACTAACATTTCGATTTTTTAAAAAAAAAATTGACTCGACTCTTTCTTCTGTGCGATCTTAAAACTTATTAGCGCTCAGAAAATACCTACCAAAACCTACAAAAAACCTATACAAAAAAAAAAAAAAAAAAAAACCTAAACAAAAAAAAATACATATACAATTTATTATCTATCGAAAAAAATATAGGGGAAGCATTCCCTTGCTTACATGGACGCGATGCCACTGTTCCAAATGAATCCAGAAAAGCATGGGTTCATAAGTTAAACATGACTCACGTGGAAATTGAGATACGCCCTTATGTCAGAAGGGCGACTAATTGTGATACGTGTTTTGTGGCTTTCACCATCAAATCGCTTCCTCTTTTATTATTAGCTCGTAAAGCTCGATTGCTTCATATCTAAAGCGACTTAAGTGCGCTTCAAGCTTTACCTAGGATTTCATTCATCATCGTTAGTCCATAAACTATCTTCCATAAATGAAGGTTTGGCTATGTCTCACGGCAAGTTGACACTGAGCTCGACTAGTGCATACTTTCGGACGTGTATTGGTTTGAAAAGAGTTAAGACTATTGAATGACATTCAAAACGAATTTCTCGTACCAACAGTCGTTTATTGCAGTTGCGGCTGCGGCCTGCTGCCTTAATCACAGTAACTATTTTAAGCGATGCTTATCTTCTATGGCCTTAACCATGATTTTAGAAGTACCGGAGTTAGAGCTCGGTCGTTTTTCAATGCGAGTATCGCCAGTTGCCATAATTCCCACTTCCCTTTTTTCCTACATCTCGAAGAAAAAGGATGTAAGAGGAAATGTTTTGCTTTATGGGTATTTCTAGTGTAACTTGTTGTGTGTTACGTTAAACCTTGTTCTCTTCGGCAGCACTACGACCTACAATATTCAAATTTTACGCGTGAATGTTTCACTGAAAATTCCAAGACTAGTTCTAGTTGAAATCACTATAATATCCCGATTTTCTCACCCACTACCCATGTGCCTTGTCACTCGAAACTCTTCAGTTCTATTCTGTGCACATTCATTTTGTAAACAGAAGTGTATTTGTAACTAAATTATGTACTAAAACTAAAAAAAAACTTCTAAAAAAAAGAAAAAAAAATTAGAAGGGTGCATAGACAGACGGATAGATTTTTCATGCTGTCATTATCTCTAAGCCATTTTTGGACTCATGAATTTTGCAAACGGAGGTTTATTTGATTTAGGTAACTATATTATGCACTCAAACTGAAAAAAAATCTTTAAAAAAAAATTTAAAAAAAAAAAATTTAGATGAGTGCATAGACATGCAGACGGATGGATTTTTCAGGCTCTCATTATCTCTGCGTACCGTACGCAGAATAAGACATTCTGGCCAAGTGCCTGCACATCAATTAATTTTGACTATTCAACGGTAACGGCGATGAGCTTCGAATAAAACTCGTCGGGGTCTATGCGCCCCGCTCGTTTTCCCGGTTTAGTGAAGCCGCGTAGCCTTGAACTTGGAATTCATTCAGTCGTTACGTAAATCCAGCTTCTTCACCGGCGATGCACAATGCGTGCGCTTGAGAGGAATAATGAAGGGACCCGTTTTCGCACGGGACAAACAGGAACTCGGCAGGAATACCCAGTGTCATTGTTTTATCTCAAATGGGACCTTGATTTTTTCAAGGCTCCTCCTCCAAAAGGTAAATCGTCATCCGTGCGCGATCGAAGCCGCGCATTGCTGTACCCGCCTATTAGAAAACAAGTCGAGATGCTTACGCATATTGACTTATTATTATTCATCCATAAAAAGCTAGAGAGAGGGACAGAAATCATGACGTGGATAACTGCGATGTCGAGGCAATGAGAGTCGCCACGCATGATCTGTCCGTAAAAACATTTTTCCGGAACAAATCTGTCGCTTTATCCTTAATTTTGTGTCCGATGATAGCCAAGGATTACCTGATGGACCGTGACTGCATTTCGTGGATATTTGTTTATCTTAAACTTGATGTTTTGATTCGGCGTAATGTGAATTTGATTCTCAAAACACACTGGAAAAAAAATCTCGGTGTATTTACTAAGAAAAGGGTAAAATTACCAAGAATTCGGGGTTCTATTTGATCCCAGTTTTTCCTTGGTAAAATTACCATTCATGGAATTGGTAATTTTACTTAGAAATCTCGGTAAAATTTTTAACTTTCTCGGTAATTTTACTGGACCTTGGTAAAAACGCTAGTATTTTTTATCGACTGTGGTAGAATTACCGAGATAAAATGGCAAAGTTACCGGGAATTGATTACCAATAAAAGTGGTATTCTTACCTGAAAAAAACAGTAAAAATTCCGGTTTTTAGGTAAGCTTACCAGTCTGTCATAGTAAAATTACCAATAATTGGTAAAAAAAAAAGTGAGATGGTAATGGTACCAACGGACCTTGGTAAGGACGCCGAGAATTTTTTTTCAGTGCATGAGGACAAAACGTACATACTTGAGTTTGATTTTACCTGCGCGGACATCGATAGCTAAATTTGGAAATTAAATAGCGCAGATTGTAATTAATTGCAGTCACTTGATAATACTGTATCGAAGTGATGTGCGTGTTGCCTACTTACCGATCGAAGGAGTGGAAATTTATTGCAAAGTGAAATAAGATGCATTTTTCGTTGCATTGTAAATTGCCGATCTGCTTGAGATCGAGATCGTGGTCGCAACGTTGAGGGATATTTTCGAATGTCATTTTGGCTGTTTCTGCGATGAGCTCAGAATGTACGACAATCTCGTTCTAAGAAATCCGGAAAAATTCCTGTACACTATCACTAAATACACTCTCTACTGAATGAAAAATTATTTAACAAGCTCATTTCCTCAATAGGTGACTACACAATAAACGCGACTTCGCGAATATTTTTTACTTTTTCTTCTTTTTTGCGAGAAGCAGTTCTGTTTACTTCTTTGTTGCGAGAAGCCTCCCATGAAAAATTCAAGGAATACATTTGGATCGTTTTCTTGAAAGAGAAACATAAAATAAAGTAAAATAAAAGAAGAGCAAAAAGTCTGAATCAAAGGACATGATCTGTGCGGCACGTGTTTTCAGATTTTGACCGTCTTTGCATATTGCCAGCCCTTTCCAAGGGAGCTTATTGCATCTCAGAATATGCAGGTATAGCACCTTTTTCAAAGATGAGAATTATGTACGTCCACGCGAAAATTATGGCAAGATATTGCAAAACGAACACCATCTCAAGTATAAACGACTCATGCTTACAGGGCACTTCGTGGTGTCACACCGTCATAAACAGTTTCTCATCGCGCTGTAAAATTTGCAGATGATCATCATAAACATAAATGGTATAGGTACGTCACCTGTCGAAGAGGAAAATTGAATCACTCCAGATGAATCGCAACACATTCGGTTGGAGTCCGCCCGCATCTTCCAAAAAATAATTGGCCCCCCTCAGATTTTCTTCCGGAGACTGGCATCCTAAGGTCAACCCTAATCTCTCTTGAAAGTCAAGTACGGAGGGTCTCGTGGATTTTACGTACTACTAGGGTCCAAAGTTATTCGCTAGAATGAGTGCTTATGATTTTTCCATTGAAATGAAATACTTACCACCAAAAATCGAATGCTAATCGAAGTAAAGTTGACCTATCAGAGCATAAGTAATCCCTTTGAATTAAATTTTTGCCACACGCTTGTAGCGATTTTAAGTTGAAATTATTCTCCCCCTCGAAAAAATGATCTTATTGCTGATGAATTGAATTATCTCTCTTGCTGTGTTCCACATTTTTTTGTTTTCCCTGGTAAAAATTGGCGATAAGAGCTGCGTTTCAAAATACCATAGAAATTCTTATAGCCAGCTAAAGAAGACTACAGAAAATCATATAGCTGGCTGTAGAATGCGGAGAAAATCATACGGCCGGGCTATACAAAGCGATAACAAATTATGCAGCCGGGCTATAGTTCCTATCGCCGGGCTTTACATTTTATCGCCTGGCTGTTGCTTTTTCGTCATCGATTATAAAAGGCTATAAGAAATTGTGTAGAAATTCGTGTGCTTTGGAAATCATTAAGTTTAATACGGAACCACCTTAATATTTACAGAACACACATTATATTTTCCTTTAATACATATTTTTTTCATCAATTAAAATGAGAATAATCCATACAGTATGTGCAAACATTTCAAAATCATGAGCTGAATAACGCTGATTCCGCGAGATTAAATATTAGAGCCTTACACAAAGCGGAGCGGCGACGCACTGGCGCCTACAAACCTAACAGGGATACTTCACGCATTGCGCAACGCGTGAAGTATCCCTGTTAGGTTTGTAGGCGCCAATGCGTGTTTCGCGCTGGCTGCCCGCCTGCCACGGCGCTTGAAGCAACTATTTCACACCAGAGGTATTGCACAGTATCATACGAAACTGAAGGCGCTCTAATATATTAGTAATGGCAGGCATCCATCCAAAGTACGGAGCTTTCCTCGCAAAATAAATCAAGATACTACGGCCCAAAAAGAGAGCAGTATTCCAAAAACTCACTAAGTCCTAGCATCCGTAATTAGTAACGTTTGGCATACACTTTATCGCCTGGCTGTTGCTTAATCGCCATCGGCTATAAAAGGCGATAAAAGGCTATAAAAAATTGTGTAGCCGGCTATAGAAGCTATTGGAAATCTTACAGCCGGCTGTAGGTCTATGGTATTTCGGAACACAGATTCTACCGCCAATTTTTACCAGGGCTTCTTTCATAAGTAAAATTTTCCGAGCCAAAATCCCTACAATATGAACATTCTGGTTGGATAAATTATGAAGAAAATCGGAGATTGATAGGTAGGAGATGTGGCGAAAAGTAAAAATTGGTAGACGCTCGCGTGACAGCCAAGTGTCATTTTGAATTTCGCGCGGGCCTCAAAAGCCCACATGGGGCGCGTAATTTTCTTTCCGCTGCGCTCCACGTTCCATGCAAGAGGCGATATGGCGTGAAGAAAATATACTACGGTCGTGCAGTGATGAATAATACGTGGGTCCATGAAATTTTCGAAAACAATTTTTCGGAAAGTTTGATGAATGAGTGATAACAGGGATAACATTAGGTAACAAGGGGCTGAAGACACACTGTCAAACATGTCAAAGTAGTGAGTGGGATCGCATTTCTACTCCCCGCAACACAGACGGAAAAATCATCGGACACTCAGTAGCTCGTTTTGCCTACTTTTAAAAATGAAGGGAGCGCGTATGAATTACATAATTTGTAATTGAAACGATTCCCTTCAAGTATGAAATCAGAATGCACATACTAAGGGAAGGGGTTCTGTCTTTACCTTGTATATCCACCTATCTGTTAAGTTGAAACTACTTGCTGAAGTCCCTGTTTTCCTTTTTTTTTCCAGGTGGCCATTTGGATCCAGTAATGTTGAATCGAACGATGTGTACGATCGATCAGATTTCAAGGTGTACTGGAATGTTCCAACGAAGCAATGCCACCAGTACGGCTTAAACTTCACCGAGGTATCCAAGTATGGAATCATCCAGAACAGCGATGACAGGTTCCTTGGGGAAAAGATATCGATTTTTTATGACCCTGGGGAGTTTCCTGCGTTCCTTGACAAAGGAAAAAGGAGGAATGGAGGGCTTCCCCAAGAGGGAGACCTTCAACGTCATCTGGATGTCTTCGAGAAGGAGCTCGTTGAATTTTTGGTGCCGGACCCCAATTTTTCCGGTGAGAAAGACGTACCATTTGGTGCTACAATTAGCATAACCTTTACTATACTTGTTACTTTGCTTTAGAACTCTTGGCTATAAAATAAACTCCATCGAGGCACACTAGTGATAAAACTCTGACAGAGTAATCCTCATAGCAGCGTTTAAAATTTCCGCTCTAAAGGTTTTTTTTTTTGTTTTTTTTTTCTTTAAAAAAAACCAAATTTATTGCTCGGCATTTTCATTGAGTGTATTTAACTTAAAGAATGAAAATTATGCAAATTGTTAATTGGACAGCATTTTTCAATAAGAAATAACCAAATATCCATGACTCTCTATAGAAACAACATTTGTGCCAATAGTATCTCTATACAGATAGGGAATTTTATGGATGAGCCAGATATATTGCCTCCTCACTAGAAAATATGGTGCAATCAATTCAATTAGGTAGTTTTCATTTAGAGAGGTAAGTATGAATTTGCAACGTCGCTAATTGAGGGACTTATTCTCCAAGTTTGGCTGTCGATTTACCGATCCTCGAGCCTTTAGCGATATCTTGAATTTGGCATGGCTGCATCATTCTATTGAAAAAAAATGCAAGTGCGCAATCTGCAATTACGCTTTTTCATAAGAACTCTACAGGGCCTTCACCTAATTCCCCGTCGGTTAAGAAGAATAAAACAAGCGACAAACTAGTGGGCCGACACAACAGGGGATCAACTGTCATGTCTCACGATAAAATTCTCATTTGGATACAAACAGCGAGTGCCGGCGATAAACTGCATGTCAACAAAACAGAAAAATGTTCGTTGTGAAGTACAACATCTCTTCATGTTTTCACCCATTACCGGCATTAAATATTCCGCTGTGTTAGCTTGCAGTGAATTCCATAGGCGGTTCTAGACCTTCATGCTTGGGGGTGCCCAGAGGTGGAAAATGTCGGAGACCGGCCCCGAAGGGGAAAAGTCATTCCAAAAGCGTCCATATCAAAAGCGTTTGGAATTATACCATGAGTTTATTTAAGCACAAAAATCGGACGTTAAGGTCCGTTTTTCACACTTCGAATTCCGGATTTTGCTGACCAGGTTGTACCGACCTACGTCACAGGGTAAACAATCCTCAAGATGCAAACACCTCCTTTTTTTCTCTCTATGGTGCATCTTTAAGAATGAGAGAGGTACCACAGCGAAAGTATACTTATCATGCACCTTGGCGGATCCAGCAAATTGGCAACATTGTTTTTCTCCATTTAAACCGATGGAAATGTATCGATTCTTGGAGGGACCAGGTGCTCCGACAAGAATCGATTTTTTAGCACAGGTTTAATGGAGGAAACCCGGTGTTGCCAAGTTGCTGGATGCGCTTCTGATCATGCAGCGTGAATGAGTAGTGGGTGTCAATGGCAAGCAACGCAACGGTCTGCTTAACCATGATTGCAACGTCTTCGGAGGCTCCACGGTGTCTCATTGACTCGTCCAGTCGATGATGTCATAGAGCTCGTCAAAGATGAGGCGCGTGTGCCGCGAGTCGGTGTGTCGCGTGGCGCGGTTATTCGAGCCCGCGGAACCGCGGAAGTCGGGAGCACGCGCCGAGCGCCTAGCGCCACCACGCGCGCTCCGCACTGCACACGTAATCTCATATCTCATTCAAAAGTAGCGATTACATTCCGTTGACACCACCGCCGCTGCCCCCCCCCCCGCCCCCTTCNNNGGGGGGGGGGGGGGGGGGGGGGGCTTGCTCTCTTCCGTGCGTTACAAAAGGCCTTATCAGAACGAAGGAACATTGATCAAACTTACCGAAAATTTGACTTTTTAAAAATTTATTTTGTGAATAAATAATTACGCGAGAGAAGTTTCGCTGACATGCAAACAGGAAAGGAACAAGCTAAATTATTTTGACGTGCAAAAAAGATCATATCCTCCCCCCCCCTCTCTCGCTCACCAAAAGTCGCGGTCGCTTACTTACAAAGCCACCCCTCCTCACGCGTTTAACTGGAATGGCTCAGTCAAATTGGTACTGGGGTTCAGGATTCAACGTGGGGACCCTGTATTTTTAGTAATAAAATAAACATCCTTCGAAAAAAAACTGCATTACGTTAAATACCACAGTAGTGCATCCCACAGTTTCTTCCATTTTAAATGCATTGATAAGTTTTGCACATATTTGCACCTGTTGCTGCGCTATACACGTACATGTAATACTTCTTTAGTAACACCAAAGTGGGGGAACCATTGAATGAACTATTTTTAAAAAAAGCATGTCCTCGTTAATTTTGGATGTAGGAAATGATGAGTTATTCATAAATCGCTCTGGGTTTGTTTTATCAGGTTTAGGAATCATTGATTTTGAACATTGGCGCCCGACGTTTAAACAAAATTATGGGGTGATGTCAATATATGTAGATGAATCGATAAAGACAATGCGATGGCAGCATCCGTGGTGGAGTTCAGCAGCTGTGGAAGAAGAGGTAAGTTACATTCAATGCATATGCGAATTGGCAGAAAAAGTTTCATCCTCACGAGACAAAAGTACAGACCTAAGGAAGTATCTCAGTTTGTGACATCGCAACTTTTTTTGTCCTATTTTACTTTTGAGGGTATGTGGTCATCGATATTGGACAAAACACCGTGCAATGTTTTTTTCTTTTTTCTTTTGCCTCCTCAGAAATATTCCCCGAAAATTTCGTGAAAATATGTCTAGTAACATGCTTTGAAATAAATACAGGAGAATCATAAATTTCAAAACACCGCAATCGAGATCCACACGGAAAAGACAACTTAGTGCTGAGCCGTGCTAACTCTTTAGGTAAAATGGCGCCAACTAAAGGCAGTAGGACTGAGCCCTACACTGCCGTAATAAGGAAGAACGCCGTATGAACATTCGAGAGTTGTCAAATTTCCTTCGATGAAACGTTCGTTTTTAAGGAAATTAATGAATATTTTTCGTTGAAATTTTCAGGAACTGTAGGTGAAGTTACGATCAAAATAATCTGAGTAAATTAGAAGAAAAATATCCACAAGTTTACTAGGAAATTCGCGATTTACCAAAGGAAATTTGGCAACGCCTGAGGGTTCATACGGCGTTCTTTCTTAGCACAGCAGTACAGCTTTAGGGTCCATACAGGCTATAGAGCTCAGCCTTACTGCCTTTAGTTAGCGCTAATTTACCTAAAGTGTCAGAGCTCAGCGCTTATTTGTTTTTCCGTGCTGGTTTTCGTAGTCTTGCCGCCAAATCATTGTTACTCTAGATGCTTTTTTCGTACCACTTGTTTGCTGATGTTCTAGGCGATTTTGAAAACTCTTTAAAAGTCATTTTTGAAAACTTTTTAAAAGTCATTTTTGAAAACTTTTTAAAAGTCATTTTTGAAAACTTTTTAAAAGTCATTTTTGAAAACTTTTTAAAAGTCATTTTTGAAAACTTTTAAAAGTCACTTTTGAAAACTTTTTTAAAGTAATTTTTGAAAACTTTTTTAAAATAATGTTTTAATACAAGAAAATGATTAATCATTTTATAAGGTGAAGTCTCAGGATGTCCTGTTATGTTGGCAAAAATATGTTGTTATTCCAGGCTGAAAGAGTGTTTGAGAAGGCAGCGCGTGATTTCATGGCGGCCACGCTGAAGTCGGCCCGCAGACTACGACCTCAAGGAAAATGGGGCTATTACTCGTTCCCGTTGTGCTTTAACTTCTCTCCTCACAACCCTCGAGCAAAATGCAAACCAAGTGCCATGAAGGAAAATGATAGGTGAGTAGATTTTTTACTCTTTCTAGTCTCTACCTTTCAAAACTCTTCTGCGATGTTCAAAAGTTGTAACCTTAGACATTGCTGATACTTCGGGCAATCTCCAGAAACACTGCAACTTGTGAAAGCTGCGTTTGGACTGATAAATTTTGAGTGACTGAAGGGACGATTTTGTGAAATTTTTGAAAGAACGAGAAGGTGATTTGAGTGATCAGGAACTGGGTTATTTTCGAGGATGACGGCTGGCGAGAACAGAGGGGGTGCTTGAGCGCTCGTCCGATAAACGGCCGTTCGCGGACAAAATACGTGACACTTTAGGGGGAGAGGTGTTTGAGCTTTCGTTACAAGTTTGCGTTACATAAGGTGGAAGGAGACCAGGGTTGCGTTACGTAACGCTAAAATCCACGCTACGTGCCGATTTTTCGAAAATTTAGGATGAGAAATCGGCGTGAGGTGGCCATTTCTCATCTTAAATTCATCGCTAATATAAGTCTTTTTGAGAGTCTGAGCAGAGCGTTACGTAATTTTTTTTTTAATAGAGCCCAGATTTGTGTTACAGGTGCGTTACAGGGGGAAAAGGTGGGTCTAATAGTCAGATTTGCAGCGGTACCGATTCTAAAAATGACCACCTTTATCCCTTTTTCCAAGGCCTACTTTTCTATCGTAGCGTTTAAGTCTCTGAAAATAATTCGGCTTTCAATTTGTTTCCTAACGTAATTCAAACACTGAGAGTACGTTTTTATGATAATTGCTGCTTGAAGGGATGAGAGCTATGTGAAAGTCAACCTAGCCTGACACTGAACTTTTTGGAAAAAGTTGCTTTTTTTGAACACCTCTTTTTTAACACACTGCTTTCCCACCCTCATTCTTCACCTCAAGCACACTATTAGTCTTCACTTCAAGCACGCCACTCATAAAAGAACTGGCTTCAAACGCAGAATCTTTGCGTAGGCATTATTTTTTATCATCAATACTAGAAGTATAATATTAAGAGCTCTATAAAAGTTGAAGGGGGGTGTAGATATACAATATTGAAGGTCAGCTCTGGCAGAACGCTGTTAATGCTAATGCCTCTGCATATGGGTGTTAATTTTTACGGTGTTACAATCTCCTCTGACGTTTTTTTCTGATCAATACTGCCAAGTAATATTTACGGCAATAATATCTGAAACTTATCAATCGCTTAGAACAGTATTGGGTTGCAACTGTTTTTTTCAGTTTCGACGTAACACGAGAAAACTTTTCGGCGGCCCGTCGGCTTTCCCACATAATTCGCAATTATTTGCAATTTTGCATCTCGCTTCTAGCGCAGCAACGATTCTTACAAGCTGGCAACAATGTTTTATCTCCCTTCAAATCCATTTTAATTATCGATCCCCACTAATTCACGTGCTTTCCACCTAGAATCGATCATTTTGCATACATTAAATTAGAGGGAAATAACTTTGCCAAAGTTACAAGAATCGTCACTGGTCTGACACTATATATCTTTAAGGAATTTTTCTACATTTATAGAACACATCTCAATCATTTTGAGAACATGAGTCACTCTATATTTTCCACAAAAAACTGGTTACCTACGACTTCTTTGTCGAAAGCTACTGATACATTGTTGCGATAATCCCTTGAGCCCTCGCTTCTTTTGGTAATATCGCTGAGAATATTTCCTAATTGCACACTTAGTTCCTGAAACATTTCTCAAAATCATCGTTTTATATCTCAGGAGTAACTGTACAAAATGTCGTATGAATGTCAACAGGTCAATGTTACCGGATTATCATTTCTAAGAACATTGCCTTCTGCCCCACTGGAGGGTTGAACACTCAATCTAATTACCCAAATCCGAAACGAACACGCGTATACGATCAGTAAGAGACTCATTTTTGTCACCGTGGTTTGTTGAAACAGAGAAAGCGACAGTACATTACGTAAACTTGGGATTTAACAAATATCCGAAGCGTTCCACTAGGTGACTCCATGTCTAGCCGTCTCCTCATCCTCGACCAGCACCTACTTTGGGACTCGGCACCTGTTATCTCTAACGATCACTTGAGTTTATGTGTCTTTGCATAGAGATGTTCTGTATGTGAATGAGCCCGAAAATCTTTCGTAAGATGCATTTATGAGACGACCTGCCACCTGCACTCCCGTGCTGAGGATTAACGCCGTATGAACCTTCAGGCGTTGCCAAATTTCCTTCGATAAAACACGAATTTCCGGGTAAAAATGTGAATATTTTCTCTCTAATTTTCAGATAATTTTGTTCGCAATTTCGCTTAATGTTCCTGGGAATGTTAAGGAAAAATATTCATTAATTTCCTTACCAATGAAGTTTCCATCGAAGGAAATTTGACAACTTTCGAATGTTCATACGGCGTTCTTCCTTAGCACGACAGAGTATTTCCTCTCCTTTCCAGTGAAAATCGATCGGGCGAGAGTGAAAGCTCGAACAGTGGGGAACTTCGAGGTCAACTTTCGTGACGAGTCATTGAACCACTTGATCTATGATCATTCTTTTGACCAATTAGTTCGCAAAATTGTGTCCATGACTTTTAAATCCATTAACTCATAATTTCTTTGGGATGTTTACCACGAGGAAAGGAAAACTTTTTGAGCCTTCCTCTCAGTGCTCTCTGTCAGATATTGTCATGTCAATTATGAGCAGTACGAGTGTGTATGATCGAACGTGAGTGCGTGTCAAGCGTTTGCTCTGTTAATCAACGAAGTTCGACAATGACACGAGAGCTCGCGACCTTCGTCGACCTTGACCAGTATTTTTTTAGTGAGCGAAGCTGGTGAATAACCTCTAAATTGACCCGCTGAGCTGTTGAGATGCCTATAGCTTCCGGAGTATTCAATCCTGCTGGCTCTACTAAGATAGTAGTATGTACTAGCCCATCCAAATATTCGACGGATATTTTTTACCAGGTCATTTCCGTCCCTCCCCCTCTCCTCCCCCCTCCCTTATTCTAGCAAAAACTAGACTCTTCCTTCTAATTTTTGCTAGAACCAATGGACGATGCTGAAACCTTTCATCAGGTATCGTCCACTGGAAGTCCGCCTTCAATTTTGCCGCATAGGCAACCCGCATATCGGAGTTCGCGAATAATTATCTATTCAAAAAATGCACTTTGGTACTTATCGCTCCATAACTTTTGATTAAACCGATGAACGATGTTGTCAACCCATGGCNGGGGGGGGGGGGGGGGGGTCGCTCATCTGAAGTTCGCCTTCACTTCCGCTGCATGTAGGCAACAAAACATAACAGGAATCACGAATAGCTGTATCTACTCTAAAACTTTCACTTACAATTATGTCCTTTCATAATTTTTTTTTTTCTGGAATCATTAGACAATTCGTAAACCTATTTGCAGGTATCGCTCATCTGAATTCGCCTTCAATTTTGCCGCATAGGCAACAAACGTACCGGAGAGCACGAATAGTTATCTGTTTGAAAAATACACATTTATATTGCTCCACGAGATTTGTTGCGACCAAAAAACGACGTTCTAACCCTTTTGATAGATATCGGCCTTGTTGTCGTGTCTTAATTGCCTTTTTTCTTGCATATTGTGTCTTTCTGGAAATTTCATTCTAAATTTATAAGTAGGTAGGTGATATTTTATCCTTTAAATTAGCAAAATTGCAATCTGAAAGGTAATCTAAGACTCAACATAGAAAAATTGCTCGCCTGAAAATTCGCTTCCGTGCACTCACATCCCTTTTCGATACACGTACTCATGGTGTTGACGGTCACATACATATTTAGATGCACGCGAATATTAGGCTATAATTCACGCCACGGCAACAAGATACAAATGTCATGCAAGGTCGCTCGCAAAATTTGGAATTTCCAATTTATCTTCTGTGAGTTACGGCGACAGGGACCGTGCATCTGTGGATTCAACGCGTGATACCGAAATTAAAGATGATTAATTTTATGACGGTAGTTGGCAGGTAAAAATAAACTTGTGTTCGTGCGTGTCTACTCCAAGGTGGAATAAGCCGCTGAAGGAGAAAAACGCGAAAACATCTTCTTTAAAGAGATGCGCCACACTCGTGCTAAAACTAGGAAAACACTCACCCGGCAATATTTTTAAAAATCAATTACCAGGGCCGGGCCTTAATGCACTCATGCATTTCTTTCATGCACTCCCTGTGATGAACGTCGTAAGTGAAGGGGGGGGGGCGTCTGAGACTCCGAGAGACACCTCGCGCCATTAAAAAATAGGGGTCCAAAGGTCCTCCTGGCAAATTTTTTAAATTTAGCATGCCTGAAACACTATTTTTCGCTCTATTTTAGAAGGCTGGCCAAAGTGCCCTGGTAAAAATTGCAGCAGAATCTGTGTTCCAAAAAACCATAGACCTACAGCCGGCTGTAAGATTTCCAATAGCTTCTATAGCCGGCCACACAATTTCTTATAGCTTTTTATAGCCGATGGCGACTTAGCAACAGCCAGGCGATAAAGTGTATGCCAAACGTTACTAATTACGGATGCTAGGACTTAGTGAGTTGTTGGACTACTGCTCTCTTTTTGGGCCGTAGTATCTTGATTTATTTTGCAAGGAAAGCTCGGTATGTTTTGATGGATGCCTGCCATTACTAATATATTAGAGCGCCTTCAGTTTCGTATGATACTGTGCAATACCTCTGGTGTGAAATAGTTGCTTCAAGCGCCGTGGCACACTGCGGCTCGGCAGGCGGGCAGCCAGCGCGAAACGCGCATTGGCGCCTACAAACCTAACAGGGATACTTCACGCGTTGCGCAATGCGTGAAGTATCCCTGTTAGGTTTGTAGGCGCCAGTGCGTCGCCGCTCCGCTTTGTGTTAGGCTCTAATATTTAATCTGGCGGAGTCAGCGTTATTCAAGTCATGATTTTGAAATGTTTGCACATCCTGTATGGATTATTCTCATTTTAATTGATGAAAAAAAAATACGTATTAAAGGAAAATATAATGTGTTTTGTAAATATTCAGGTGGTTCCGTATCAAACTTAATGATTTCCAAAGCACACGAATTTCTACACAATTTTTTATAGCCTTTTATAATCTATGGCGAAAAAGCAACAGCCAGGCGAGAATAAAGTGTAAAGCCCGGCGATAGGAACTTTAGCCCGGCTGCATAATTTTTATCGCTTTGTATAGCCCGGCCGTATGATTTTCTCCGCATTCTACAGCCAGCTATATGATTTTCTGTAGCCTTCTTTAGCCAGCTATAAGAATTCCTATGGTATTTTGAAACGCAGCTCTTATCGCCAATTTTTACCAGGGTGCAAAACCACGTTCGTCCGTCTGCGACGTTGCAGACTTTCTGTCATATTTTGTTTTTTCTATGGAAAAATAGTAAACGTAATTCCTTGAAAACTTCATTGATTTTGTATCTTCACTGATCGTTATGGCGTATAGTATCAAAAACAACCCACAGGTAACATCAGAGAACGAGATTTTTTTCAATGCCTCTCAATTTTTTGCGGAAATACGTATTACTTGATCCATTTGGACTCGACGATGGAGTGAGAGAGGTGAACAGAGGAAGGGGAGGGAGGGAGAAAGATCATTTGGCTTCTAAAATTTATGCACCAGCTGAAGAGAGGCAGACGCAAGCAGCAGACCCACTTCGGATAATTCCTCGGACATTGAACTATTACCGCACAGAGGATGTTTTATTGCCTACCTCGAAAATTGAAGGCGAGATGTCAGTGTTTGAAACATCTTTATCTCCTTCATCTTCGCACGTATAAATATTGGTTCCCTTACATTTTCAATCGGAAAGCGCTGTTGCCCGTCGTGAAATTGTCCCAGTGGCGTGGCGTGCTTTGCGATGTATCGATTGTTCTGCCATTTAAACCTATGGTAATGAATCGATTATTAAGGTGTTCGCTGTGAACACCCTGTTAATAGATCCTTTTCCATAGGTTTAAATGGAATAACAATCGATATATCGCCAAGCACGCCACGCCACTGGAAATTGAGGTCTCAGGTATTACAAATCGGAATTCCAACTTCAACCTCAGTAAAGTGATTAATTCTAACACGAAAAACCTGAAAAAACGAAAAAAAATGGCCAATTTTGAATGTGTTTTTTCTTTTCTTTTTTAGACTGGATTGGCTTTACTCAGGCAGTGGCGCGCTCTACCCTTCCCTGTATTACAAGAAAAAAGACATGACGTCCGAGACGAGGGCGGACTTCATGACCGGAAGAGTTGTGGAGGCGGTAAGAATGGCCCGTGGAAACCCAGTCATCCCATACACGTGCCTCAAATACTATGATCAAAACAATGAGTTTGTGACAAAGGTGAGATTTTTTTATATGATTTCACCTTAAAAAGTTTGGGCCTATATCCTCTTTGGAGGAAAATCGACCAATTTGAGGCATCATTAAGTGTTTAGTTGAAAATTGCCCACTCGCATGAAACTTCCCAGTGAATAAAATGAATAACTACGAAACGGTCGTGCTGCAAAAGCTCTGTATGATACGGTTGCTTTATTCGCTCAGCGAGTAGGAATAACAACAGATGCTTAAGAGCTGTGCTACATTGTAGCAAAGTTCGTTTACAACTTTATTTTAGGACCATTATTTTTGACAGCAATAATAATTAATTTTATCATTTTCTTGTCAGCCCTGCAAACGTGCAACGTGCCCTAACAGTGCAACGAAAAAAGTGAATTGCAGCTGCAATTCAATACAATTAAACTATAATATTTCATTATAAAATTGCGATATTCTTTCATCATTTGGTCAATAAATTCAAATTTTCAAGGACGAATACTGCAAGTTCCATGTACCAGAGAGATAGGCAATTTGCAATGTAAAGGAAAATTGCAACATATTTCAATCTCATTGATAGCATTTTTAGTAAGAGGAGCCCCTTCAATTAGTGGATAGGCAACATACTCAACAATTCAACGAAGGAAGGAAAATATTGCGACCTATGCTACTTGGGTCATTTTTAAGACAAATGAACCGAGTTCATCAGACAGGAACCAACCCACATCAAGTTGAAACTGAGACATAGAGATTTTAAGTTTTATTCCTCCATAAAACTCAATGTAGAAAGTAAACTTAACCCTCTAGGGCATGAATTAATTTTGGATCTGAGATTCTGGGGGACACTTACCTACTTTGAAGCTTGCATAAAAAACATTGAGTACCAGTTTTTTTTTTTCAAAATTTTAAATTTTTGGGAATGAGTTATTAAGAAAAAGAGGAAAAATAATGAAAACTTGCAAAATTATGTCACAGAGGAAAGATTCAATTTTTAAAAACCCCCAAAATACGTTGTTACGAATTCATAACGCTATGCCACAAGTAGAGGGTTAAACTTCTCTTTTCACAAACTAATATTTTCTTCGACTTCGAATTTTTGGTAGGAGAAAAAATACAACTAAAGTTAAGTAAGCATTCTTAAGTCAATTTTTTCGAAAGCGAGGGGTTGGTTATTTTCTGATGAACTCGGTCCAAATCAGGGCTGGATTTACCTACTTGCCGCCCATGGGACGCCTGTATTTTGCCGCTCCTTCTCATTCGTTTTGAAACATCGATACAAACCATCAAGTGAACGCGCCGGAGGAGAAGGGGTGCATGAGACGCGTTTACTCGTGTTGGGCACATTTTTTGTAAAAGCCCTGTCACCACTAGCAAAAGTTCACGGAACTTTGCGTGAAAGTTAAGTTCCGTAAACCAGAAACCTATCTCTGTGTGGACAAGGCCTTTCATTTATAAGAAATGAACGAAAAAATTATGAAAGAATAAATATGAATGTGGCTTTATAATTTAAATTTCCGCCACCGCGCCATAACCGCACTGAGTTTGGCGCAATGCGTAAAGTATCTATACAGTCTTATAGGCGCTATGCGTTTCACGCCGCGCCGACCGCTGCTGACCGCACTACGTTTGACGTAATGCGTGAAGTATTCATGGAGTCTTGTAGGCGCTAATATGTGTTTCATGCTGACCGGCGCGCCGAGGGCTTCTCCTTTCCATCTCAAGTCCTCGTCATCATTGCTCTCTGCGCCGCGCCGCTCCAGGCCAAATAGCGTGTTTGGTTTCTCTCTCCCCAAGTAGCATTTCTCAACGGAAAAATCGCTATATATTGCCATTTTATCGGCGATAAAATTGCCAGGATCCTCAACATCTGAGCAATTATCCTCGATTTTATCGCTATAAAATCGCGCTTTTATCGCCCGACAATTTATCGCAATATTTTCGAAATAAAAATCGCGATAAATGGCGATTTAATCTCGATTTATCGACAAAAATTGATCGCGATTTTATCGAACCAAAAATTGCGATTTGTTGCGATTTAATCGTCATATATCGCGATTTTTAATGCGATAATATCTCGATATATTTCCACCGATATAACCGCAATAACCAACCGATAAAATCGCTATTCATCGCGATCAGTGCTACTTACTTGGGTCACTAGACTTATGATAGGCGCTGTCTCTTGTATCACCGAAAGACGAACAAATTAGAAATTACTATACTTTAACTCTCCGGAAATGAGAGATTTTTCCGCCTTTTCTCGTTTGTAATTTTTTTTCTGACTCAGATTTTTTTCTTGATACCTACATTTGAAAAAATTACAACATTTGCTGCCCCCTAAATTTGCAGCTATGGGCCGCGGCCCATGCGGCCACCCCCTAAATCCGGCCCTGGTCCAAATATTAGTTAAAACTTTCTCTTCTTTCTCAGGTTGATTTTCACAACACATTGAAAGTACCGAGGAAACATGGAGCTGCTGGAATAATAATTTGGGGCGCATCCCGAGATGTAAATACAGAAAAGAAATGCAGGCAAATGCTGGATTTCTTGGAAACAGTTGTGGGGCCTGCTGTGATGCAAACAAGATCATTGAAGGATTAATCGGACCAAGCTTTTCTAGAAACAGCGAATTTAGTATAGTTCCTATGTAGATTAAGTGTTATTCCACCGATATCCTTAAAATGCTCAGTTGTCAGCTACAAATTATTCCTGGCAGAATAAAACCACCTCTAGGATTAAATTATCAAAGTTGCTCTAGCCCCTTCCATTCTGGTTGGCAACTCAATTTGGGATCCCTACCTGGAAGGGGTTTTCTGTTGTCCCGTTTGTAGGGGAGAGGAAGCGTCTTACAAGGAGACCTGTTGCACCTTGAGAAGGGAGATAAATCCATATTCGAAATTTTTAATTTCAAAATATATTGTGGAAACTTTTAAGTGATAAAAGTTTCCTGGAAAAAAGAGAAGGAAGTTGGAGGTTGCAAAGGTTCATGGCTGAATGCTTGAAAAAGAGAGTAAGTCTAGTGCGTTTTGATGTTTGAATTAAAATGTATTGAAAAATACTTGGAACTAGTAAATAATTAACAATCAAAGAAGAGAATGAAACAAGAGGAAGCTCGAAGCATTTCTGACTGAATAATCAAAAAGTAAGATAAGACTGAGCACCTGAAACTTACACAGATCTGTAAGAGGCTAATCTACCTGTTTGACAAAAACAAAAGAAATATGTAGAATACATATTTGGATGTCCTTTTTTATGTCTTTCTGTTTTATGTTTTGTTTTTTTTTTTTTCCTTTTTTATTTTTGTCTTTGTCTCCATTAAAAAACATGCCTTCGAAGTACTTACATCTTCAAACACTACTTACAAATATGAAAAAGGTAGAATAAATTCTCTATTTCCAATCACAATAAATACGAAAATGATCCTCATGGGCAATTGATGCTTTCATTGAACAGAAACATTATACATATTACGCAGTGCGTGTTTTTCTTACCACTGCTCATAAACTATTTGACACGCACCTGTTTCAATATGATCTCATTCATTTATTGATCTAATTTATGCCTCTTTTTTCTTCTTACACCAATTTGACTTGTGAAGCAAATCACTTTGCAATTAAATTCAATATTTAATAGGTGTAAGTTGAGTATTACTATATAATGTATTGTCCTAATGAATGAAATGTCAATTAATTAATCTACTTGATTTGAAAAAGGAAACAGAGTTACCAATATGAAGTGTACAAATTTATGTAAATATTATTGTAGTCAAAAAATAAAATAATTTGACTGACTTACCCTTACCCTACTTTTCTTACTTCTTCATTTGAAAATTATCACAGAAAAAACGATTAAGAGACATTTTGGTGATCCTGATAAGAAAATTATTAAAATTAAAGTGTATGACACACAGTATTAAGGTAAAAAAATGGACTTCAATGTGTAATTTAATCACAAATCACACTCTGACACAATTTATGCTTGAAACAGCTGATAACTCAATTTTTTTTAAAAAAAAATTAAGTAACTCCTTTTTTCACGATAATTCTTATTTGTAAAGCAAGACGACTGCTTTGTATTGTACTGTGGTGCAAATTCAAAATTTTGAAATGTTTGTTTTTTGAAACTGCAATTACTTGTAATAAATGCAAGCTGGATTGAAATTCGAGAGCAGCAATTCCGTTTTTAGACTTGTTAACGGTCTGCAAATTAGAACTGAAGTTTTACAAAGCAACTCTGCAAGGATGATAAGGATTATGACAAAATTTACTTTAATTAAATATTATCAGGAGATCATTTGTAAAGACATCCTGCCTTTTACCTCAATGCATTATCTTCCATGGACAGATATGTAAAAATGATGAAGTTCTAAGCATGACAGACACCCTAATACAGGTTGAGGAATGTCTTTGATCACAGCAATGTCCTGATTCACCAAAAAATAGTGACCCATCAAGCTGCCAAGAGATGAATTTTTAATGATGAATGGCTCAATTTTCATAATTGGCAAATCCACCTTGATTTTCTCATGTATCTACAACAAAAAATAAAGATAAACTTTTAGGTTATGAACAAATAGTGAACAAACTATGTAAGATGTTCAAAAATTCACAATAATTGAATGGACAGAGAACAAAGATTTTGGAATAAATTTTGGGGGAAAATGTCTCAAAATGGTACAGATGAAAAAATTACTTAGGTTTCCAACACGTAACTTACCTAATTTTATCCTTTTTTGAGGAGGACTTCCTGATGTTTCATCTTCTTCTGAATCGTCAATATCTGGGACAACCTATAAGATGGAACAATAGGAAGAAAATATTATCTTTAATATGAGAAGTAAATATGTGTGGTACAATATGAAATACAGAAGAATCTGATTGAACTTTGGGTTAGCGGGAATATTAGTGACACTGTTTAGCAGAGAAACCTATTATAAATAGCTCCAAATTAAGGGAGAACAACTTGGGATCTGACGGAAATTAGATCCTGCTCCATACTCCTCCTACGCTTTCAGAACTGGGACTGAAAAATAACCAGAAATATCGGCCCATCAGTACTTGGATCATCTTATTATAGTTGTTCTTTGCCATGTGAAGGGGAAAACTGGTCCGAAATTACCCTAAATATCGATCGCCCCTCCCCCAGAATTTTTTCAGGTGTTCCCCTGCCTGTTCCCTCCTGAAGATCCCTACAAATAAGCACATGACCTAATTATTAGTATACAAAACTGAAAAATTAAAACAAATAATATAGGATAATTAAAAGGATTAGCTTTGTACCGGTTGATAAAATAAAAAAGGAAAATCTCTTTAGCGTGAGGAACAAGTGTAGTTGGTTCAGATCCCTTTCTTGTTATCACTAAAAGAAAGTCGATTCTGTGTCAAATTGCATCAGATTAATTCCGATCAGCACACAGCATAACAACAAAATTTGCTTGACTCTTTTAAATGAGAGGTGAACATCAGCAGGAAACTATTAACTTTAGAAATGAAATATTAACTTTTTAATGAAATACTGATTTCATTTCTAAAGTGTAATAAATTAATGTTGTGTGACATTGAAACTGCAGGAAAGTGTATCTCAGTTGCAGGGATTCAAAATCTCCACTCCTATTTTAATTTTTGAAAGGAGAAAAAACTAACATCATTACTCGAAATTTGTGCAAAATTACGCAAATTGCAGATAAATAATTACAAAAATTTTGAGGATTTGATACTTTTTCATTTAACAACTAAAGTAAGACAAGAAGTCTGCAATGTTGCAAATCAAGATAAGTGTTTCTGGAGTTACTCTGTAGCATATAGTTTTTGTCACCGAAATCCATGACAATTAATTTTTACAAAATTTTCATCGTCCCTAACTCCTAATAAGTTCTAAATTAAAATTAAATGAGCATATTTACCTGTAATGGCTCATAATAACTCCTGGAATTGGTTGTGATGATGAACATAAGAATATCCTTAACTTCACTAGCAGTTAATCTAAAACGTGGTTCCAGCACGAGTAATCTTCGTATTAAATGTTTAGTTAGTTCACTAACTCGCCCATCACTGTTGAAAAATAAATTGATTCTGAATTAGTAGGGTTTATGATTATATTTTTTCTCAAAGATGATGACAGTAATAGTATTAGATATTTTGCACTTGTTTACTGTTAGAGATATAACTTGCAATTACATGGTAAAATTTCAAAGAAAAAATTATGATATGCATAAGGAAGCTCCAAGCAAGCTTGGAGTTAGCTTCTTTCAGATGACTTTTGATGATGTGACACAGCAAAAAGAAGACAAACAGCATTAAAGAGAAAAAGAGAGAGAGAATATGTATCTTACTTGGGGATCATAAAATCAGCTGCTTTGATTTTGTTGAACAACTGTGTTGGACTAGAATCGTAAAATGGAAATTGGCCATACAGCATAGTAAACAGAACAACGCCCAATGCCCACATGTCTGAAGGCTTGCCTGAAACATTAAAAGGTAATAAATAACCAGCCCCATTTGGAGTTAAGAGGAGAAATTAGCTTGAATAGATACAGAGATAAAAATAACCCTTGTTTCAAATCAGTTATCATCAAAATGCGCAGATGGGTGCGGTAACAGCTACCCATGCAGGCAGGATAAACGAAAACTTAGGGAACAAGGTTTCAATGATTTTTCAAAAGTTGGATGTTGTTGCAGTCACGACTAACTTTCCATTCCGGACACAGAATAAAAGTAACACCTAAATTATCAATAAATTGGTTCGATAACCAAGGGTCTACTCCGGTTCCAGAAAGATTTTAAAAAGCTAAGATTATTCTATCGACCTAGGTAAATGAAACATAAAATGAAGCTTTTTTTGGATAAAGCCGTTTTTCATCACGTGTAAAGACATGCTGCTAACTGATACCAGTATATATGGAGACAATTTTTAACAGGAGGGATGTTTCCGTTGAAAACAGCGCGCAGGGGGGGGGGGGGGGGACAATTTTTTTTTATTACTTGAAGTAGGTGGAATAAATTGGTTAATTTTTGACCAGATGAATTGGTTTTGATTTCAACCGATAGCTTTATAGTTGGTCTTTCAAATGAAACAAATATCAAGCCCCTTGCTTGCTTCATTTTTTTAGCTACAGCGCTAATCTGGGTATTTTTGGACAGCCCAGGGGCTACCGATCAGGTTCCATGAAAATTACCATCCGAGGTAAGTTTAACAAGAGCTACAAATAAAATTGAAAACCAAGGAGACTTTCAGGACAATGGTCTCCTTGGTACAAGAGTGTATTGCTCCTTCCTAAGATGAAGGGTAAAAAAAGAAATTTGCCATATTTCTAACACAGGCGTCTGAAAGTCTCAGAGGTTTATTCAAACATGTCAAATGCAGAACAATATTGATCCTTCATGACAATAGAATACTACAAATTAAATTTAGAAATTTTTCCTTCAACAATACCATTTTTCTTCTGAAGAGGCAATTTATCGAAGGCACTTAAAAACCATAAATACATATGAGATTGGTTACCTAAATAAGGTTTCCCACAAAGAACATCTGGAGAAATGTAGGCTGGAGAACCTCTTTGATCACAGAGCAAATCAGTTTCACTACTCAGAAGTTTCCCCAAGCAGAAGTTAGTGATAGTAACTTTGAGGGATTCTTGATGTAAAACTAGGTTCCCCAATTTTAAGTCTCGATGAACAATATTCCTCTGAAAAACATATAAAATTAAAAATTAGATAAAATTCTAGGTATGCAGAAAAACTGTAATTAGAACTTAAACACACAGCTTTTATTTCAGTAAAAATATAAGTAAGTACCTAGATGGATTTACTTATTAGGTTGAGAATTTCTTTATAATGAATTGCAAATGTATAAGGACAGAATTTGAAAACTTTATAGCAAAAAGTTCAAATTTATACTATACTTAAATTGAAAACAGTGTACCCCCAATGTAACATTTCAAAATCTCTGACCTCGTCTTATTTTTTTGCCAAAAAAAAACTAACCAAGATATTTCCTTAAAATTTTCCTAAAAGAGTAAAGAGTTTAAAACATATTTTTAGAAAAATGTTAATTAGCTTTAAAATAAAAAAAAGTATGGGCGATGTTGCGATCAAAGATACTCATTTCTTGACTTCAGCCATCAGAATACTTTTTATTGTTTTTCTTAATTTCCCATGGAGATGTTTACCATGTGATGACTAACAACTGCACTAATAACTATGACTACTGACTATATAATCACCCACTGACAATCATGATTTCCAGATTTGTAACTTTTTGAAATGGTAAATTTTTTATCCTTAGCTCAAGTTCACTGACCAGTGTGCTATACAATCATCCACTACATAGAGTCGTAATATAAATGGGAGAGCTGGCGCCACTTTTAAGCATTTTTCAGGTCCCGAATTCAATGACTCTTGTGTCATGCTGGGTCACCATTTTGGTACATAATCGATTGTTTTCGATTCACGGGGACCCAGCCATCCGAGAAAACAAAGAGGATATGAATTATTACGTATTCTACAACGCCATTTTGGATCGAAGATGTATCAAATAGGTAACCAAATCTTGGCGCACACCGGGCTCGGAACTCATCGACCAGAACATGGCCCCAGCTCACTTCATTATATAACGACTTTATGCTTTCTATGTACATAGCTTTTCATCACTTATTTTATGTGTTTTCATGCGTCCTCTGTTTCTTATATTATTTTGAGCTCTTACCTTATGAAGTTTTTCAACGACACAGACTGTGTGGTAGAATATGATTAGGGCATCATGTTCAGAGAGTTTCTTTTCTCGGATAATGTAACGCTGCAAATTTATCAGATCCATACTTTGAGGGCAGAACTCATGTGGGGTGAGGCAATCCAACACAAGACATAAACGTTGACACTGATTTCCAATTGTCTCTGTCAATCCATCACTGCTTACATGTTCCTCTACGGCAAGATCCTATGGAAAGAATGGACATGCGAGTGATAACAACAAATTGAGAGGAAGCATTAACCAATTGAAACATAAAAGAGCTGCTTAGGTTCGGTTGAACATTTTTTTAACCATACATTAAATGGGTGCACTTCAAATGACAATATCATCCAAAATTTTCTACTTCAAAAGCGAAAATTGTCCTTGTTGGTTCCTCTTTTAGCTACTAAATACTGTTAAAAAACTTGGCTTCAACAAAGGCTTGAAGAGAGAGAAACATTCCAAATAATTCTTTCTCAGCGATTTGATTCATATATTTTTCTTTGCTAAGGGGCGCTATTGGAAGACGCTTCAAAAAAAAATTGTGGTTGAGAGAGAGGATGAATCAAAAGAAGAAATTTTTGAGCGATTGTTGTACGATGATAAGTGAGTTCTTGACCGAGCTTTTACAGGCCCCATAATCCTTTCTTCATTTGTTTGCTCATGCAAAGGTTGGTTATAAGAGTTCAGAGAATTCCACATAAATTACCTTGAAAAACCCATGATGATGACTAACATGAGGTAGATCATGCAAGAGGCTCAAAAGAGAATATTCTGTGTGTAGTAACATTTTCCCTTGTCTGTCATCTTGAGTCTCCTCTTCTTTTGGCGGAAGCAATAAAATCTGTAAAAACAATTGAATTAAATCAGATGGCAGCAAAAATATTCAATGAAAGTTTGACAGAGTTGAAAGCCGAGAGTGATAACTTGAATTTTATTACAATTTTTTCATACTTATGATCAAATTTTAAAGATTTTGCAAAATGCTAGAGTAGTAAAAAAAAATACAAGAAGAAAATAATGAAACAACATGAAATAATAATGTAAACAACAAATAAGAAAGGCAGAGAACAAATTACTGAAATCAAGTGTTTTCACTACGTCTTTCAGATGAGATTAATTACCTTCAATGACACATCATTGATAATTTAAAATTTTATAGAACTGAAATGTTGCCATGCCTAAAGGCTACGTTTTGAGGGGCTCCAAGATGAAGATGAAATGGCGAAATTCGAAAAGTACGGCCTTTTCTTTGCTCTTTCTTTACAGTTACACAAAATTAAGAGGGGAGGGGGGGGGGGGGGGGGGGAGCCATCACTTTTGAAAGTTAGAAGTGACAAAATGCAGACGGCACATACTTCAGCAGCAAATAGGTCAGTCTGCTCCTGAAATTCTGTACATAATAGGAGAAAAAGAAACAGAAGATTTGAAAAATACTGTCAACACTTCTCAATTTTTTTTCTTTCTAATATTAATTTTTTATTTCATAAAAGTCTATTTTTCGATCTCAAATCTTCTTTACGTCCAGTCATCCAGTCCATCTCCATTACTTTTAATTGCTAGACTTGCAACTGATAGCTACATAGATTATAGCCAGCCAATCACGCGTAAACTTGTTATCTCACCACGCGTGATGTCAGCAAGTCTATATAAGCGTGCGCTGCGCCTAAATCGAGGTCTTCTTCCATTCCCTAGACCAGAGACATGGTACTCCTCTCTTAACGTCTCTTCGTCAAAGGTTTCCTCATACCTTTTTAAACTCAAATAACTTATTTAAATCCCTTTCACCAAGTGTCATCACTCTCAACATTTAAAGTGCATCATTGTGGGAAATCTCAACGACTTTTCCACGTTTGTTCTTCATATTTTGTGCAACGTTTCTGTGCAATTTCAGATCAATACAGTGATATACTTTATTTCAAACCTCGTCTCTTTGATTCTTGATTCTTGCTCCATTTGTCATAGTTTGTTGGTCTTACGTTAACAAAGACCCGCTGGTGCCGAAATCGGAAATCACTTTGACCTTTATTTCCATCTCACCACTAATAAACTTTAACGTGGTATCGAAACTGATTTTTAACTGACTCTTAACTTTCACAAATACTTAAAGCACATTTGAAAGAGACTCCAACTTACCTTAAGAGTGTAGAATTCATCTGTTCCCTCTTTCCGAGCCAAGCACTGAACTATGCTTTTGACTGGGGATGTTCCATGCATTGGACCCAAAATATAAGGACCGGCTCTCTTCATTTTCAAACATGAATATGTGATGGAAGGAGATACTGAAATGAAAAAATGTTGTCAGTTTGAGATGATGCACTAAAACCAAATCGGGAAACTGATACTCTTTTCCTGACCAGAACTGTGAAATAATTCCGGTAGATTATTAGTGTTCTGCACCGATATTACGTTCCGCTCGAATTGCTCCCTTCTCTTCCTCAAACGCATATTATCCTGGCACAGACATCCTATCCTTTGATCATCTGGTATAATGTATGAATGCCCCTTTAAATTTATGTTTCTCTCCTCAAATAATTTACACTTGGGAGGATGCATGCGTGCAGAGTGTCTACAAACTGATGATCTATATTTAGCGGGTGAACAGTGTACACTACAAAACACGCCGTACACTCCAGGAGTAGCCATGCTGATTTTTGGTTAAAATTACTTTCACCACACTGGGAAATAGTGTTTAGGGAAAATTTGCGTTTTGTGGGTGAAAGCGAACACTGATGAACTTTTCGCACCCTTTCTGCATGTAGGTCAGTCCATTACCAAGCTAACCTTAGAAATTTCCCTTCTCAGAACTGGTTTACCCTGAATGGCAATTTTGATGCATTTTAACTACTCCATCCAATTGAACCATTTAGTTCGCAAAATTTGCTAGTCCCTGTAAAGCCTAAGTCACACGCACAAGTTGATGAACATTCTTTGAAAAAGTGAACTGACACCGGTGGCTGACTGCCCACAGTCGAGTCTGAATATATATGCTTTTGGTTAGATTATGCTGAAGATTGTGATATACTAATGACTATGCTGGCAAGATAAGCTACTGATAGAAACAAATAATGTACCTCAATCTAGGGAACGCTGAAGAAAATTTCGGATGTCAACAGAATGCCTTCAGGAATCAAGTAAACAAACATTTGAAAGAATAGATTCGGGAAAAAATTCACAGGAGTGGTTATAATCCACACGGTGCTCTGCTGTAATTTCCATGACTTTGAAGCTCGAATAAAAATTTTGAACTCATTAATTCACTCTATTTTGACAGACCAGAATTACACACCACAAAGTGAAAAATAGTGAAAACAAAAACAAAACTTTTAGAGGTTAGAACATGCTTTGTTGCCAAGTATAATTTGTTTATTTCCGTGCCTCAAACAAAACAAGGGAGTGAGCGTTAACTGTGGCAATGCTGTATAGCTGTGTTGAATCGAAATTCAATTTATATTTATACTAGCCGTTCTGGGCGCGCTTCGCGCGCCCGGCACGTCTAGCCGGGGGGCTGCGCCCCCTGGACCCCCGGTCACTCGCTACGCGAGTGACATTCGGCTCGCTTCGCGAGCCGATTTTGTGGTGGTTGCGAATTTTTTATCTCTTTATTAAGTAGATTTCATAGAAAACATTATTCAATTTTCACTCCACAATTAACTTGTAGAATAATAATGACGGGGCAAGAGATAGACTGTATCTTGAAATGGACGGTTCCCACTTAGCAGAAACAGCCAACACCACGAGTAAGTGAGGAACCATCTTTAGCCACTTTTTTTTTTTACTTTTCTGAAAAATATTACTGAAATTTTAGTTGCGCTTCCTTAAATGATAAGTGTTAATATAAATTTCCCTTTTTTACAGTGTTGTTAAAATAATAAAGTTACCCAGCAGGAAATTTCATTTATATTCCCGGTGGGCCTGCTACTCAAAATTTGATTTGCCGTTATTCAGTTGAGCTGGGCCTAAGAAATCCCACAAAACCCATTAAATTTACATTGACAGGTCGAAAGTTCGTCTTATGACGCACAATGTTAAAAAGCGAATTAATTGTGTTGCCAGACAACACGTCCTGCAATACGTCATCATTGAAGCTGGATTCATGCTTATTTTATCAAAAATATCCTCAGAGAACAAAGGATAGGAAAAGAAATATTAGAACAGAAAGGAAAAGAAAGGAAAGAAAAAACGCAGAAGAGATTCAAGAAAAGCACAGTATAACAGAGAAAAAAATATAGAAAAATAACAAAGAAAAGACTCCACTAGGGTAATCTGAGCTCAGCTGCGTGTGAGCATGAGCAAGATAAAATAAAAACACCGAGGAGATTCAAGAAAAACACAGTAAAGCAGAGAAAATGTACAGTCAAATAAATAAAGAAAATTACTATCGAAGAAATTCTAATCATTCGGAAAATAATTCGCTGGCGTAATCTATGCGTAGCTGCGTGGGAGCACGAGCGAGATTTGTCATCAACTGAGGCCGCTAGGTACCCTGGTACCTGGGTGGGCGAGCGACAATGCGTAAGCGGTGGCATGGTTCGATTGACAGAGGAAAGGGGACCGGTCGGACATAGGGGAAAGGTTCAGGCTGAACCGTTCAGCACAGCGCAGCGTCAGTCACCGGGTGGGGAAGAGAGGCGGAGAGGGGACACTTCCCCTCGAGTGAAATAGAAAAAGGCAGAATCCTTCGAAGTTTATATTAATGATATTTATTTAATATGTTCAAATAAAATGGATAAAAAAAAAATTAAAAAACTAAGCTCAGAAGAGTTTTTAAAAAAAATCTTGAAAACAAAAGATAAAAATTTAAAAACAAATTTCTATTAAAAATGAAATATTATAGTGTCCGATCAAGGGGTGCAGTTTTGTTGCCTGTTCTTCTCAAATTTAGAGGCACCTCTTAAACAAAGGGCCGTACAAAAAAATGGTGAGAACATTCAATTTGCATTTTGTTATGATCTCCTCATGATTGGTTTACGGATAATGGGTTCAGCCATAACTTTGGATCTAAAAACCCCAAGGGGACGAGAAAGAGAGACACCCCCCCCCTCCCATATGATTCTAATAAAATTATTACATTCATATGGCATACCGATGGCCATAAAGTACGAAACCACTTTACTCCAATTTTTTAAGTGGAACAAGTCAACTTTAGAGCTTGAAATCTCCACTCTATAGCTTGAAATTCTGTGAGCAGAGAGACAAAATCAAGAAAGTTTTTGAGTTACATTGAATAGTTTTCCAAAAAAATAAAATACGACAGAAAATCCGCAACGTCACAAATGGAGACATGAGGTTTCTCAATTTAGCAGTCAATATAGCAATAAAGCAGGGAATTCTCTCTCAGCATGCACTTACGGAAAAGTTAAAAAAAACGGTTTAAAATCTACAAGGCAGGAGAGGAGCTTAAGTGCCGTGGGCCTGAGAGGTTTTGATCAACTACAATATGACCCTCTTCTAGATATGCTGATCTAAGCTCTTCCAAAATGCATTGTGTCCCTGTCTAGAATATGTTGTTGAAACCAGCCTGTTCCAGATAAGCCTTTTATTCAAAAATTATAGACTAATCCCTTTCACTTAATAATTTCCCTTTCTTTGTAAACGGCTGGCTATGAAAGTATTTTAAGGGAACTAGGAGAAAATATATCAAATCAAGGAATAGAAAATAGAAAATTGTTTAATGCAAAAAGTACATTGAACAGGACTGAATTGCACGGATAAAGCGTCTTACATGTATTTCATTATCTATGGCTTCTGAGCCCCTCAAAAAGGCTAAAATAAGGTAGATCTGGGTACAGAGACAGATATGAGTAGGTAAATGAAGGTGAGAAATATGTTAGAGTTTGATTGACGAATCTGGTGCATTAACTTGTTGAGTGGAATTTTTTTAGAAAACATTTAGATCACGGTTATTTCCATAAGGGCTGATTTCTAAATGTCATGAGTGCAAGATGAAAAATCAGGATCACTTTTTCTAACACCAGTTCAAACGTTGTTTTAAAGGCCCTCATAATTTTCAAATCTTGAAGTCACAAAAATTTTACAAGAGTAACAAGTTTATACACTGGCTCAGTCAATTATACATGTTCAACAGTGTCGCATACTTGGTTAGTTAACCTAAGAGAAAAATGATGTGATGAAAAGAGTTACAAACTGCATAATCAAGAACTTCTTGAGAGAAAAGCTTTTATAACACTCTTGAATATAGTTGATTATTACAAATCATCAAATCTGTGATTAAAATAATTTGTATTACAGGCTTTGTTAAATTATTACTCAGCATCATTCATCACATGTCAATCATTACATGTTTTTTGTTCCCTTTTTTTTTTGGTAGATTTCATACCAAAAATAGTTCATCGTTACATTACATAGATGTTTCCTTTACAATCTGAATTACTTCACTCTGAAATTCGGAGGCACAAAAAACACTGTAAAAACTAGATCAATTGAAATCATTACAAGTGTGTTAGATAGTACTGAAACATAACAGAATTTTCATTCAATTCCATTGGGGGGAAAAAAGGTGTTATATGGAGGAAAAAGCATCTATTATTTCTTTTTCCATGGGTTTCCGAAAAGTTCTAGGTTTTTGAATAGTCCGTTATTCAGAGCTGAAGACGAAGCTATGATACTTGTAAAGCTAGATTCTAAAGTTAGACTGTAGGGCTAGAAATTTAAAAAGTTACAAGCACATCAGTTTTTATGAACATGACTATTAAAGTCAATTAATATAGTTAGTAATATTGAAAAAAGATTTTCAAGGGGGGTTCTGGTTGCCTTGGCTGCTGCCTCCGATCAGGCTCAAATTTTTCCCGTACAGTTTTTTGCAGGATTTTATTTCACATATTTATGTATGATTTCCCCAATGAGCCTTAAGAGCAGAGCGAAAAATTGAATAATAAGAAGATGGCATGTAGCCATTAAAATCCTGGTAAAGGGAAAAAGTACAGTAAGAATCTAGTTGCAGTTACATAGGCCTGCCCTTTTTCCTACCGGTAAGAAGGAGCGTTGGAGATAAACAGGATACAGGTTTGAGTTTTACATTGGATTCCATCCAAAATTATTTGTCTTTCTAAGCCTAGTCATACTTCTTGATACTTCAGAAGTAATAGAAAAATATGCTAAATGAAATCATTAAAAAAATCCGTGAAAGAAATTTGATCGTAATCAGAGGAGGCAGTGTGAAAAGTTCCCTTGTTAGTGAGGGCTTCTAAATTTTTCATCATCACATAAATAAAAGCATGATTTTGAATTTAACACCCATGGAACCGTCAAAAGAAACTGATTTTGAAGGATGAGACTAATTAAAGTAAAATATAACATGATATAATGAGTTTGAACTAAATTAACGAAATTACTATGTACTAAGAACAAAACTGATATGAAAAGTTAAACAAATTACTCACAAACTGAGATGCCATTTTTTCCAAAGAGGAAAGAAACATGCAAGTTATGAGTGATTAAATAAGCCTGAAGATTAAAGCCAGAAGCTTACGCAAAAATTGAGATCACAGCAATTTTCCACCTCTAACACACAGTTGCTTGATGCCACCACCAAGTGGATTCTACGGTCAACATACTAAAACTGAAACCTTGTAGGGGAAAATACCCATGTTAAAGGGCTGATATAATTCTGACACAGCTGCAGCATTTGCTAAGTTAGAATAAAAAGTATAATAGAAAATAAATTATACATTAAAATTACAACTAATTGTAAGATACCAAAATAAAAAATACGGCAAAAAATGAACTACGAACACCTAAATGGAATGCTTTTATGACAGCATTAGGCAAATCAGGAAAAAAAAGACAGAAAATACCAAAGGACAGAAAATATATCACATTATGGAAGATCCTCTGGAGTAGAAATAATATGTAACTAAGATTACGGTACCAAAAGAAGTCACCAAGAAACAAATTGAGAATACCACAAGAGATGAAACGTCTTGATGACTGCCTTAGGGAACAAAAAGGACATATTTGATAAGCCAAAAATATAAATCAAAAGTAATTTTAAAACATTTGACGACATACGCCAAATGAAGAGGTACATTGGACTTAACGAGAGAAAAAAGAAGAAAGAAATTAGTTAAATACTACCACCTACAATCAGATGATAGTTGGAAGGAACAAATATTTTCAAAGACATTCTGCGGGATATTGGATTCCAAGGATATAGTAGTCAACAGGAGAAAATTTCTCCCTGAGAAAGTCTTGATATGTGGATGAAGGGAAAATTATTTTCTAGGGTGGGCATTTCAGAGTTCTTTGAACATAGTAAATGTTCAAAGAAAGAGTAGAAATGTAATTATTGAGATATTTACATTTTGCAGGTACATTGTAATTAGTCAAAGGACCCATGATAAATATTTAGATCTTCGAAGGATGTCTGCCCAAGGTGGTCTAGCATCATCATATCAAGTTCTTGCGGAGGAGCGTGTGGAGTAGAGGTGGGTCCACCTGATGAACCGTGCCCACTGTCAGCAGAGTGATTGCCCGCTTGCCATGCCCAGATACCTGCATATAGTAGAATTGATTAGAGAGGTTAATTATTTTAAAAATAAGTAACTAATAAGGGGAACTTCCCAAGCTGCCGTCTCCAATCGGGCTGAAAAAATTCGTTCCAACTCTGGATGAATCCATCAGACCCGTGTTTTTTTGTTTTTTCCAATGCACCCTGGAAACACCATAAAAAATTCTGAGAAGTCCGATTTTGAGCGCGCATGCATAGTGCGCGCCGGACACCCAGTGTGCACCAGGAGGACTAGGCAAGGGGAAGTAGCACTCACCCAGCCCTCCCGGCGCACTGTCTTCACGCGCTCAAAACTGGACTTTTCGGAATTTTTTTAGGGTGTTTCCGGGGCGCATAGGAAAAAACAAAAAGTTACGGTTTTGATGGATCCATCCAAAGAGTTTATACTAATTTTTTCAGCCTGATCGGAGGCGGCAGCTTGGGAAGTCCCCCTTGTAAGTTCTGAATTTCATGCAAAATTTGTGAATTTTGAACTTATGAATTTGGATGGAACTTCCGAGTGTTCTTTGGTGTTGCAAAAAGAGAGCTGAAACTGTCATGGGCGGTTGCTCCAAGAGCTGAGTGACTCTGTAAAAAATGAAGAGCGAACTATTGTTCTTTATTAAAAATATTCAAAGGAAATCTAGGAGAAAATTAAGTGGAGTACAAATGCCTCAGAAATTGTGCTTCGGAAGAGATAGACAGTTTTATTCTTAACTTACAGCTCTCAAATTCTTCCTCCTTTCCATCTAACCTCAGAGCCTAAATACATTTCTTTATACTTTTCTCCATAAGCCCTCTCTTGGAGAAGATAGGACAGAGGATAAATGGACCGTGTTTAACAGAAAGGGACCAAGCCACATCAGCTATTGCCAAATTTAATTGGGCAATTTAATTTTATACATGAAAACAGTTGTGCGGATTTGTGTGCAAATGTCGGTGAATTTTCTCCGTAGTACGAAGCAAACTCCTTAACAATTTCAGAGGAATCTGCACAAACATTCTCCCGTAAAAAATTAACCCTTTCCGGTCCGCGGCAGTTTTCCACGGCCGTCGTTAAGTGAGGTTAAGGTAGCAGCGATGTTGTCAACAAAGACAGTGGTTTCCAAAGGCTCCACCAGAGGCCGCCACTTGCTGGAGCAGTCGAATATACCCGATATCGGGCCTGCACAGAAGTTCAAACTTTTGGGCGACTATATCCGACATCGGACCTAAACGCGTTATTTTTCACGGCGAATATATCCGACATTGGACCGGAAAGGGTTAAATTGCCCTGTTAAATTTGGCAATAGCTGATATGGCTTGGTTCATTTCTGTTTAACGCGCGTCCAAATATGGAATAACGTCGCGGTCCAAATATGGATTAAAATTTTTAAGTTTGCCTTTAGGGAATACAAAAATGAGAAATTTCGAGATTCAAACCTGAATTAGTGGATGGAGTAGATACACTATGATATGTAGTAGATGGCGGGATGATGTTAGGACGAATACCACCACCCAGCTGTGTGTAAGTTGAACTAGAGGGTGATCCAGATGGGCTTATCTGCCTGTAATGATAAGTTTCTGAGGCTGCCTGCTGGTAGATGCTTTGCTGAGTTTGAAGAGGGCTATTGGCTGTTGAACAAAATCGAAAAAAGGTTAAAATTTGGAGAATAACAATACCTAACTTAAAAAAAAAGATGGCATTGAGCTATGATATTTTTACTATTTTTTTATTGCAATGGCTATTCTGTCTTTTCAGGAGTCAATTAAACTGATCAAGGGGAATTTGGAAATGGTCATCTTCAATTTTGATGTGGTTTGCTGCAAAAATAGTTCAAGTGCAGCTGGTTGACAAGAGCTTTTCAGTTTCAGCAAATGGACCCTCGAAGCCTGGTTATCATCGCCAACATTGTTGCTCCTCTGAAAAAGGGGCGTACCTCTATCAGGGTTCCCAGCCAATTTTGGAAAAAAAAATCCCTGACCTTTCCAGGTTTTCCCGGCCAAAATGAAAAATTTTCCACGCCTTTTTCCGCAGAAAAAACTCAAATAATTTGCCTTAAAGGAGACAACACGCGCATTTTTCGATTTTTGTAAAAACTCCTCTATTTTCATCAATTAACTGGTTTATCTTCTTTTTTTTTTTATAAGAACCAGGCTATAGGATGGTATCATAACACGAATGAAGTCACAAAAAAAGTTAAAATATGTTGGAAAAGAAAAAACAAATTGGCGAAATATAAACGCCTTCTTAAACGATACATGCATCAATGAAAGCAAATGATTTTTCAATTTGTTTCATTTACTCATAGTAGTATTGGTTTTGAAAAACAAATCCCATCATGGTATTGCTGCTATGCTAAGGAAGAGAGCACTGAACAGATTCTTTTAAAAAATAATCCAACCTGCAGTCTTCGTTCTGCATACTATTAAGAACTATTTTTAAAGAAACTGAGAATTTCGTATATTTTTTTTTTAATGAGCGTATTGTCCAGGAAAAAAAGGCAGAGTTACAAAAAAATAACCTCTACCTTATCATGCAGACATAGTTCTCAGCCGATAAAGAGGATGAGTGGGCGGAAAATTCAAAATACAACGAAGGAATTGCAATTTCAATTTTAATTCTTTTATTTTTATTTGTTTATTTATTAATTTTGATTTCCTCAGTACTGGAAAAAATTCCAGACTTTTTGAGCACATTCCCTGACTTTTCCAGGTTTTCCAGGTCATTTTTTTTCCCTGACTTTTCCAGGTTTTCCAGATTGCTGGAAACCCTGTCTATTTCCTCAAAAGCGCTAGAAAGCAAGGTATTACATGGACAACAGGGCTCACGTGAAAATTGAGAAATGTCCTTGCATCAAAGGAGTTATATTGTGAGCAATGAAAATCAACAGCCATCCTGGTGGCGACAGTAGTGCCTCTAGGCAACGTTCGATTTGTGTCTGAGAGGTTCAAAGTTAGTGACCTATGTCAGCTTCTCTTTTCTTTGAGTACAATTTAATTTTAGGCCAAAGAATCCTCTCTGCTAGAATTGCACCTTCCGACTCGAAACTAAAATATGTTATCTGACTAAAATTACTAGAGATAATTCTACAAATATTAAAAAACCTTGCAAAGATGCTTAGAAAAATGTTTTGTGTGTGATTTTGCTCCGTGTCTGATTCCGTTCCCATTTCTGATTCTGTCTTGTATATTTTATTTTAATGTAAAAGTGACGACAAAGCAATAATTTAGACCAAACATTTTCCGAGGTACCATACCATTTTTGTACGATTTTTCTAAATTAGATTAGAGATTATCAGATGACAAAATCAGGTCGCATCCATTAAAAGTTACCACACTTCTTTTCAAGGGGAGATTATATATACTCACAATGGATATGTTGATGGGGAGTTGGAATGATCTGAGAACCTGATCCAGCGTATCTGTGCTGCATGCTATAATCTACAGTTGGCTGATATGTCGCTTGTTCATTTGATTCAGAATTTCCAGAAGATTGTAAAGATCTGAAAATACGGAGTCAAATTATTAAAAATCAAAGGAAAGCGGGTAGAAAAGGGTAAAGATGCTATGAGAAACACAAATATTCTAGTTGCAAAATTCAACTGAAAAGAAACCTGCATGTCTTCAATCACTGTAAGTTTGATAATTATTTATTCGACACACCTAGAATGAGGGTGTCATATTCAAGCCTAGGCAATGCATCCAAATTCCATCCAAATCCTCTCCAACAACTACCTGTGGCCTCATTTCCTTTCCAGCTCCCTATTGTTATTCAAATCCTCAACCATACCGACCACTCACAAATCATTAATCAATGCTTTGGGTTGCTGTATTCCAAACTGATAGGATTATGCAAATAGTAATAGCCTTGTTCAACCCTCAAGTGAACAGATGGCGAAGGTGAACCAGTATTTCTAACAAAGCGAAACTCTCAAAACCTGAGGAGTTAATGGCTAACCTCGGATGTTCAACCTTTCCCGACTTCAAAGCATTCTCAGAGCATTTTTACATTTTGAAAAAAATTAGCTCCGAATGAATTTCTTGACTTCCTCTTGGTAAATAGAATCCTTTGAAATTCCTTTTGAATACTACTTGGATGATAAGAGATTTATTCAAAAGATAAAAATCCATGACTTACTTTGCAAGAGTGTTTGTGCAAATGATGTACTCGATCTCTTCAGTGTAGGGATTTAAGAAAGCAAAGGCTGACGTGCGTAGCCACACATAGTCTGTCCTATTACCTCCCCGAAACCGATAAATCACAGACATCACTTGACCTTTGGATTTTAGAACTGTTGAGGAGCAGAGAGAAGAAATTTAAAGAGCCACATTAAAGCTAGGGTACATAGAATTGAAGAACAAGGTAAACGTATTCAGACCGAAACAAATGGATTTAATTAAAATAATGGAGTAGAACTCACTGCCTTCGCAGCTTAAACATAATAATGTGATCAGAAATTACATGATTAACCTACGGATACAAGAGACAGACATTCTGATTGAATAATTAGGATAAAAAAAATGTCTACTAGAAAGTTTTGTTAACCAATCTCGCAGGTGGTGGAGGTTTACATTTTTACAGAGCTTTGCAATTGTATGCTCAGCTTTGCTATTTTTCTCACTGATTATAGATTTTAATATCAATAGTTTTTGCACTTTTTATAAACTCTAAAAAACTGCAAGCTTTTGGTTCAAGATAATGGATGGGACAAATCACATACAAAAAAGAAAATGATTAAATTTAATGAAAATCGCAATTACAATTTGGACTTTTCATTTAGATGTATAAATTAAGAGGTATTAAATTAAAATTCTTACCTTGATCAAAGCTCTCTTTTACATGGGAGACGTCATCAGGGTGGAAAAAATCAAAACAGGATTTGCCTAATAATTCCGCAGGTGTGTAACCAAGGATTCCAATGACTCTTTGATCAACAAATGAAAATTTGCCATCAATAGAATGGCGTGAGATAAATTCTGAAATTAGAAAATAAAGTACATACACTAAAAAAAGGAAGAAAATAGAGTCGCAATTAATGATTAACTTTGAAATCATTTTCCTAATTTGTGATTGTCATTTGTCTATTTTAGGCGGGGAAAAACATACCATAACAAACAAACCATCTCAAGTCTTCATGACTTGCGAATCTGACCACCTTCATACTGAGTAACATTGTTTAACTAAAATTTAGACGTATTTAGACACAACCTGACTAGAACATTTTTAAAAGGAAATTTATCACCCATGATACAACCTAAATAATCATTAAAAATATAAAAATCTTGGTGGAAATCAAATTTTTCACATATTGCCAAGTCACTTTGTGACATATAAATATGTATGGCTAAGTCTGTTTCCCTCCCTGTCTCTGTCTAGGATCTATGTTCCCATTGGGGGACCCCATCACATGACTTAATCCACCAATGGGAGAGCTGGGTGCTGGATGGAGAGAGGGATGGATCAGAGAGACGCTACTTGAGTTAATATTGTTTTAGCCCGTGATCATGTATCTCTAGTCCGCAGTGATGTGAGTATATTTTTTCGGGAAGATATTGCCCTTTCAAGGTGATTTCCTATTGTTCGTCTTTTTCTCTCTGTAAGGTGTTTGGTCGGTCGGTGCCCCCAGTATGTTCCTTAAAGCCTTTGTGTTTTACTTGTCCATGCTCCCGATTCACTGAGCCGTCCAGGCGGACTTGTTTCAACTTAACTATTAAAGAATCAAAATTTTTTAGTGGCGGTTGTTTAATTTACCGGATTTACAAGATTTTATGGCGGTTGCTGACAAACAAATAAATTAAAATTTTACTGTAATCTTCGATGTTACTAACCTGCATTAGAACTTCCTTCAGAGAGGTCAGTAGTGTTCGGCATGGAGGTAAGTTGTAGACGTCCAATAGCCACAAGACAACATTGTTTTGAATCGACATCGATATTCTGATCTATTTGAACTCCTTGAAAAGAAACGAATATCCATACATTATAAGAGTTTTTACGATCGAAACAACTTAAAGAAACTGATTATTAAGAATGTCTTCGATTACACCATAGATATAAATTATAAATTAACCATTTAACCATGGATTTAAAGCAAGCCTCTATTTTTCACCATTCATAATTATCTTTGAATAACACAGATTGGCACTTTTTGATGTTGAGTTTTGTTCTGTACACCCACCTCATTTAGATAGAGATAATTGAATTTCAATATTAAAATTGAGCCTAGAAACCTCTTAGGAATATTTCAAGGCACCATAGAAAAAAGTTATTAGTACGAATTTGAGAGGGAGAGTGAAAGCTCTTGTTGAAGAGCAAAATAATGATTCTGGATTTAAACTCACGTCAAACTATGCCCTTGTTCCTTAACAATTATTAATGACTCAATGCTACTGGCCGATTTTAAATTTGTTGGGTTAAGTAAAAATATAGATGAAAAACTGTATAAAAGCATGGATACAATACCATTTAAGGGGTTATCAAACTGACCATTAGGGGGCCAGTTCTTGATGAAGCCTGTGCAATGTACAACAGCATAGTTATGGCCATCTTTAGAGGGACCGAGCGTGTTTCTTTGTTTGTTTCGGTTAAGATGTCCAGTAGCCATCGTATCAGGAGGAACAGCTCCAACTTTCATCCGACAAATGAACCCTCGCCGAGAACCCATGCATACCCTCATTGCAGCTGAAAAGGAGAAATTCTTGATGTTTATTATCTATACAAATGTGCATACATACATAACTACATACATGCAGTATCATGTACCGTGTATACCGTCATCACATATTTTCGTACGAGGATTACTGAAGACATCCTCTTTAAAAAATAATTAAAAGCGGGATTTTTGAAACCCTGCAAATAAGATTCAAGGTTTTGTAGATTTGCCTTCCATTTGGAATGACCCACAACAGTCACATGTTACATACATTGCTTGATCTTGTTCGAAGTAATGTTTAGTGTTAAAATTTCAATGAGAGAAGATTCTTTACTAATAACAATCAAAAGCATTTTCGCTTACAAGTAAGTACATTCATCAGTGGCAAATTTTTTGAACTTGTTGTTGATTCGAGTAGTGGCAACCAAAAATTAGTGGTGCATAGTAAATCTTTCCTCACTGTGAAAATTTTTAATTGCCCATTGGACAAAACTCTGTGATGCGCATCTCATTAGTCTGTTTGAGTTGAAAATAGAGAGCCCATAAAATAAAAAATATTGGATTCGAATTTGATTCCTTTGAATGGAGGTGTTGGGTCCAAAAAGGGACTTCTTGATTGCGGTGTTTCTGAATCATCACTGCCAATTTATATTTTAGAGAACAAACCACTACATGAATTTTCTAAAGATGATCATTTAGAATATTGTAATATCATGAAGAATACTCCTTGAAACTTTTGATGAATTATCTACATTTGCTTTGATCATAATTGATGAACGCTAGCAGAGATTCAGAGACACTGCAACCTAGAAAAGCCCCTTGTGTACTCGGCACTTCAATTATTTGTGATGAGGTAATTTTTACTGAACTGATGCAAGAAATATAAAATATGTAGCTACTCACACTGATGACCTTCTTTCTTCACAGTTCCACTTTTCAGATCTAAAATTCTGCCTGAGTTTGAAGATTCGATGGTTGAAAGCTGTTCTCTGACTTTCTCAACATCGTCTGGATGAACGAAGTCAAACAAGCTAGCACCAAACCAGTCACTCTGCAAATTCGAACCAAACGTAAACTATATGTTACCTTTTCCAAAGCAAAACCTAATCAATATTTCAGAGATAAACTCCGTTTTATAATGCAAAAGAAACTAGGTATATGTGGCAAAGAAACAACAAAATGTGCTGTACGATGAGACAGACAACAATAACAATAGATAACAGTGGTCAAAGGGTTTAGTACCAGATAATGTCAGGCTGCATTGAAATTCTTTTGACTTATGAATATTTGCTATGAAAATATCCAATTAGCAGGTATACAATTTCACTTGCTTAGCCTGAACAGGCTTAAACAATTGTGACGGCATTGTGTTAATTTAAAATCAAAATTGAAATGCAGAAATAACTTCGTAAGTTAGAAATGTGATGCAAACGTCTATTGGCTTGCGGGAAGATGGAATCTGACTTCAATAGATAATTACTCAATAGGGGAAACAAAAATATTCCAGATGCAATAGTGCATTCACTAATTCTATCATAGAATGAGTTGAAAAAATAGGAGTCTTTCGCTTCGTTGATAAAAAAGGACTTGTTATCATGAGCTAAGCTTAAAAATAATTTGTTTTAACTTTTGAAAGAAACTACATACTTTAACGGTGACTCGTTTTCTTGCATTTCAAATTGCATGACTTTTCAGGGTTTTGGACTAAAAACTCTGTGACTTTTCAATGACTTTCAGAGTTATTTTTCGGCATAATTTCTCATAAAAATACTCATCATAAAAATATTTAGCGAAATGCTCTTGAAATTAAAAAAATTCAAAATTTGAGTATTTGAAGACCGAAGTTTAAGTTTTCGTCAAGAGTGCGCACGGCTGCGGTAGCAAATGATCAATGGCCAGAGGAAAGAATTTTAAGTTCCTTGCCAAATTCCCTGACTATTCCCCAAACCTTTCCAGGTTTTCAATGAATATTCCAGAGTTTGTCACCCTAAGCAAATAAGCATACCTGAGACTCAGAGGGATTTTGAGCGAAGAATATTCTTATGGATAAAGCGCAAGATTTTATTTGCACGATCCAATAATTCCTTCGGTGTAAAGTTGTTCATATAGAACGATATGATTGATAAAGGTTAATGCTCAACTGTGTATTTCAAATATACCTAGAAATTCTGATTTCCAAAATATGAAAATTGAACAAAAATATCTTACTTGAGAATGACTCAAAACAGGCCGTACTGAGTCAGAAACGTAAATGATGTCCCCTGACACACACGATACCACAAACAGGAACCCATCTGCAGCTTCAAGGATCAGATGTTTCAACTCTTCATCCGTTAGAAAAGAGGGTCGATAAACACCGTCATTGGTATTTCCTGTGCCTATTGCCAACAAAAAATAGATGAGACAGTAGTCCGACATGTGTTGGGATGTAAGTACGTTCTTTTATCAGTCAAAAAGCAGGGGTGCTAAGAAATGATCAATCTCACGATCCTCGGCTAATGTGTGGCAAAACTTGGGACGTGAGGCGAGGCTAATCTTAAGATTGGAGACAAACCCACAGCCTCCGAAAACAGGCTCTAAAAATTGAAGGATTCTTAAAGGCCTAAAATGAAGCAAATCTCAATTTTTGCCTTGGGGCTAAGTGTCAGATGGCGAGAAAAAGTTGGCTGCGGTACGTTGGCTTGGGTTTCAAAACTACACATGTGCAAATAAAATTTTCCTGCTTTAGTAAATGTACTTTAATAAGTTTGGAAAAAATAGGTGACATTTTTGGTAAAATGGAAAAATTGTTTCCTCCTCTTTGCAAGGTTTTAAAATTCTTGCAAACTTTCACTTGACTGAGAAACCTAAAGCTGACTGTTTCCATAACTCACCTCTCAATGCTTTCATGTGCGCCACCGCCATTCGAAGAATTGTAAGCTTGTCTGGTTTCCTTGCCAATGCACTACAGGTTGGTACCATATCTGATAGCTCCGTGATGTACGCAGTCATCTTATTGCGTCTCCGGCGTTCTATTTCACAATGGTTCTCCCTACAGTTGGGCCAAAAGATGTCAAAGGTAATCGCAATTTTTTAATGACTATTTCAAGATGAAACAGCAGTTAAATAAATATGTTGCCATAATTTAGTAATAGATATTAAGACTCTTAAATTTGTTCTATTACCTAGAAACAGGTTCGAATACAGGGACACTATGCTGACAAGTAAAAATAAAACTGTTTTCACTCCCATGGACAAACATTTTTCGGGTAAAAAAAAACTGTATAAGTAACGCCTTTAGGTCAAAAAAGAACCAACTTTGTAAAGGGTCGTTCGACTGCATAACAACTGAAAACTGACCCCATTCAGTTCCTCACTTTTGAAGCCATACTTTCTCATCTTTCACAGGAAGGATTATATCTTGATTGCGCTGTTTCAGTATATTTTACTTCCATTCTATCCGTTTACAGTTGAACTGTTGCACGAATTTTCCTGAAATTTCTAGTAATTTTTTTTATTCTTGTGAGAAAAGACTCTAGTATTTTCAAATTAATTTATGCTGCAGTTCTTCTATGAAAAACTTAAATTTTCTGGGAAATACTGAAACAGCGTGGACAAGATATCATCCTTCATGCAGGAGACGATTTGTGCTGCACAGAATAGTGGGGTATTTATTTGATACAGAACGATATGGCACACAGACTTAAGTGATGATTTGTCTACACTTGATTTTGTAGCTTCTCTGTTTTCACAATAGAGTAGGTATAATCAAAACTATTCCCTGTGACTTTGTGCTTATGACTTGGCTATGAAGAGAAACTTAACTACTAAGATCCTTACCTCACAAACCGCTCTTTATCCAACATGTTTTCTTCTTGCATATTTCCAACTTGATGAAAGTACTGCAAAACTGAAAAATTAAGGTGCAAACCAGATTGAAATCTTTTTAAGGTATTACAAGAAGTGTGAAGGACAATTGGAGTTTAGTGCTTATGCTTAAATAAAGGATGATTTTACTAATACTGCGAGAGGAACAGGGGAAGAGGTTCTTTTTTCATCCATATCTGAATCCAGGATCCAGCAATTCCATCATATCCTGACAGCTTGACCATCGATAGTGCTCATTCTTTGCTTTGAATTACTAAGACTTCATAAATATTCACTTTAGAAGCCCACAACCAACAGATTTTACATGCTGCGCTTAGGTGGCTACTTCTTAACTCTATCAACATCACCACATCTTGAATGGACAGGAGACATCTATCCAAGGTCAGATTGGCGTGAATCTGCCACAAGATAAGTTTTATGGGACCCTGAACTCTTAAGAAGAGTCAATGTATAAATCTATGAGCAGTTCCTAGTGTTGCAGCTTTGCGTAGGATCTTGGCAACTAACTGATGTCAGATAACATTAAAATTCCATAACACCTACACCAATATCTGCCTCTGCCGCTAAATCAGGGCATCAATGCACGCACCCTTGACATGAATGAGACAGGTAAACGTCAGAAGTATCCTTCTTTTTCAAAACTTCCGGCTGCCATACGGTTTGTTTCTCACCTATCCGCTTGGCATCTCTTAAAAACAGAGCATGGATGAGTCAAGGTTTGGGGGAAGGATTCTCTCACTGTAAAAGACCACTACACAAGGTTGCATTGTGATTGCCTATCACACCAGTATATAGTCCAGAGGATGAACCAGATGGTAGAACTTGAACTTGACCTGCCTCACCCGCGCTACCTGAGGTGGACCGAGCCTTCTGCTGTTAAGGTTCAGGAGAAACTGTAAGAGCATAGCCAATGCTCTGCAATGTAATGATGCCTGAGGGTCCACAAACACAAAAGATGAAACAAAGCTGACGAGTTTCATTCAGCTGCGTTGTTCCTCCTGATAAGAATTTATATTAAAATAAAAAACATAGAATATTTATGTAGTAAACTTACGAGTGAGTACTATCACGAAGAGCCCTTGCCGTTTCAAATTAAATAAGGAGCGAGTTCATCAAAAGAATTCTTTCCTCCCAATACTTGATTTACAGTACTTGATCATGGAGCGGCGATCTAACACAGCTTTCATCTTCGGAGGAACACTACCAGGCAGAAATGAAAAAGAGGCGAAATGAAAATGAAACTCAGAGGTGTCACCACTGAGTCTTTCTAAAGGAATTCCGGAGACTTTTCAGAGGCATAAATACTTTCTTGGTAATATATAATGAGTTATTGACACAGATAGATAACTAGATAACAGGAGAGCGGACGATCAACAACAATATGGCGATAAGGAAGAAGAAAAATGAAAACAAAGTGCAAATTGGCAAACTTTACGCAACCTGTAGATGTAGACTCATCCGGTATTTTATTGAAAAATATGAAATACCATTGGTCTAGGTAATTAACTTCTTCCTTAATTGGATAATAGAAAAAAATATGTCTCATTTAAAACCACTGATTTTGATTTTCAACCGTTCAGAATGATCAAATTATGAAAGTAGTTATTGTACAGTTGGTAATTCGTACTTAGAAGTTGCCAAGCTGAAAAATATTTCAGAATAAAATAAGATATGAAGGTTTCCATGATGTTTCCTAAAATTCCTTTGTATACTTCCATCCGACAACAGCCAATAATAAAGGCGGCAAATTCAAATTAGCGCACCTCATTACTCGGTCATTTTTCAATCCAGGTCCAATACGCTCGAGTAATATTTTTAGTCTCTATGAAACATTTGACCGGTTGACTTATCATTTTGGTACCATATGCGAGAAATGAGGAGATCAAACATCTTAAATAATAAGTCTGGCGATTTGAAACCACAGCATTCAAGATAGTAAACTTCACTGACAGTACTTTCCTGAGCACAATTTTTCAAAAGAGAAATTTGAATTTTGAAATTTGCATTACTTTAAAAAATGATACATTTGTTGTTACTTTGTCTTAATAAAAGCCCAATTCACACTATCAAACGTTTCATCCTACATAATTGAACGAGAAGTTGGATGGAAAGTTGAAAGCAAAAAAATTTGATTCAATTACTTTTCGTTCAATTTTACATCCAATTGGCGGCGCTAAATAGATGAAAAGTTGAGCGAAAAGTTGAATGTAACATCACATTCAAATTTTCATCAAATTGTCGATTTCTCGGGTCGGTATTACACTATCAAACTTTTCATTTGACAAGTTGCATTCAAGAGTTGAATGAAAAATCGGATAGAGTGAATTAGGCTTCGCCAGAGTCATCAACTTTTTGGAAATAGCGCAACGGGTACAAATAATTGTGTGAGGGAAGAAAATGAAGAAATAAATAAATTATGTGCCATAGCAAACATTCAAAAAGCACTAAAGAGGGATAAACTCAGGATAATGTTCAACGGACTGGCTGTCTGAACTTGGTGAGACGAGCTATAACAGCTCACTCCAGAAATAGAAATGCTGAAAAAAGAGATGAAAAGAAGTGCGTTGGATACACACACTGGGTGGTCTCTGTCTCTTACTCAATCTCAATAACAGAGGGAACCACAAAGAGATGGCTTTTGATGGTATAATCACCAGACGATACACCTCGTTTACAATGTTTAAAAATCTCGGCTAGTTCCGCTACCACTATTTTTTAGAGGGCGAACAATACAGTATCATACTTTGAAATTTTCACAGAGTTTCTAAGTCAAAAATGCAAGAAAGTGTCTCCTGATATCTCTCAGCAAATGAGGAATGATGTCCGGGTATGCCAGTACTGCTCATCCCTGATGGACATGCATGTCCATCTGTATACTCATGAGTACCCGTGAGAAGTTGTGGTCTTGAAGCAAAAAAAAAAAAGAAAATACAACAAAAACCTACCCATAAACGGTTTGCAAGGGGTGAGCCTATCGTGCGTGTGGACTGAATATCGCGAAAAATCAAAATCTTGGCTGATCCTAATTTCGAGATATCGTAATTTGAAATTTTCATGGTGAATGCAAGTTTTTTACTGATTTTGATCCGCTTTTTTATTTATTTGTCCATTGAATCGGTGTTGATCGGTTCACGTTTTTATTTTTCGTTTCATTCAACTGATTCAATGGACACATAAATAAAACAGCCGATCAAAATCAGTCAAAAAATTTGCATTTACCATGAAAATTTCAAATTACAAAATCTCGAAATTAGGATCAGCCAAGATTTTGATTTTCCGCGATTTTAAGTCCACACTCACGATAGACTCACCCCTGCAAACCGATTTTGGGTACATTTTTGTTGCATTTATTTTGCTTTAAGACCATTGTAAGTAAGCCCTTCCCACTGGCTGGCAGACAGTAGAACTTTTGGAGAACGAAGGGCAGGAGCAACGCCCAACAAAATGTGAAAATGATGAGGACTCACTGAAAATTTGCTAAATACTTGCAAATGTTGATACATGATTTTCTTTTTTGACCATTGTGCTTTAAAAGAGGCGTTTATGGATATATTACAGGTATCTCACACTTTATTTCCTTTGTTCTTAGTGCCCTACATAGAATTTACGGGTCGGTTTTTGAGGTCTCTTGACAAAAAAAGAGGAAGCGAAGTAATAATTTATAATCACATTGAATTTATTAATAGGCTAAAAGATACATCCTAATACACAGTTTTATACAAGTAATACAGAGTTTTCGCACGTTTCCAAGTGTTTTCTCAGGGCAGGTAATGTCATGAATTTTTCGTCACAGATTCCACAACTCATAGATTGCAACTCACTGTCAGACTGTTGTACACCAGAGTTACGAATACGGACATTGGATTTGCCTTTTTTACTAGCACCACCTCCCTCATCTTCTGAACTGGATTCAGTGCCATGATATGAGATCATATGAAGGTTTAAATGATCATCTGTAAGGTATTCCTGCTCACATTTAGAACACTGGAAAAGGCGAGGATACTCCATGTGCGAAATTTGATCATGGTGTAGAAGACTTTCATAGTTGAAAAACCGTTCACCACAAACGTCACATGATACAATATTCTGTTGATACGCTATATTGTGTTGAGGTCCATGTGAGCGCTTCCTTTTCCGAGATTCTTGCTGGTTTTTACGTCGACTTTTGGGGTAATTTTGAACACTGTGGGAACTAGTTTCTGGAGAGACACTCGCCTGAGTTTGCTGCTGAGTGGCTGATTTGAATACTTTGCGAGCCCTGCTCACCCTAACCTAGAATTTTAAAAAAATAAAAACTGTTATTAGCTGAGTACAACTGAGAACAAAGAATGAAAACTTCAGAATTAAGTCTGCATTTCTAAACCCACAACTTACTTTAAAACTATTTCAATAGGCAAGTAAATCAATCTGAGAAATCCGACACCTGCAGTGTTGGAACAGCAAACTATTGACGCGTATCACATTACTATGGGTATTTGTGGATTATTAAATCAATAAATAACTCCGTATGGATTGTGACTGTCATATTACCTTATGTTAATTTGTTATGGTACCGTGTAAATGTGAAGAAGAATGTGATCATTGATGAAAACTGACATTTTACAACCCTTTCTGTATGACAATCATGATTAGCAAGCAGCCGTAGAGCAGATTAAAAGAATATTATAGTTCCTGTTATTATAAAAAAAACTATCAGCAAATTGCCATAATAGATAAAATTAAGTAGATTGAACCCTACAGTTACCTAATTTTATTTTTAAGAGAAGGAAATGAAGACCAGGTTGTAACTAGTTTGACAGTATTCTGTAACGCACACAGTTTCTCCTCTCCTGCCACCCAATTCTGCGCCTTTTCTCAATTTGCGGTGCCATGACCCACGAACGAAACAACTTGCTTTACAAATTCAGTTTTATGCCAACTTAGAAAAAATTAGGATAACAGCAACTTTTTAAGGGTTACGTTTGGTCAGGGTTTTTCACTTATAAAAGGCAAAAGCCTTTTTTTTAAAGCATTTGATGCAATGGCACCTATGGGTTTGGAATACAAATACAGAATATTCTGTAAAAGTTCTAAACAATAACGCCTCTTTGAATTTCTGCCAACCAGATAAAATAACAGTTTTGGGGAAGCCACTTGAAGATATATGTCTTCTCATTTTCACCATAGAATTACCATGAAAAAGAACATACCGCTGATGTTTTTAGGATAGCATCATTCCGCTCAATGAGTTGCTGAATTCTATCAACAGCAGAATTTGAGGTCAAAGGGATGCTCTCTGAAGTATTTGAACCATCATCATCTCCATCATCGTCTGATGCGAAAGATGTCTGCCTCAGTAAATCACCAGCAGACCTAATTCCAGAGACACTTTTATTGGCAGTGTTATCATTGATAGATGCTAAATCGGCAGTGTTGATCACTATAGAGCCATTGCTCATTTGATATTTGTTCTGAGCAATCAGCATTTGTATCTGGTCTAAGTTCTTCCTTGCCTTCGTTGAAACACCTTTCATGTTTGTGTCAGAACTAAAAGTAACAACCTAAAAAACAAACAGAAATTGAAAATGTAGTTTCAAGACAAACTTTTGAGTTTCTTTTCAGCTTTACCTGACTGGGTAAACTCTTACTAATGATAAGATGTTGCAAAATTAACATTCAATAAAAAAATTTCCGAGAATTGCGTAGGAATAATTTTAAAAGCACTCAAATCGGTGCTCGCTTAGACGAAGATTGTCAATATTGCAAATGTATTTTACCGGGTCCTTGCGCAACTCAGTGATGTCGTTTTGACAATGCCGGAGTGTGGAACCAGCAAAATGCATTTGCAATGCTGACAATTTATGGACAAGTGAGTCCTTATTAATGAGGCTTAAGAACGAGGGAAAATGAATATTGTAAAACTTCTCATTGGTCAGTTTTTCACGAAACAACTCTAAAGGTTCTGAAAATTAAGGACTCCTGAGGTTCCAAGATTTATCAAGCAAGAGTTTTTGATTTATTTAAGTTGTTGGATGTATTGTTAACTTACGAGTAAACAGGTAGGAACCAGAGATGTAATTGGTTATTGGTTTGATACAATTGTTTTTGCTCAAACATTTTTAGTCAACGATGGGTTGCCTTTTATTATTTTTTGTTACTTGAGATATCAACAGATGAAACCCAGGAGTCATGCCTTGGTTTGTGACATTGCAGACGTCCTGTTATACTTTAATAATTGACTGGAAAATTGATTATAATTATTGATCATTAGGTACTTTGTGAAAATTGCTGTCAATTGAGTTGGTGCATTTCTCTGAAAAAATTAAACAGAGGGGGACAGTTTGAAAAACCACGATCATGATGCATGATTTACAAGTTTATCCATCATATCCTTTTTTTCCTAGCTTTTATTTTCTTCAGTCTTCACGTGCAGCCAGCAGGACACCTAACCAAGAAAGTGAGAGCAAAAAAAAAATAGACACAGCACCGCAGCAAAACAAGTGAAATGAAGCAGGCTGGTTTCACGTGGAATAAATAGCAAGATTATCTAATAATCATTTCAAAGTAGCAAAGAGCCAAACTTAAAATAAAAAAGTAATTTTCCACAGTGTACTATCTAAATATTAACTGAATGTATGAACGAAGGTGGTTTAAAATGCTTTAGGAAAATAAAGAGTACAAAGAATAAAAAGAATGAGAAATTGAGGCTGAACTGGTTACCTTTTTAGGAGCACTATTGGATACAAGTTTCTTTGTATTTGAGAGTAGTTTTCTGGTTTGTTGTGGGTTTACTTTTTGGGGAGAGGCTGTTTTGTTGTTTCCCAATCTATTCAATGAGATTACATTTGATCCTGAAACAAACATTATTCAAAGTTTAAATCCAACCATGCAATATTCAAATTCAAATTCAAATTCAAATATTTTTATTTCACTTCAGTAGGTTTACATGAGTACACAGCCAGTTAACAAGATTTCAGAAAAAATAAAATAAAAACATCCCATCACCCTTTAAGTAAGAGCTTGTGGTGGGTGGTGCACTATTTATATAGGTATATAATACGCAATATTTATGTAGGTATATTTAGACTGAATAATTTTTAAGGAGAATATTTACTTACATGTTTGTCATTTTGGACCTCTGGCCAATATCACTTTCAACAAAGCTATATGTTCTGAATGTTTTTGACAAATTTTGCACAGGCTCTTCAAAACCTATGGTACAGCAAAGAAAAAATGCCATACGAAAACTTGAAGGTTGCAAAATTCGCACTGATAGAGTATTTATTTTTCAGGAAAGTTACCGGCAAATATTTTACTTGAAATTTTCAGGTAAAGTAGAATGATAAGAAATTGCTGATAATTGCAGAGAATATATTCTGGGTAAAATTCGAAGGAAACCTCCCTGAATACCAAGAAAATTCTTATTTTATCTCAGGAAATTTGGCAACTTTTGAAGGTTCCTTCAGTACTTTTCCTTGGCTCAGCAGAAAATTTCCATGCAACCAGCATACAAAAATGCTATTAATTTTAATATTCTGCTCCAGCTTTCTTCAGATTGACACACAGAGAGTTCCCCTCAAAACTTTTACAATCACTGTATCAAATAGTGGCTGATTTAATTGATACAGAATATATTGGGGGGAAAAACCCGATCCTTTGCAAGAATTCTAGGTCTACAAGCTCTTAAGTAAATTATTTTTAATCCCTTAATTACAATGGTATTCATACTTGTTTGCTTGTAGTAAATTGTTGATGAGGAACAATAAGAAGATACGAATTATACTTAACATCATATTTAGCTCCCTTCCCGATAAAAAGTTCTGGAGTTTTCCAGACCAAGAGGGATTGTGCAATGCTTGTCTTACAGAAAGTTTTGGTATAGATAATTTCATTGTTATCCATAAATATCTTCTGATCAATCATAATAATGTGTGAAATTATTATGGAGAGTGAGGGAAAAATCTGAGAATCTTACGGATATTGGAAGGCGTTTTTTTGTCTCCAGAGCAGTCATCATCGACAACCAAAATCCAGTAATCCTCATTTTCACTAGCCTTTTGATCAGCTGATTTTACACCATTGTTCTTTGTGCCACTGACTTCATTACTCTGAAAAGAAAAACCGTACATGCACAATTGACGATGAAGATTGGTCTTCTTGAATTCCTGGCAAACTGTGATCAGAACAATTTGACCTCTTGGTTGTTAAAACATAACACCCAGTTTCTTTTGAACATCTCAGTGCTATAGGGAACATATTTTTCAACACTTAGAACATAATGTCAGCATTACACTGCAGTAATTCTTCTGTAAGAAAAATAGAAAGGGGGGGGGAGAAGAGGGACTCATAGGAGAACTTCTGAAGTCTTATAGCCCTCTTAAGGAGAATTTTATAAATTTGAATTTTCTTGAATTATTTCAACTTTACATCTTGAAAATAAAAAGAGGCTTTGGTTGGTTCCTATCAATATAGAAAAACGTACTTATGTAAAAAGTTTCTCCTTTGATGACAACCAGATGTAGAGGAAAACATTTTTTAACATTGACTTACCTCAAGGCTCTCCAGGTGCACTTTAATTGAGTGCCAATTCTTGAAAAGCTCACTAGTTTTTACACATTTATTTTTGAATTCAGACCAGGCAACTAGAAAGTTTAAACAGGTATGACAGATGTTCTGTGGATACTCGTCATCTACTTTCACCTGTAAATACAACAAACATACAGATCATAAACCAGCTTCACACATTTACAAATATACCCCAATCGCAATGAGAGCAACAGCTGCCTGATTCTGTAACTTGTCGCAAATGAGCAATTCTAATGGAAGAATCCACTGTGATCAGCCTTTTAACGTATAATAAAAAAGCATAGTTTTAACAGCAACTCACGGGGTTACTGACAAGATTGATCATCTCTTAAAATTCATAGGGTAAATGCTACACATTATTTAAAACCCATCTATGCAAAGGCCCCAGTAGCAATACGTAAAGCACAGAATCAGGCCACTGTTACTCAGAGATGGTGATTGGACAGATTCTAAATGAGAGCACATAACTGGAAATTGGATTCACAGAAATGTGTTCTTGAGCAGACACAAGGATGAAAGGTGGCCCTGCAGCCTGATTGTTGAAATTTTGTGTTTGTCGGATGGACTTACATGTGATTGGTCGGCTATGTCTTATCGCTGCTTTGTCATGCCTATGTCAGGTGGAACTCACAACAAGCTACTGACACCTCTTATGTTTTCGACAGTATGTCTCGTCCATTCCACCTGACAAAGGCATGATGCAGCAGCAATAAGACATAGCAGACCAATCACGTTCCGCCTTTCAACCTATGTCATCTTTGTCTACCCGACAAACACAGATTTTCAACAATCATGCTGCTGAATCAAGGGCCTTGCCTGTGAGCCGAAGCAGCTGAAGTACCTACCTTTTCCGAAATTTCATTAAGCTGATGATTATCTTTTGCAACTCAGGGGGGTTAGAATTGAGGTTTCTATTCTTACAAAGGAAGATTGTGATGAGGAGGATTGGCTTTCATTGTTATCAGATGTAGGAGCACCAGGAAGGCTATTAGAAGAGAAATAAACATTGCGGTAAAAATTTAACGGGTAAATCAGAGAATTCGAAGACGTCAGGTGCCGGTATTGAACAAGACTAGGTATTGGATATGGACAACATTCCATAAAAAAACTCTTACCTCTTGCTGAACACACGCATATACAAGATCAGTGAGTGGTGTACAATCAGGGTGCTCAGCAGAGCGAAGCTGGGCTGAAATGGAAACTAGGTTTGATTCTGCAGCAAAACACAAACGGCAGACAGAGTTAAGATCGACATCATTTTCATTCAGAACCTGAACGAAACATTTCTCAGGATTACCCATTATGGTGGCTGAAGTTCACAGTCGAGCGATTCCCCATGTAACTAATCTTAGAAGTAAGTAGATTATTTGAATATCTTTCCAAGTTAAGTGAATAAGCGTATCCTCTTCGTCTTAAAACACTGATGATTCTTATCAAGCAGTCCATGTAGACATATCTTAAAATAATTTGAATGTCTGCCTCTGTTAGAGAGTATTCAGGTTAGCTTTTAAAAGGAGAATTTGAAAGTAAGAGAGCAGCTTAAAAGTGTGACTTCAAAATTAGGTTGATTATGATTTTAATTCTCAAAAAATTTTCTAACCAAGACTAAACTTTCCCACTATTGTTTACATTCCTGGGATCATTGATGACAGCGCTGCCTATGACAGAAATTATGAACTAAAAATGATTGTTGCAGACAATAGACAGTGTTGTCAAATTCAACATAAATTATTTATCTAAATAATGATTTTAGTATTAAAAAAAATTATTTCTATGTCGCATGGCAACAGCATAATGAAAACCGCGCCAAAAGTTTGTTTATCCTTTCATCACATCAGGCTGTAATAAATTATTATCAATCCACGCCGTTATCTCAATTACTCTCGCTTTCTTTTATTTCTCAGAATTTTTTCACTCTCATAGACTCAACTATATTAAGTTCCTAGCCGCATATAACTCTCTTATATTTTTCTAGTTCGTTTTATTAATTTGCTATTCTGGTCGGCCACCCAAGAAGAGTTTCACGTGCTTCCTTCTCTTATCTTCTCTTCTAAACAAGATGGTTCGTACGAGAGAAACTGCCACAATCAGAGGTACAATTTTTCTTGCACTTATTTTTCCCACTAAGTACTTTCTTTATATCATACTTGATTGTGATTCTGCAAGAAGTTAAAATGGCTGAAGTAAAACTGACTCAATTTCTCATCGATGGGTTGTCAGGATGGTCCGACCGCATGCCTCTTCTGAGAGCGAACTTGTCATCATGGTATCATACGTGGCATCATACCAATCACGAAAAGCACTATTCAGTGTTCTTCAGTTTAGTAGTTTTGCAGATAGCGTGATAATATTTGATTCTTAATATCAGTACCCCCAGAAGTGATTTCTATGATGGTATTGTTGTTTGCTGAACTCTGCGCTTCATCTAAATTTTTCACACTCCAAAGTTGCTGGCTCTACTCCTTTGCAGGTCATGTTATCTTATCATTTTAATGGTAGCTGAAAACAGGTGGTCAGGGGTGCACAGCTTTAAAACTGAGGTTTAGAATGTGAAGGTCAGTGCGCGCGCTAGTGTGAAAATCGTACATTACTTTTCCGCAAAATCGAGGTAAAGTTTCCCTGCTCCTTGTAGAACCAATTTGAAAATCGCGCATTTTTACTTACTTATCTATCACTTTCTACCATTAGAGCAGCATAAGTTCTTCACTTTAAAATTGTGAGAAAAATGGGGTTTTAAATTAGAAAGGTCAATTTGAAAAGTGGGAAGGCCAAGAATTTTCTGCATCTGCAGAGCGGATTATTGTTTAGGGTGATTTCTGATTGGTTGGCCTCCTCCTTTATCAGAGCTAGAGACTGCTGAAAAGGGTCGGTCCAAGCACCAATGAGCCAGTGTCCCGGGTCACTTTTCCAGCCCCGATTTGCCCCCTAGTCCATCAGGAGGCTCTGCAAAATTTGACTTTTTGGCCACTCTGTAACTTAACGCACCACCAGAGATCTGGCAACCAAATCCAGCCTTAGTAGCAAGTTACTCATCTTTAATTTTGTATTTTCCTCTTTTTTTCAGTGGTTGGAGCCAAAGCACCAAGGAAAGCAGCTGCTTTTCCTTCTACTTCACAATCCTCCGATGAATCTTCAGGTACGTCGACTAGTCAACGATAAACCTCTAAGGTTGCGTAGATATTACGGTGAAGCACTGAACATGGATATTTGTTTCACCATGGTCAAGCTTTTAGGAAGAACCTTTTAATTTCTAACAGTTTTCCTGATCTTTAGGACTAGACCTTGCCTCCTTGCTTTCATTATGCATTCATGCATCTTTTAGATGCAACAATTTGTTACTCTATTCCTACTAGACCGTTAATTTCTTTTGTTCCTGTAAGTATTATGAAAAGCGTACAAGCAAACGGCAGGCTCTTTCTTGAAAACTTTTATCCAATGCCCTTCTTATTGCCCTCAAAAAGGCGGTAGTACTTCCAAGAAGGCTTTATCAAAGTTCTATTAAAGATCATAACTGGTATTCAGACATATTTTCAGGCAATTTTAATGCCTCTTAAACGGAATGGATATCAAGAATCATTCTCCCAGTTCTTGAAGAATTTATTTGTTAAAACGAATGAAATTACAAAACGTAGCAGTAACTAGACTATTGCTTCTCTTATTATAGTTTCCGGTTGAATTTTCTCATCTTAAAATAAATCATGAACTTTTTCCCAGGAAAAAAATACAGTGGTGGGAACTCGTACTGCCCTCGAGAAACTCCTGCCTGGCAGAAGAACATAACTTGTTTCTTTGGTTCATCTTCTAGTAATAAAGACAAAGATGAGGAGAGTCTCAACAAATCTTCAAGTGATGATTCATCAGTCAAAATTGTCAGTGAAACATCTACATCCGGCAAATCAGCAGCTGCCTCTAGTAGCATTGATGTAAGTACTTAGATATTTCTCTTTTGATGCACCTTTTAGTAGAAGGGCATGAGAATCTGAAGATTACAATTTTTTATTCGCAAAATAATTTGTGTAAAAAATTTTGAAATATGTCTCTTAATTAAGAAACATTTTCACAATACACAAGTATGTAGAGAGCGGATTTTCTTGTGCACTCATAAGTTGGTTGACTTATTCGGCAGAGATTCTAATGAGGCACATTTCATGCAGGACTGAAAGTCAATTCATAATTCATCTTGCAAGACTCTCTGTGTCGTTGTTGATGGTCAGTCAAGTTGACTTCACACTACCTAATTATTTGATTCCAGCATTTACCATTCATTTTTCCTCATCTTCTTACATGTTAATCATCTGTTTTAGGATGTAAATGATAAAGAAAACGTTGCTGAATCCTCATCCTCCTAAGAATTAAGATACACCTCTGACATCGTTCACCAGCTTATTGCCATCTGATCTCAGAACAAGTAACAACATCAGGTGCTTCCATTCTTGCTTTTCAGAGGTTTTAATTTTTTAGAAGCTTCTCTATGACGATTGATTTTTGAGTATGTTGACTCTATTTTTTTTCTGGAAATTATTTTCAGGGAAAAAAATTTAAGTGCATGTAAGCAGACAAACTCTCAGCTTTGTAATGCGCATTGAGCAGGTTGCTTTTAAATTTGGTTTTATCTCAGGAGATCTCTTTTTGATGTTGTCATCTTTTGCACGCAACAGATCCATCTAAGTAACAAAACTTGGCGAAAAGCTGAAATTGTGCTTAACTCTATAGAATTGATAGTTTCAGAGAAAAATAGGTTAACAAACTCAAAAATCAACTCTCTTAAGCTAGTTTTTATAATTTGAAGTTTGTTTTAAATTCCTAATTTTTTTATTGTATGTATTTAACCCTTTGTAATGTTATGTAGGTTAGCCTCGGGTAATGCTTGTGGAATTCAACTATCGTTCTACTGAGCCCTGGAAGGAAATTAATACTTTCTCAATTTCATTTGAAAAAAAAAAAAACTGTGAAGAATAGATAGCTCATTGAGTCTTTCAATTTAGGTGTTGAACTGAAGAAGAACCAATGCATTATTGTTTAGTATGCCATTTTCTCCACTGAAATTTCTCAGTTCAAACTTCCCAGTACCCTTTAGCTTTTTTAACGATATAGACAGCTCATAAATAGACGAGCTTTGGTAATGAACTCCATACGTACTTCTTCTCTCATTATAATTAATTATTTTACTATGACTATTTTCTCTTTATCATGTGCATTCTCGGTTTTACAAACCATCCATTAGAGAACATACAGAAGTATTATTGTATTAACACAACTAAACTTGAATTTTTATGATTGTTCATCATCCATCATTTTGTGAAAATGGTATTCATATTTTTTAAATACACTAATAAATTTTGAAGATCTACCACATTATCTTTACTCCTTTTCTGCAAACAAGTTTCGTTTTTTAATTTAAAATCAAAGTATCAGATGCGTTTCAAGTAGGCGGCCCATCAGACACATCTGAGTCGTACCAATGATAGGCCGCCTACTTGAAACCCATCTGTTACACAAGTCACAAGTGAGTTTTAACTTTGTTAAATTTTAAATTAAAGTGTTTCCATCGGGTGGAAAATTCGCTCCCAATTCAAATTAAATTATAAAAGTTTTGTTACATTAGGAGGTGCAAGCTTGGTTTAACATGGAAAACCTTGTTCTCTCTATGCAAGTACGTCCTTAGTAAGACAAAACAGAGTCGTTAAGGAAGTCTGGCTGCCTCTCATCTTCCCTCGCTTCAACTTTAATAAGCTACATTTCCGAAACTAACAAATGAGATCAATGGTGCGAATTTAGAAAGAACATTAGTGCTTGGGTTTGAGCCAAGAGCAGAGCATGAGATGGGTAGCAGAGGTGTTCTTGTTCTTGACCATCCATTTTCACCGATTACTGGGTTGGTCACCTTTTTCAGAAAATATGTCGTGTTCTTCAAGAAATACTAAGACTAATTCGTAGTTGAACCATCTCATTCATCCTAGCAGATTATTTCAACTCAAATAATCAAATTGTAACCAATAATTTATTGCTATTTGTAGCCATGAAGAAATATATCGACACATGGGTGTGAGATTTTTAGTTTTTTTTACTTTCGGTACAGGATTAAAGAAATTCGTCCTTTCCTTGAACTACTTTGTTCTTTATCCTATTTTAAAAAGTAGGTAGGTTCATGTAAAAATATACGCACAAATTTGAACGTATGATTATTGAAGTTTATTTTAGTAACTTGTACGACTTTAAAAACACACAACAAACACTCAATTTAACTATTTATACCATTTGAATAGGGAAATAAATAACGGTGGCAGGATAACAGGATGGGGAAAAGAAAGGCTCAGATAAAATTTTGGGCAACTATAGAGATTGGTAACCCTAAATTGTACAGAACCCAAGGGAGAACATTCAAATGCATGCTTTCATAATATGAACCATAAAATTAAACTTGAAAGTCTAGCTCCAATATAAATGATAAATCGACTTGTCTTCCACATACTTGAGAAGAGACAAGTAGTACACCCAAACTTATGCTGGGGCTGGAAAAACTTTTAATAGATGATCCTAGTTCTCATAGAGCTAATGTCAGAAAACCTTTTTGAACAATCTTACAGCAGATTAAATTTTGAAATTGGAAACATATATTTTAGCAAATATGATACTGTTATTTTCCTGAGAGTGCTCTTCAATCCATTGGTCATTATTGGTGCAGTCTCTCTCTGGGACTGGTTTGGATAATAGATTAAAGATTATGGAGAAGATCGTTGGAAAAAGCTAAACCATTAATTGTAAGTTCCTAGTGTCTACATACATGGAGGTCATCTATAAAGTAGCGAGAGAACAAACCAGGATCTGAAGCAATACTTTCAACGGAAGAGGATGGACAAATGGGAATAATGCGAAACAAGACAGTTTGTGGGCGGGACACATATGGGTAGGAGAGACACAATGAACTAATTAACAAAGTGTAAAAAAATAAAAACAATAATTAAATTAAAATGGCACCAATTCGATCATAAAAAAATAGTAATTGGTGAGTTCATTAGGTGACTTAAAAAAGATCAGATGTATTTTAATAGTAAAAAATTAAGAAGACTTGCATAAGTGGAAGTAATAATTTATAAAGTATTTGTACATGATTATTTATAGATGAAAGAAGATGAAGTAAACTTGAGGGAGCCTTATTATCAATTGCTGAGAGGTATTTTCAGAAGCATTATGAAGGGTCTTACTTTAGTAAGATTTCGAAACTAGCTATTTCCTCGCAACTAGGTGCTCTTTTAGTGACAGTAAATTGAATTTATAGAACAAAAGAGAAGCAGCTACTTCGAGACATTTACACGAGATAAGTAAGATGCATAATGTACAGAATGAAAGCAACTAATGTTAGAACAGTGTTTCATACTTTACAAATAAGATATCTTTACTTGAAAATTAAACCAGGGCATGGGCAAAGTATTTACAGACATCACAGCATCACTTGTTAATTCAAGAGCTCATGGCTGGACTTGCAATAATGTTGAAACTAAGGGCACTACCCTCTTTTCTACCAATGAGAGTTATTAGCAACTAAGAGGTATGTAAAGAACATTAGAGCAATAGTTAAACATAGATATTATTCAGATGTAACGCAATTTTACATATTGGATCATAAAGACTTCAAAAGTCATGACTAGAAGCGGTCTAGTCTCTAATAAACCTAAGTTCTGGCTGCGTCTTTTCTGTCGGTAATACACATAACAAGATTATTATCCAGATCTAGATATTCAAAGATATTAAAAAATACTGAAATTTTTATCCTTCACTTTTGGTTTAAACTTTATGAACTGAAACATGTTGATCTTAGCTGATGGGCAACATATCTGATGAAATATTGCGGGGCAGGGAAAAGAACAAAGAACATTGTGAAATAGGAACTTGCTAATTTAGGGTGTCTACAAGTCTAGAAAACCGGTAAAAGTTTGAGAATTGTAAGGAAAGACTGAAAATTTGAAAAATCTAGAAATTTAAAATCTTAAAAAACATCAGGGCTGTCCACACAATCAAACTGAATCTTGGTCTGATTCGGGGTTCAATGCTCCGAGTTTTAATCTTGATAGTGAACAGAAGAATAAATTTTAATAAGAAATAGCAATCCTAGTTACTTTATATAACAATTAATATCCGACAAAAAAAAGCTTCACAGATTGCATAAAATGAATGCCAAAAATTTCTACATTTCAGCTCTTTGCGTGTGGATTGATTATGTAGAAAGTCAGGGCACTTTTCTCCGCAGAGTCTGTAGACACTAGACACCCTGTAATTGGCAGAAAGGCATCCTTCTATATGATAATTTGAGCTTGTTTAAAAAGTCATACTTGAAATGCATTTATGAAAGTTGAATTGAAAAGTTGAAAGAATAAGACATCAATGGACTGGAATATGCAATGATTGCACTTGAAAATTGGAAAGAATATCTTGGAATGTACATTTAAGCAAGATAAATAGTAAATGCAATACTCTGCAGGTTTCTGAGATACAAATGTAGTGGGTTCGTTTTGTTTGGTTTTTGTTTTTAATTTTTCGGTTTTGTGTTATTGACAGCTTACTTTCGCCTTCACAATACACGAGAAATTATACACGACAAGACTTCCTCTACCGCGAGGGACAAGAAAATGAAAATCGAATAAGCAGCAGAATAAAAATTCCAAATGCTGGTTTTGACTTCTTGGTCTCTTCTACCTAGAAAAAAAAGAGTCCAAGAAGGATTGGTTGAGAAATCAAGACTGAAAGAACTTGACTCTATACCTCTGATCTGGCTGATACTACCGAGTAAAACTAGTCATTAAAATGTCATTAATTAGAAGCTGCTCCAATGTTTCGGAATTCTTTGATTTTAGTAATGTCCAATCTATACTTTACCTAGTAATGATTTCAAAACTTTAAATTCAGTTAAATTTACTATACTGTCAACTTAGCATACCATTATTGAATGAAGGCAATTAATTTAAAATCATACAAATGCATGTCAGAAACAGGAGTTCAAACAACGCAGGTGAGTGATCAAAATTTTCTAGACTGGGTTTGAAAATATTGCATAGTTTTGAGGCGCGAGGGAAAAAATGAATACATACCAAACGAAAGGTCTCTCTACCCTCAAGGAGGACCTCTGCATGCTCAGAGGTTATTCTAATAAGTTCTTGCGGGAATCAGAAAATTATATTATTTTGGCAAGATTTTGGATTCCAAAAGAAGAGAGGAGATAAAATCTTGAGCGCTTCCAAAATGTATGATAACAATAACAATTCACATTATGCATAAAGAACTTCATAAATATAAATGAGTATTATGAGTTAAAGCTTAATTCACTAAATCACCAATATTTTTTCAGAATAATTGAGAAATTTGCTTTGGAATACTAAAGCTACTTCGTTGATTTGTCATAGTACCTAAACCAAATATTATGGCCCCAGCAAATACAGAATCACGTTAAATAGTTCAGAGAAAGTTGTGGCACTGCCTAACTGGCACTAAGAGTCAAAAAATTACTAACAAACATACTAAAATTTTTAGCAGTAGACAGAAATTCTACTTAGAAATGGAATTCCAATGAAGGAGAAAGGAGGTCGATGAATTCTCCAATCCTGAATAAAACTTAAAAGGACTATGACTTGATTGTTCATACGTTGAAAAAAAGAAAAAAATATCACAAAGGAAATTATTAGCAACTTCCAGTGTAAGTCAGAATGAGTCAAGACTTGTTGCGCAACATAACGAGCTTACTAAACACGAGAGTTTGTGAAATGGGACAATCATCTCAGTGCAAGGTAGAGGCTAAATCATCCGCCTAAATCTTTTCCAGACATAGTGAGAGTACAATTAGAGAGAGATCTTATCAAAAAATCTATAAGATAACATAAGATCTATACAACTAGTTGCGTATCTCATAAGCATTTAAAAATTTGTTTTGGGTAGAGGGGAGGAGGGGGACACAAATAAATAAATGAAAAACTGATGGAAAGATGGGCACAAAAAAAAATGAGTTGAAACACACACCTCTGATTAGTAATCAAGAAATTTGCGTCAAAAGCTTGACAAGAACAGGAAAGCTAACAAACCTCCTTGAAAAATGGCTTTGTTGCATGAGATGAATAAATACCTTACTGAGAATGTCTTAAGATAAAATAAGGAAACTTATGGACAGAGTAATGGTAAAAAAATTATTCACATTTGTTACAGATTAGGTTGCTTCCATCTTCCCGCTGAGAACCTCATGGTGCGCAGCAGATGGAATTTTAACATGAATCATTTCAGCCTTTGAGGCTTACGAATGGAAGAGGCCTTTCTTCTTTGATTTTTTCTCTTTACCGTCCCCTTGACTGCAAATAAAATGAAACAAGAAAGTTAAAAAAGATTCTTCTAATGACACATCAAGTCTAAGATTGGAGGAGTTCAAGCAAATTCTTGCTGATAAGATATCAGTACTGTCTTAAACCAATACCGCTAAGCACCTTGAAGTGGTGAAAAGGTTGTCACAATCAGGGAAATTTGAAACGTTAAGGAAAACCTAAAATGTCAGGATAAATGACCCAAGTGTCAGGAAAAATTGTTATGGTCACCTCTATTAGTTTTCTAACAAGGGTTAGACGATTCAAATGACAAAGTTTGCCTGAAAACTTCAAATCATCTTCAAAACAGAGAATTAATCAATAATTGTTAACTCCTCTAAATTAGGTTGCAGAGCTTTCATCTGTAATGAACTAACATTGTCAATTCAGGAGAGCTCAATTCACCTAAAGTACTGCTAATTGTAAGTCCTAAGCAACCTATGCCACGAAAATGCCTTCACATTTGCAGTGTGGACACATAAATGTTTTCTCAGTTCGGGCTACTTGTGACATTCTTCCTCCACTCATTGCATATTTTAGACTCTTGAGTAGAAACACTACATTATTGTATCAAAAATTTTAGACGAAAGCGTTTTAGTCCCCCATCTTGACAACCTCAACAATGATCCCCGATCAAAGGATTCTTATGCTTGGCTCAAAAAAAAAAAAATAAAAAAAAAATAAACAAACAAACTGTTTTGTTGAATGTGTTCTTTTACATGGTAAAGTGTTACTGATCTGGAGGGAGTTGGGGCAATTTTAGAAAATGAAAAGAAAATGCGAATATTTCAAAGAGTTCCTAAAGAAGTGAGCTTGCATCAACTGAATTTGTTATACTTACTCTCTTTCAAGACTTCTACGCCTGAGGTCGTCCAATTTTACACCATTCATATTCTCCCAGTCTAGTATTTCTGCTTTTAGAGCATTCTTTTTATCTTCTAGTTCTCTAATTTGTTGCTCCAAATTTTTGCGCATTTGTTCATGCCGTTTTTGAAGCTGCAAAGCAAACAGAACGATCATGATAGAAAACAAGAAAAAAATCATCACTGATCCAGGAGGAACTCACCTATTCATTAACAACAGGTAAAACCATGATAAAACAAGTATTCAAAGTAAAGCATCTTAAATGGTTAAGGATACATTATTTTCCAGACTATGTAAGAGTACTATGTGTAACAGAATACTTGAACTGTTTACGGAGAGAACAAGAACAATCGAAAATAATAACTACTACATTATACTCACATCAAGTTCTGAGTCCTTAACTTTTTGTTTCTTTTCTCGAACTTTCATTTCAAAGACTTGCTCCATCTCTACTTCCAGTTTCTTGATTCGAATGTCGTGTTCACGTTTCTCCTCCTCTAATTGAGCAAGCGGGTTCCTGAGAAAGATTTAAAAGAGACAAATCAAATCAATATTCAAAACAAACAATTACTTTAAAATGAGTATCCTGAAAAACAAATTAGATGAGCAGGTATCACTTTGAACACACCGGTAAACATTTAACTTAAGAAACATACCTGATATAAGAAAAAGTTAAAACAAAATAAAGGAAGGGGAGGAGAAGAGATGACAAATTGAGCTTTCTTTTTCATTTTATGTAATTGAACATGGAATCTTGTAGGATTGACTCGTTTCTTCCAATTCTAAAAGGACTAGGCACACACAGAATACCTAGGGAGGCGCGGTTCTTATGACCTCCTGAAAAGTGAATTTTTCTTCCCTCTTACGTACACTTTCTATTGAAGAGAAGGACTGTTATCACATGTAAGTGGATAATGTGCTGCGCCCTCTTATAGTTCACATTAACACATAATTTCCACGTTTTTTAAGGACTGCTACACTTATCTTAATTTCTTGTTGATTAAAAAGCTAAGTAATAAAGCCTGGAAGATGAAGTTCCAACCTTTTGCCATGATGGTAGTGAAAAGCCTCTATTTGTCCCTGCTTCAGTGCAATATAAGTTTACAGGCTTTTTGGGTTCCAGAAGAGAAATAATTGAAAATGCCAGTGATTTTGAAGTGAACGACTCAAAGAGATATAAAAGAGCATTCTTAGGCATTCAGATTTCTTGATAAATAATCAATATGTTTATAATTAGATGAATCTCACTACAGACAGTTTTACTTGATTTTCAACATACACAAGAAAATTTGCTTTTAAGTTGGAAAATAAGAGAATTTGTAATAAATAACATACGGCATGAAAAGGAAAGTGCAACGACAAAGCAAGAAGAAAATAAATACATACAACTGCGGGGAAAAAGCTTTGCACTAACCTTGTCCAAGAAGCATTTACTACATAAATATGAAGATGGGCTGTGATAGGTTTTTCTGTTAAACCACATTCTGTTTAATAGCAAATGCCATGCAATAAAATAAATAAAGAGCGAAAAAAGTGCTCACAATTTGCAGACTTTTTCCAGAGAAGAGGATTTTGAGAGGATTTTCAAACTAATTCTTGGTCCCTTTTTGGTAAGAAACAAGTAAATAGAAAAAATACCAGAGCAAGGAAATGCGCAGAGGGAGGAGACAAAAGGATAAGTATTCCATGGAGCTATAAGAAATAGAAAATGAATAGATTTATGGGACATTGACTTACCAAACAGTCATGAAAGTGTTGTCAATGACTCCTTGCGGGCAGAAACTAAAAACGGAAACTAGTTAGAAAAGTTGTGCCCAGCAAGGCAAAAAGCGAGGTTTTTTTTACAACGTTTCGGAGAAACAAGTCTGCAAAAAACTTGTTTTACACTAAATCAAAGCAAACCTTCTCTTAACACTTGTTATATATGACTAGTTTTAAAAACAATCATTAAATCTTGGCACATTGCACTCAGGTTCTCTTTCATCTAGAAATTCAGAACCTTCAATTGAGGTGGAAAAAACAACACAAAAATGAATATTTTGAGTCAACTGATGACAAATTCTTGGTTACAGTGTAAAATTTGGATTACTATGGTCTTAAGCTAATAACTGTGCAAATTAGATTAAAGACAGGGTTCCATCTTTATTCTTGGTTTTATTTTTGTTTAGCACATCTGACTCACTTGTACTCGCCTGACTTAAAAATTTTCGCCTCTATGTATACTACTATTTGAAAGCTAACATCATTTCAATAATTTTTTTGAGATTTGCAGGCTTGTGTCTCCGCTGTGGGAAGAAAATAATTTAAAATTTTTAAATTTAAAATATCAAGAGATAGCTCCTCCTTCTGTTAAAAACAAAATTTACAGAAAAATATCTAACTAGACACTGCTGTTTGAAAGCAGAGCTGAAAGTGTAAAGCATGTTTGGGTGTGAGCTTTAAGCATAAAGAGAGTGAGACCTCTTAGGACTCCTTAGAACATAAAATTTGATGCACTTAACCCGCCATAAATTGATATCAAAGAACTGTTAAAAGAAAACTAAGCAAATGAAAGAAAAAAATTAAACCAAAGAAAACAAGCATGGTTGAAATATTTTACACAGATCAATTGCTTCAGAGAAGGCTGCAGTTTGAAAGCGTTCAAAGGCAATGCATAAAGACAACTTAGGACTCGGTCTCTCTGATGATCAGGATATTTTGCTGCTATCCACTGACTGAACGGTAGTGATTAAAGTCTTAATCCTTCATACAGTTGACAAAATTGGTTTATCTTCGAAATTAACAGACTACTACGCAAGATGGAGTTTAAGCATTATGATATATATTTCCTCGTATAAACTTCACTTAGAACATGATTTGTTAAACAAAAATTATGGAAAGTGACTCTTACCCAAGATATTAACATTTTTAAATACCAAAATTCAAATTTCCCATTTACAATGAAAACCATAATCTACTTGAGTTAAACTGCAAACTAAACGTTACATATCAGTTACTATATCGGTTACTACATGGATGCCAGATATGGATGTCATGAATTTGTAATGTGACAAAAGGTTTTCATGATAACAGCCTTCACTGAAACAACCACTATTTTTTCGCCACAAACTACAAGAAGCTGTGCTATCAGACATAACAGGTAGCCTGGAATCGATTTCAGAAAATGTTGTTTTGATCAACATGCTGAGGATCTTTCCCTGGAGACGCCATTTAAGGCATGGCTGAGCAAAAAATAAATCAAATAGTTTCCCATTGACAACATTTAAAAATTATCTATTAATTATGAGGAATATGTTGTGAGCAAGGACTGCCAGGAGCTGAATTTTTTTTTTATGAAAACCACTGTACTTTTGGGATAAGCCTTAGCTCAGAGTAATATCAGTACGATAGGAAATATCGTTAAGGCTAATTCTTTCAATAAATGGCCCACGAAGCAAGATATGATTTTAAGCTTTCTAATATATGGGACATCTTCTAAGTTTCAAGTAGAACAAAATTTGGGTGACAAAAATTAGTAAAATAAACTCCCAACCATTATAGGAAGGTTTCTATTTAGCAGTAGTTATGAAGAATTTGTATTTTCTGTTAACATAATAAACCGGAGTCTACTTGAATCAAACCGTACAAGACAATGGTTTTGGCAGGCTTCTAAATAAAGCAGTGGGCTATCCCTACTTTACGTTCTCTAAAGTGAACACAACTTGTAATAGCTGGGCTAAAATGTCAAGATAGAGGTTGACAATTTTTCATACTGCTAATACTGTCATGGTAACTTTTAGTGTACAATCTGACTCAATTAGATAATGATATTTTTTTCTGTTTGTTGTAGTGAGTGAAAGGTCTGAATTTATGCATTGAAAAACATTTATTTCTAAGTAAGGAGTTACTTTTATTAATTTTTGCTTCACAAATCATGTTTTACCTAAAATGTTGATGTGAACAGATACATCATAAAGCTTAAATTCGCACCTTGTCCAGTGGTCCGAAGCAATATTTCTATATTAAGATTCTGTGAGAAAAGACAACTGGCTATCATTATCAGCATCATCAATCTTACCAACATTAAATGATTATCTAAGGGAAACGCAGATCTTAGAAAGAAAGGGGAAACGATATTTTCTGACTTTGTCTCACTTTATCTATGAATGTTTTGAAAAAGACGAAACACAAAATAGCAGAGTTATGTGCTCCAAAAAAATGTCTAATCAATTAGTAATTGAAAACCACTTCAAACAAAAATTTGATAGGTACAATAAACATTAGTGTTGTTATGTACTATTGAGATAGAAGTGCAAAAGCATGAGTTAAAGATTTTTTGGAGAAAAGAAAAGGATAGAGGATTTAGTGAAATTAGAAAGACTTACATGTTGAAACCTTGTCCTTGTTTGCCATCTGGGCCAAGAACTGCCAATTTACGACACCTGAAGTTTTCATAATGAACATTATTTGTCACATCTTTCAAATCTTGTAAATGTGTGCGTAGTAACATATTTCGTAGGGCAATGAAATCATTGTGCTCTAAATTTTCCACTGTGAACATATGAAACATCAATATCACAAAGGGTTCAACATGAAACTTACTGAAGTGCGAAAACTCAAATACATACTGTACACTCCTGAACCTCACTGGAAGTTGAATGTTCAGAAGTTGTTAAAAATAGATAGATACATTTCACAATTGTATGATGAAGAGACTGAGATTTGACAATGTTGTCTATTTCATAGAATCAAGATGTGTGGAATTGCACTCAAAATCCATGTTATTGAATAAGGAGTTAGAACAGATGGAAGTGTGTAAAAAAAATCAGAATATCTCACAAACCTCCCCTCACAAATAGTACGGATTTTGAATGCAATGAGCTTCTTTAGCAATGTTGAATTTCAGCACTTTTGAAAAATGGAGAGTGCAGAGAGTTTGCAGGAATTATCCCCGATTTTCTTGAATAATAATATTAATCCACAAAAAAACGAGCTCAAAGTTGCGTATTTTGAGCTCCCATTCAAACGCGCATCGGCGAAACATCGATCGCCGCCGTAAGCGCCTGACAGGGAATGGGTACTCTTGACGACTTAAAAAAATAGGGAGGGGAGGAGGCGGGAGGTCGATTTTGCATCAACCTCTTTCCTCTACCTCATGGGTTTGCAACAACTGTTCTAATCCATAAATCTTGACTTTGATCCATTTGAGCTGCCTCTTATTCTTCCTTATCAAAATTATTCGCAAGTACCCTTTTTTGAACCATTGGTTAGAACAAAAAAAGGATTTTCCTGGACAAATTGAAAGAAGAAATACCTTCTGCGATTCCCCAAGGATACTTCCTACCCCGGACTTTCTTTCCATTGACTTCTATCACTGTATTGGAACCAACTATTGCAAAAGGAACACGATCTCGCAGAATTTTGTTTTGTTTGGCATCTTCGTCGTCATCTGTTTCTGGAAACTCATATATTTTGATTTTATGTTGCGCTATTTCATTTAAAATCTGAAACACAACGGCAATATCTATCAATACTATTGCAACAAAATGAAAATGACTAGGCATTTTCCTTTGTGAACTTAAAAAGGCAAACAAATAAAAAACAGCCTAGAGCTAAGTGATTAGAGGTGTCTTGAGCGAGGTTGGCAGTTGTTTACTTTCTGTTTGCAAGTAACTGCAATGCAGCCGTCCAAAGGCGATCAAGGATTAGCCATGGCCCAATCGCGAGCAACGCTACTGATATTCACAGAGAAGTAAATCAGTCTACTGCACGTGACAAACAAGAGTGTACAACTGCCAACTTAGCTGACGACATCTCTATTAAAGGAACCATTTTCTATTCCCAGAGACAGCAATAATACACCTTTAAAGGTTTGTTCCGTCCTGTTCCTGAATTGCACAATGCAATTTTTAGTCTCATGTCCGTTTATTTCCATGTTCAAAAGGCTTTATACAACTAAATCACGAGTTTTCACTTACAAGTATGTGTGTCGCTTAGTTCTTAAGAATGTTAACCATATAAAAAATGAGTCATGCAACTGAATTCCATAGAAAAATGTTTATATTATTCTGCAACAAGTATGAATGTGTTTTTGAAAAATTAAGGGATGATGCCTTTAATCCAATTTCATCTTAGAAAAACTTAACCAACTAAAAACCCTGAAATAGTTGTGATTAGAAAAGATAGCCATAACACGAAACAAAATAAGTGATATCCCTTCTACAGGCCTCGATGTGTAGATAGCAGAGGAGAGAACACTTTAAATGAATGTTTGCTCCTGTAAACTGAGCAGTAAAAAGCAAAAAACAAATCCCCTTCTGTGAAGCAAAACTTAAGAATGAATGGTGTGATGAGACAAGTAACCACATAGAAGGTCAAACTTACTTGTTTTTTGAATTGTGTACATTCATCGGGCGTAAGCGTGTCAGCTTTGGCAATGATAGGAATAATATTTACTTTTTCATGCAGTCTCTGCATGAATTCTACATCTAAAGGTTTAAGACCATGTCCTGAGGGTGCAATGAAGTAGAGACAGCAGTGTACCCTCGTGTCAGGCTGTGGTTTCCGGTTTACCCGAGATTCTGAGTTGAGGAATTCATCATACCTGAAAGAAAAAAATATTCCTGAATTGAAAATTGACCTTTATTGAGATAAAATATGTGTATTTATTGAGAAATAAAACAATTATTTTGCCATCATTAAACTTGTAGCATTTCACACCATGCTGCATCGGGGGGGATTTGGGAGCAGAGTTTTCAGTTCAGTTCCTGCATTAACATCATAGTCTTAAAAACTCAGCGGCCAGGAGAGAGAGGACATCTAAATTAAATTCCTTCACACATTATTAGTCATCAAATGCCTTTTGTCAAATGCTTGAGCAGACAATCTTTTATTCTATAAAGGATTGGAAATGCTGCGATTTTTCATGCTTTTTTATGATAAGCTGTTCCAAATTTGTAAATCCCCAGTAGAAATTTTCATTATTTCAATTTTGGTTTTAAAACTACTTGGTATTGAGTGAAAACTCATCTCAAAATTCCATGATGCTTCATAAAATGCAGATTAGTAACAGACTTGGCAGTAAAAAATGGCATGGAAAATTTTGAGTGATCGAACTCTTGAAAAAAAAAGGTCTTATAAAAAAGTTTTCCTCTCAGAGTGCTAAACATATTAGAGACCTTCATTGCAAAAATGTCAAACTAGGTAGGTCTTTAGAAATTAGTCCGTAGGTATTCAACAAAATACCTAATTTGAGCATTAACGACTGGTACGAATACTAAACATTCATCAACAAGGATTCTATCATGCATACCTTGATTCAACAAATTCAATAACAGGTTGCCAACAGTTAGAGTTGTCAACAGCATCACCAAAACCTGGTGTATCTACCACAGTGAGGACGAGATTCACTCCATTTTCTTTCAGCAAACATCTCTGTGTTTCAACCATTATTGTTTTCTTAATCCTATGCGATGGACCTGGATACTCTGGACCATAAATATCCGCTAGGAACATTGAGTTGAGCAACGTTGACTTTCCAAGACCGGATTCACCTATGAGGAAAACAAAATATTTTATTTTTAGAGAGAAACATGGAGGAATGTAAGAGAGACAAAACCTGGATGTATGTTGCCCAAGAAGCGACTCATTTCATCTGCAAATTCCAGCTGATATGAGTCACCAATATTTACAACACACAAAGGAGAGCAGTTTCTCTGAGCTATCAGTAGGAGCCTTATCAGTAAATTTCTGCACAACTAAGTTGCTCTGACTGTGATAAATGTTGCAGCATTAAATAATATTAATTCTCTTTTGTAATGTATTTGGAAAAAGGGTGGAGGGAGGAGGGAATTTATTTTGTTGATTTTATTAAGTATTTGTACTACAGTTAAAAACTTCCGAGAGAAGAAAGGCGGTTAACAACCAATATCGTTGACTGTAAATAGAATGGGACGTTTCTAGGAAGATCTCATGATTGAATGAGTGACTGATACTCTTTATTCTTATGATTTGAGAAAATATATTTTCAGCATTGATTCCTGCTTATTTTAACGGTACTGATGGCTACGCTTTTCAAAAAAAAGAAGCCAAAATTAATGATGGCAGCTTTTAAAATTCCAATAAAAAGACTTGTTTTGAAAATGTCCTTAGCTTCTAGTACAATGAGGTACACACTAAGGAACTTATTTTAAAAGAAAAAGTAACTGAAACAATGATGTAGCAACACAAAAGGAACAAAATAACTAGATAACAGGAAAGTCTACGCCAATTATTATTTATATATTAAGAAGAACAGTCTCGCTGTTTTACTGCGATGGAATTGGTTTGTAGCAACTTATGTGGAAAATTAAGTGACCTGATAACTTTCAATCCTCGAATACGTGATTTATTGAAACCAAAATCATCAGAAAACTTCAATCAAGAAGTGTTAAGATGTGGGAGACTCACCTACTAACATAATGGTGAACTCGAAACCTTTTTTGACAGCTTTTCGGTAAACTTGATTTGGGAGATTGGCAAAACCTACATAACCATCTAACTCCTTCAGTTTCCGCTCAGGTACAGTTTTATCCTTTTCCAATTTATTGTACTTCTCTTTGTTCTCGGTACCATTTTCTGATGCTGCTGCTTCTGCGTTGACTGGGAACAATCAAGAACATAACTTGTTAGATAGGCATAAGGAGGGGAGACAAAGTACAACATCAAGGAAAGGTTCCCTTCAAAATTTTTGGAAGACCAGGATTGAGGAAAAACTGGTCCATCTGGAGGGTCATGAAGAGTATCGTCATTTTCAAAAGGAAATATTTGAAAGAGTATTTACTTATTTACTTATACTACTAATTGATTACTTCTTAAAGCTTACTTCTGGCGATTTATCTCATTTCCATACTGCCAAATCGTTTATTTTTGAACGAAAGTATAAAAGAAAATCAGTTTTTCATGCCAGTCTGTCAATGAACAGCTAAGATGTCGCATTGCCGTAATTTTGAACTTTGATCGGCCACCAATTTGTGAAAAACAAATTTTGACCTGCAACTTACGCCAAAATTGATCACTTTCAATTTTCTTTCAAACAGGTTGTTACAAAAGGGGGCGAAGACCGATATTAGAAAGAAAAAAAGGGGAAGCTTCTCAAACTTTTCCTTTAAAAAAATTTCCAGGACTTTTTAGATCGACGTCCTACCGACACGCATGCAAATATAGAAATTAAACGGATAAACTAATTAATTTTGGATGCCATTTACCAGATGACCTCTGGATCGATAGGCAAGGATGGCGATTAGGTGTCGCAGAGCGCCCGGGCGCGCTGTAAAGCGACTTGAATGTATGTAATTTTGGAAACTCTGGTGAATGTTGTAATTTTCCGAAACCAAAATAACTTCCGCCGCACAGTGGAACAAGGTAATAGAAAAGGTCGGGCATGATATTCTTGGCTAAAATTTCAAATTTTGATGTTTATTTCGTATTGAATTCAATTTCAAGGGGTGTTTCTGAGAGGAAATTTTACGAAAAAACCAATGGAACCACTCTTAAATTTTTCTGTCTCATATTTGCGGAAATATAAGCTTTCAAAGTTTCCAGATTTTGTCTCATATAGATTCGGTCCAGTGTCGAGAAAACCTCGAAAAAATCAAGCAGGACGAAAAAGCTTCAGCCCTTGCTGAAAAATCCCTCAATTTCTCCAGCATTTTACCTGCCTTTAAATTCTTTATTTGTCCTATTTATCGGCCCTATAGGCAACCTGCTGAAACGTTGGAAACTTCTGAGCCTACTGTTAAAGAAACGCACCTCACTTAACACGTCCCCCCCCTCATCACCACACTTTATATTATTTCAGCGTTGCAGCAGAAGCGCGAGGGACTACGCTCCGAAGCGGGGAGGAAGAGGGGGTTGCGTATACGTCAAGGAAATAGAGGGTGGTCTCTCTTGACTGCGGCTGCCCCACCGCCGAGCGGCGGCATTCCTCCCCTCGACACCCTTGGGAGGGGATCTGCGTCCGTGATTCTCCGCCCACGTTCACGCACCGACTGCAACGTGGATGACTTTCGGGTCGAAAAGCAGCCCAATTTTCAGCTCGCCCACGGGGGAAAATTCCGAATATTCGGGATACGCTGCAACCTCGATGTTGAATCGTAGTACGGTAGGTCTGGCACGGTGATCTCCTCTCGAACCGCGGTTCAACCTGACTTCTGAAATGAACCACATGTGCGCGGCGGAAAGCTTCCCTCCCAACGTTTGGGAACCGCCGCACCGAGGATCGAGTCAATGAGAGAGGTCGGACATACATTTTTTTACCAAAACTTCAAATTGAAATGTTTACTTCGTGAGATTTTAAAGTTTGGGGGGATTTTACCTCTAGTAAATTTTACGAGAAAACCAATGGTACCGCTTTTAAGACCTCTACGTTTTGTAATAATAGAGTTTTGAGCTTTTAAAGTTTCACAATTTTGTCCGACCTCTCCCGTTGACTCATTCCGTTGTGCGTCGTTCAGGCCAGAGTGGAGCACCCCCTGTAAACGACTCCTCCGCACCGCGTTTTTATTTTGTAAACAGGAACACGCGAATTCCAAATTCCTAGACAGGCACACGGGAACACTCTGAGATAGCTGCGTGGAATTTGAGACACACTTCACATTCTTCACAGATCAAAAACGAGACTGCTGAAATAAAAAAGCGGGGGCTTGTCTAATCGTTCGCAGCATTTCCGTAACTGTTACATTTTCAATTTCCCTGCCTTTTTTTCATGTTTTTTCCTGACTCCTAAATTTTCGAACACCCTAACTTCTGCTGCACTGCTGCCCCCTGACGAGTACTGCTTGCAATTTAAAACTCAAAGTGATTTTTCACTGCTATGGTGATTGTGCGGACACAATTCTGTCAAGACGATGTTTTGCTCGGTCCCCTCATTAAAACATTAGATAAAAAAGAACTAAGTCAAAGATTTATAGACGTTGTGATGGACGTATTTTTCATTTTTAGCTGTATCGATAAACACGGTTGTTAGGGTAATATTGGGTTCATCTACGCTTTATTACGCACAAATCTCGCTCTTAATTGAAAACCGAAAAAGAAATCAGTGATGCAGCAGAATGTGTTCAGTATCTACACGTTTGTTTGCTGCCGGTATCGATTCAATGTATTAATGATCACGATCCGATTCAAATGGCAAAGGCGTGGAACTGCCTCAGTAGACCCGAGTTAGGTTAGATTAGGTCACGCAACTAAATCAACTTCGCGGCAACGCGGGAGGTGTTGCTCGGAAATGAAGGCGCGCCACGGCAAAATCGTAACATTTTTAAAAGGAGAATGATGTTTGAATCACAAATTTTCGCTAAAGCAGACTCCATTGGAGGGGCTTGGAGGGGCTTGGAGGATAAGATGCAAAAGTGCAGTTTTTGAAGAAATTGAGATACTAAAGATTTCAAATAAAACTAGTCTTAGTGCATATTCTGTGAAAACTTTGCTCTAAATTCCAAATTTTAAGCGTAAAAAAGTCAGTTTGAACTCCCTTTCCGCCATAATGAAGAATCCTCGTAATTTCAAAACTTCAAACATGTATATCTCGAAATAGCAAAAACTGCACTTATGCGCTTTGCACTCCAGGCTCCTCATTCGGGGTTGCGGGAATATTTGGTCGGAGGACTGAACTCCATACCTTGCATCGACAAAACAAGGAACCCAAAAAGTCGAGGGCAGTGTCTATGGACTCGATTAAAAAATACCACGACTGGGAAAGAGGGGGAGGAGAAAGTGCGAGGGGCTCGCTATTTCCCGATGCGTAGAAAAAAAGGGGTTCGAGTTGATTGGCAGCAGCAAAGTAGGCGATGATAATTTTTCGGGCGTAAATATTTACATGGGTTGCTAATGCATCCTTTTCCCGTATCTTATGTTTAGACATGACTTCATTTATCTTGGGGCTCTGTATGCGCCGCGAGCTTTACACGACTACAAGCGCGTCATTGGAGGCGGGATTGCTTATCGGATTTTAAGCTCCACGATTAGTTCTGTTGGCGAGTAAACTTCCGGCGCACAGTGAATCGAGCTGACGGATGGGATTGGAGAAGACATTTTGGGTTGAAATTTCAAATTTTGATGTTTATTTCGTCACGATGTCAATTTCAGGAGTTGCGTCGGGACGGGAATTCCACGAAAAAACCAATGGAACCACTTTTAGTCCCTATGTTTCATATTTTAGAAGGTATAAGCTTTTAAAGTTTCCAAATTTTGTCCGACCTCTCCCACTGAATCGTTCGTCTGCACCGGAAGGATGCTAACTAGAAAAATATTTTAATCTTTTTGGATATTATTTCTCATGCTTTAAAATTATTAGGTATCGGTTGAGATAAATGTACTTCTCCATTCAGTCGATTTCATATTTCACGACTACAGGTTCTAAAGATCGGTTATATAAGTGAAGTTTTCTTGAATTTCGATCAAATAAGTTGATGCTGGTTATTAATCGATGAAAAATGCTTATGTGACGATTCGGATTAATTCTCCGGCTATCGTTTAGTATATCTCTCAGGGCAACTTCGCATGTAAAATGTATTATTGTTAACACCACCCTGGCATATAAAATTGGGGGGTTTAGCTCAAAAACCAGTTTTTTAAAGCGAAAGGTAGTATTTTTTACGAGAATTTCCATTGACCTCCTCACAAGGAAATATTTCAGGTCCGTGTACTCTATTTTAATTCCTGTACGTGTTATACACGGGTCAATTTGGGTTTGCTTATTGACGAGCAATTGATGAATTCCACGTTCTAAAATGGAAATATTAAATTTTATTACGTAGTTCGGAACGTAACTTTCATCAGTGTGGAAGGGGAAGAGGAAGAAAAGGGAAAAAATATTTCCCGAACCTATGCTCTCCTGCATCGAGGGCATTTTGAATCAAGATGAAGTACAGTAATTTACATCGAACATGAATGAAAAAATGAATGTCAAAATACTAGGATGACTCTTACCTCTTTCGGCGATCCTTTTCGAGAGGGACTCCTTCAGGGAGGTAGCGGTGGGGGGCGCGGGGGGTCCCGTCGGGGGCGCCGAGTTGGGGACCGCGGGCGGGGGGTTCGAGGGCCCATTGCTCGTAGCCGTGGCCCCTGGCGACGCCGTCTCGTTTTTGAAAAAAAGCTCCCGCTTCGAGAGCAACTGAAACCAAAAAAAAAGGGCACAAGTCAATAATACAGCCTTAATAACCACACTGCGACGATCTGGCTCTATGACAGGACGAGTAAACACTAAACGGATATGGGAAAAGGGGTCGATCCCCGTCGACTCCTTCCGACCGCCGATGCCTGTTCGGGCTACGATAATCGGTTAAAATCAGTTATAATATTGAAAAAATTACAGTAAATACGACGGAAATTGGCAGCGCCGCTTCCTCCATTCACTCACGACGACGAACGAAAACAAAGGAAATCCGTGACACGTTGACACGCTGCAAGACATAGAAAAGCTCGCGGAAATCGTTGAAGCGAGGCTGCCGACATCCATGGAAAATGACCAGCTATTTATTTTCCTTTCGTTGAAATTTAAAACTTTAAAGTCGCTTTGGCGATTGACGATAAATTATTATTGAAACTACCTATCCTTGTTTCTAACACTAGTGTTAGTCAGAATTGAGTTCATTAACAATCAAGAGAAATATTTAACTTTTGAATGTGGTATCGATTTGACATCGATTTTGTGGTGTCTGGACACAGAGAAAGTAATTAAATTAATTAAAATTAATGTTTGTTCACATGTTAGTCAGAATTAAGTTCATTTACAATCGAGAAACATTTTCAACTTTTGAATGTGGTATCGATTTGGCATTGATTTTGTGATGTCTGGATACTGAGAAAGTAATTACATTAATTAAAATTAATGTTGATTTGCATGTTAATCTGAATTAAGTTCATTAACAATCGAGAAAAATATTCAACTTTTGAAGATGTTGGGGTGTCAGGACACTGAAAAATGTAAAGCAACTTTTAGCGTTGATTTTGTCAATTTTCGATCTTAGGATTCACTTCACGATGTTACTGCACACACGGCAAAAAATAACACGGGAAAAATGATTTGGTATTAAATTAATTGTACCTTTCTTTCTAAAATCCTTCGCAATAAGTTGAATGCTTCGAAAAACTAAAGCTATTACACAAAACTTTGCTTCGTCGTCGAATTTTATTCACAGGTTTCACCACAAGTTAGACGCTGGTTAAACTACTGCGGTTCGTGGAGAGCCACAATTCCTAGTCGGATGCATAAACGTAACTAAAAATTAACAGAATCCGATCGGTGAAGCAGTGTTATCACAACTGGCCAGAAAGCACACGTGATGCAGTTGAGCCGCATAGTGACGCAATTCGCGAAAAAACGATGATAGAAGGCGGGTATCAATAGCGCTATCGGGCTTTCAATATGCGGGAAATTAGCAAATTCTCTTTTCCAAGGCGATCTATTCAACACTGTTTGGCCGTGTTCATAACTTTCCCTACATTTAATTTTCGTGGAAATTTTTTACATTATTCTGGCTCATGGCTGCCTTTTACCAAATGGTCCGTCCATTCGCTCATGATGACCTGCAGGCTAATACAGGCCCCACTTCTTCTCTGCGAGGGTCGATAGCTCTGCTGGGCCAAAACGAACAAGTGCATGAAGAGAAATGTTTTACTGCTAGACTTTCGTATTTTCGGCACAGTTTCCTTGCTTAGCCTCTATCAAGCGCTGTAGGCGTATTTTGTTCTAAGAGGCCACTATTTCCGGCTCATTTTAGGTGAAACTACAAAAAAGCGTAATTTAATTTCAGGACTCATCCATAAAATCACTTATTCTCAAGGAGTCTTATGGCACTTATGCTATTTTTTTTAAAGTGAGCCAGATTTCGTTGATCCTTATTACAAAATGCGTATCAAATGGAAAGCAGTCGCTTTTACAGCGCAATTTTACGCTCTGCGCTTCAAATGAGTCATAATTTTACGATTTTTCTCACCATTTTCGTTTTGGAAACAATTTTATTGTCTCTGTATTATAGAAAATCATAATGGAGGAAAGAAGGTGGGGGGACGGGATGGTTGATAAAAAGTGAAAAATCGTGCACGAGGCGGCAACGCTGCCGGAGATCCGACCGCCCGTGTCAGTCACAAATTGGATTATGCCACTATGTTTACCGCCTCGAATGGAGTAAACGAGAAGGAAAAGTGTTTACTCTACGGCTAATTTCTTCATTAAACGGTACCTATGACTTCGCAAAAAGGGACGGTTGAGTAAACAGAACGGGAGCTTTTACGGACGATTGTACTGGGGAGCGGCTCGACGATGAACAACTTCGGGCCGGGCACGAGAAGTTGAACAGTCTGGTTTATAATCCTACTTTCGCACCACAACAATCTAAGCTCGGGCTTAGTCTGAATTTGAAGGTTAGAGAGAAGCACAACTATTTTATAAACAAAATTCGCACTGTTGCGAATGATGTCTTGAAGGATTTTTTTTCTGCTGTTTCTTTCACACGTTGAAATAATTTTAAGGGTGAAGATGGCTGATCGGTGTTCCTGACATTAAGGTGAAAGCAATTTAAAATGCTAAAATCGCGTTGAATGAGGATCATGCTTCGTGAGTGTGCAGCATTATAAAATAAAAGGAAGTGCGGATATGATCGGCAGATCTTACCACACAAGGTTGCCGTGATTGCGAAGAGGGCAGTGAGTGCATGCTAGGATGAACCTCAAGATACATAAAAGCATATGCTAATCATGGCTCTTATAGAAATGTACTTACTGCTCTCTTCGCTATCGCGGCAGAAGAAGGGAATAATTTTCAAAACTTGACTCATTTTGCTGCGGAAAGTGATATCAGCCTTTGGTAAAATCTGCGCACTATCACGATACGACAGTTACGACTTCTTCGTAGCTCACATTGCATAACCGTCTAAAAGAAGGCACTAGCTAAGCCCACGCGCTGGCTGACGGCAGACTGCAGAGTGGACAAATTAATAGGTGTTTGGATGTTTAGAGCTTCTTTTAATACTTGATCGTGCTTTTGTCGATAATCTGCGATGCACATAGTTATGAATAAAATTACTCTCTTTCAACTCTGCTGCTATTACATTGCGCTTGTTCAAATTATGACGATCTATTTAGCTGTTGTACTAAAATATTGACTGCTTCTTCAATACTCCTTCTCATTTTTATCTCAACGCTGTCTCATTTAACTCGCCAGTCATTCTGAGTGCGCGGGTGATGTCTACGGACCTAGGCGTCGCCTATCCCCGCATCAGGGGACGATTTTGAAAGTGATTTGAAAAATATTAATTGCTAATAGGAGTTCAGATTCAATTCAGTTTCTCTCTTAAATAAAATCGCCTAGGCACAACTCGAGATCCTCAATTTACACCTACAGACCTAAATTCTGAAAAAAAATAAAAATACGACCTGCTCATTATAAGAGATGTTAAATGGAGCCATAATATTCTTTTTCCCAAGGATGTGCAATGCGCAAAGCACGTGTGCTACAGAATAACTTCTGAAAAAAAGAAATTAAGACAACCGCGTTTCCAAAATTCTCAAGTGCAAGTTTCAAAGTTCTTCGTCAAACCAGGCAATCAAATTAGGATCAGGTTTCATAACTCCACCAGCTTAAGCCAGACAGGCCGGCGGGAGTCAAATTGCACCTGATTAAAATTCTTTTCCGAGGAAATATGATAATGGCTACTGGCAGCGACTGCGGCCAGATCACGCTAAAAATACTTAGAATTTTTAGTAAGAGTAACGACTAACGACACACCTGGCGAGGTTAATATTTGGCTTTCTTCTTGCTTTCCTCACACGTGTTGCTGGGCCACTGACCAATCCCGGCAGTTAATGTTGCGAGGTAGAAGGTAGAGTTTGTACCTAGGTTTGTAGTGATGCTTTTTTTTTTTTTTTTTTTTTTTTTTTTTTTTTTTTGAGGTTGTACTTTAAAAGGCGGCTGTCAGGTTTATTGGTTATTACGAATATGAAAAAGAAGAAGAAAAATGAATGGAGAATTTTTAGGCATTTCTTAAGGGATTATTCATGGATGGATTTCTCATGAATAAAAACCAGAAATGGAAAATGTGATTTCACATAAAATTGTATTAGTGAGAAACATTTTGCTGAGAGAATTTCACAAAATCTCATGAAATTTCATTTGGCTGAAAAAATTTCAAAATGAAATTTCATTTATATTATAAAATGAAATTTCATTTTGAAATTTTTCCAGAATATTATATCTGGAAAATTTTTCATCTCTGATCAGATCACAAATTAAAATTTAAAATCCTCGATTCTGAATTATGGATCATGTTTCCGTTTATAATTAAATGCCGAAATTGGCGAACGTTCGATAGGTACCTATCGAGCCAAAACCGAAATATTCATTTAAAAAACAAAAATACGAAAAAAAAAACCAGAGCTTTCTATCCAGGTCTAAACTGCTTGTGGTGAAATGTAGTTTGAGTCCAAGTTAAAACAACATGCGTAATAAGGGAAATTCAAACCCTATAATGCGGCAACACTGCAGAGCAGCGCGAGGCGGCAGAACTGCGCTTTCAAAACCTCCCGGGGCGTGACTTTAGATTGAGACTCCGTTCGAATTCGTTTCTGCTTTTGGTACGAAAGCACGCATGAAAAGCAAAAGATCTTCAGGGACCGAAGCACCGAGGGAGCCAACTTATGACTTAAACTGAATGAGGAGAAAGTGGATGTTGTTGACAAGTTGACAAGTTATGAGCCTGAAATCGAGTGCCCGACTTCAGTGCGGCTGCAGTTCCAAGACTGGGTGCAGAAAAAGAGCAATCAATACCTCGGCCTATAAACCTTCAGGTCTTTAGCATGATATTCCTTTGGAATCAGTATACCTACGAAATATCAGGTTGTTCACTTGTGATTTGACGTGCCGCGTTAACCTCTACACAAGAAACCACCTTGTGCTGATCTTTCTATCAAAAGAGTGAAGAGGCTCCCAGGTTATTAGGAAATCAAATATTAGACGCCGATCTAAAAAGAGAAAGATATACACAGAATGATACAGACGTGAAAATGGCCCAAAATAACACTGAAGAGCTTAGTAAAGTTCTAATCAATTCATGATCAAAACTGAATCTGAACTTTCACATCTTAATTTGACTCACGTAAAGATGAATATTTTGTTAGCCCCAAAAACACCCATCCTTAGGACTATTTTAGAGGGAATTTTCAAACAATTAGAGCAAGAAATGACTTTGAAATTGGATTTTACGATGAAAAATAAGAACTCGTTACTACACCCCCCCCCTTACTTACCCCTCTTTTTATTCGTAGGGCATTTTAAAGGAATTAAGAACTCATTTTCAATCAAACATGCAGAAAGTGTAATTTTAAAAACATAAAGATATTCGAACGAAGTGAGATGAAGACGTCAAGTTTGGTCGTAGGGTATGCCACAACTCCCCTTTCAAACTGAAGTCGAGGGAGGACCGTCCCCCGAAAAAATGCTTCGGACCTTTGGACCCGCACACTGAAAATTTCGAAGGTAAAGGAGCGAAAACACGACTTCGAATGAATAAGTCCTACGAAAATCCATCTACTGAAAAGAGTCACTATGCAATGAATATTCGACGACTTTTTGTCTCTTGATGAAAATATACTTGCGTAGAATCCTTTCCACCACGGTCATGCAGCCAATATCATAAGGAACAAGACCGATTTTTTTTTTTTTTTTTCTTTTTTTTTTCCCCCAGAGACTGAACACACTAATTAGAGTACCAGGCGAAAATCTATGATAAAGAGATAGCTTGCAAGCCGAGGTCAAGGATCGTATGAAACGTGAGCTCATTGAATCCAAAAAAGCGCAGAGAACTAAACCGGCCCAATAATGTAGAGCACTTGAGAGAGGTGAAAGAGTTCGCTGGTCGAGCCCCCCCCCCCTTATTGTCATTACGGCCCTTTTTTGGATTTCATTCTGCTGACTGCAGCTCTGAGCAGCGTGAATCCTCTAAATCCATTCCGACGGACTCACTATTCCTTTTCAAAAGCCTGGATTCTTATAGAACTTGAACGGGTAAGGCTGCTGACGAGTCTGACATGGCTGAATAATCATACGGTCATGCGATCTTCACTGAAAAAAAATTCTCGGCGTTTTTACCAAGGTCCGTTGGTACCTTTACCATCTCACTTTTTTTTACCAATTATTGGTAATTTTACCAAGACAGACTGGTAAGCTTACATAAAAACCGGTATTTTTACTGTTCTTTCAGGTAAGAATACCACTTACATTGGTAATCAATTCCCGGTAACTTTGCCATTTTATCTCGGTAATTCTACCACAGTCGATAAAAAATATTGGCGTTTTTACCAAGGTCCAGTAAAATTACCGAGAAGTTCAATAATTTTACCGAGATTTCTCAGTAAAATTACCAATTCCATAAATGGTAATTTTACCAAAAAAAAACTGGGATCGAATAGAACCCTGAATTTTTGGTAATTCTGTCCTTTTCTTGGTAAATACACCAAGATTTTTCAGTGCAGGTAAGGCTGCTAACGAGTCTAACATGGCTGAATAATCATACGGTCGTGCGATCTTGTGTCCAATATTATGCCTCTTCTTGAGCTTTATTCTGATGAACTCACTATCCCTTACAGAATCTTAGAGGTGCATGACTATAATGAATTAATACTGGACAAACCCATCAGTAATAACTCGACAACAAGTCGCTTTTGTTTCCTTCAAATTCAATTCCGAAGACTTAAAAAAGTTCTACAGACATATTTTTTTCTCTCGCGGCGGATCGCAAAACAACCGTTGACGAGAGTTGGCGAACGAATGACTTGAGTACTTGAAGTATGAACTAAAAACACGATGAGAGTTTATTTAAAAAACTGTTGGCAGTAGAAAGTCAATGCTGGGTGGAGTAATATTTACGAATAGTGATCTAAGGGGGCACTTTTCCGTTCCCGAGAAATTGACGGCTAGGATCCTCTCTCCCAGCAGGAAATTTTTAGAGAAAAACACTTGCACATAGCATAGACAAATGCACGGTAATCACTCACAAAGGACATCGGAACGTTCTTAGGAATGTTCCCGAAAATTTTCCCGATTCTGGGCTTTGACTTTTCCGGAAAACTTTGTTCTCTTCTCACAAACTGAGCTAGAGGTGGAATGGTCATCGTTGAAAAATTTACTTCGCAGTAGTAGAGTGTACCAATGTTTTAGTACATCTTTCAAAACCGATAAGTCCAGGGTGTCTACTAAAACAACCTGCCCAAAAATCAGTACTTTTACTGTATTTTTTCAGTACATTCCCGAGAAATTCAGTGCTTTTAAGGTACCTCCATTTTTGACGAAATTCAAAAACTTTAAAAATTTGAATTTCTCTCTCAAATTGCGACAAAAATGGAAAATTCCGGACCTAATAGCGGAATTTCCGCATATTTTCAGTACTTCCGGACCGCGCTTTCAAAATCAGTACTATTTCCGGACTTTCCGGAAATTCCGAACTTGTAGACACCCTGAAGTCATTTCAGAGAATAAGTTGATCTTACCAGTGAATCAGAGCTTGATGTTCCGTTAAGGGCGGCGCTGGGTTCCTTATCCTTGGCGGTGGAACCGAGACTAGATCCGTTCAGGGTCGTGCCGGAGAGGTTGTTGTAGCGCTGAGCGAGCTTGTCCAAAGAAGAAATCCGGTACGGGGATGTGCTTCCGTAAGTTTGTGGGATCGTCGGAGGGGGCACCGGCTTGCCCAGACCCATCCCCACTTTCGACCCCACTTTGAGCGAGGCTGACCCCGAGCCCCCCGAGGGCACCCCGTTCCCACTAACACTACTCATTCCGGATGAGTTCGAGCACTTTCAGGGCGCGTTCACCAACACTGTCATTTTGCCACCGAGGACTTCAAAACGCACGATTGACGTCACAAGAGAGTATATACGTTGTTGCACACTTGATTATGATGTAGGACGACCACCTATGGTTGACAAATAGAGAGGGATGATTAATTTTTGCACCGAGAAAAAAAGACGGTTGGTACGATTTTTCTATTGAGAGGCGAACTGTTCTAGCATCTTGACTCAGTCGTCGGTAACGGGTTTCGAGAACTCACGAGATGTCTGAAAAGAGTGGTCACGAGCACAAGTCGGAGAGCTGATTCAGTGGCGTGGCGTGCTTTGCAATATATCGATTGATCTGTCATTTAATCCTATAGAAAAGGATCGATTAACAGGGTATTCGCAGGGAACACCTTAATGATCGATTCTTTACCACGTATTCAAATGGGGAAATATCGATAATCGATTATTCACGCCACGCCACTGAGCTGATTGTAAGGCTGATTCAAGAGCCTTATCACGATCTGTCACTATGTTGGGTTACAAGAGAGGAGATGCTCATAGACGACTATTGTTTCGTCTGAGCCCAATTCGTATACTGCAGTTCATTGTTTTCGCTGACTAAATATTGACACACATGATGTGTAGAATGCGAATTGATGCCAAAAGCCCAAACATAAAATTAGACGCAGATGATGCCGACGCGGGGGAAAAAATATTGCGGATGGACAGTAATCGCGAAAATTAATGGGTCAGCTACACTTTTAGGGATCATAATGTCATGTAAACACAAACCTTGTGTTTATACGGCGTGAATGAAGTCTAAAATAATCACAATTTTATTTGGCACAACGGTAAACCGGATTGTGTTCTGAAATAAAAGGATTGATGGCGGAAAATGACCCTGTACCTAGGTAATGCGCTGAGTGTTACTTTGTGTTCTTCTGTGTTGATTATGTTGGCATTCCAAGCTTCGATAATTTCAAGAGCAAGTGTCAAAAGTTTCCTTTATGTCGGGAACACGGGCCAACACAACCATCAAGAATTGCAAGAGTGTACACAACAGTCATACAATCTCGTTTTAATGGTTGACTCGTATGTAGATACTCTGAAACCGTCAAAACCAGGTGTCGATAATCAAAATATTAACAGAGACATTTCTCTTTTTTTAAAAAAAAGGGAGGTCAGCGAAATCTATCGTGGAAGTGCGTATCATTTTTTCTACCGATCGGATTTTATTTATAAGCGCTGCGCACACTTTCATTAGATGATCCCTAACTTTCCCTGCTTTCACAGGTTTTTCTTAACTGCGGTGGCCCCAAAATGTTAATTACTTATCGAGAGGTTTGAAGAGCCCCGGCCCTGGATCGTTCATTAAATACGAAAGAGGAAATCTGGACGGTAAAAAGTGCAAGGAGATTCAAGACGCCGCGAACCAAAGCGAGTGCACTGAAACTGAACTTGCGCTAAAAACACTGGATTGACCCGGGTGCAGTCATCTGTGCCCGATGGCGATGGACAAAACAATGCCAGACCATAAATAAACACTTAATCTCCATTTCCAGGACTTGAGCCGTGACTCATTGATTAATCGATGGCTCCTTCAAGATCTCGGGCTCTGAGGTCTCCACTAATTTCTCTTTATTTCCAGTCGATGGGATGGCCAGACTCCTCGACCGAAATGCCAACTGCCGCGGCCGACCGCTGATAAATCAACTAAATCCATTTTACGCTCTTCGAATTCGACTTTTGTTTACGTCTCTTCCGGCACAGTGCTGCCGTGCTCAGGAAAAACGCCGTATGCGCATTCAAGAGTTGCCAAATTTCTCAGGATAAAACCTGGTTTTTTAAGGAAAGTTATGCTTATTTTCCCTTGAAATTTTCTGCAGATATTTCAGAGAAAACTGCGTACAAAATTGTCTGAAAATTTTTGGGAAAAAATACTCACAAATTTCCAAGCATTTTCGGTTTTTAACGAAGCTAAACTTGGCAACGTCAAAAGGCTCATACGACGTTCTTCCTTAGCACGGCAGTGTGGTGCCTGGATACGAAATGCACCGAGCCTAAACCACTTATGAGCAGCCATGGCAGTGGCCTGGCCATGCCCAACTCGTTTTCCATCAACTTGTCATTGATGATCCGGGGTGCACAGAATTCCTGACCACGACCAGCGGTGCATCATTTGAATCCATATCGATTCGATAAGACAAGTCATAGCTCTATCTTAACCACACAATATATCGCATTTCAATGTCTTATCGTGCTGCTTATAACTTTCAATCATCAGCCCGCAGGTTGTCGTCAAAAACTTAAAAAATGGAAAGTCTGGTTCGCGTTGGAACGAAAATTAAGTTTTCCGCAAAACGGCGGTAAAAATCGCGTGTTTAAGGGCGAAATGCTGTCATCATGGTAAACATCATTGAGGAAAATAAGACATTCGCTTTGAAAAATGGGAGGGTTTAGGCCTTGTCACATCCCTGAATGAAGTACAAAAAATTATGCAAGAAAAACCTAAACAAGTGATCGTTCAGAATTCGACATTTTTTATCAATGGATTAATTGAGTAAATCATTACAGAAACGCGGTGTGAAATCCGGTTTATTACCCGCAGTTATACCTACAGTATAGTAATTCTTTCAATGGTTAGACTTATCTTCATGACAGTTTATCCCTTTCATCCTCATCTATTCGCGGGACAATCATTGACGTGATTAGAAGAATGCAGCATCGACGCCAACACACGGTTATTAAATGACAACTGGTGCAAAAGAACTTAAGTTATTACAGGAGTTAAAATAGTCCCGAGAGAAATTAAACTTGGTGATAAAATCTAAGAGAGACGAAACCTTAGAGTTAAAATCTACGTATACCTATTTTACCATTGATTTCCCTTAAATATGAACTAGATCATGAAACTTTCTCCAGAACTTCACGCGGCACGTCAGATCGCTAATAAGCGTAAATTTGGATGACTCCAATTAACCAAAATCCGTCAANTCGCGGGACAATCATTGACGTAATTAGAAGAATGCAGCATCGACGCCAACACACGGTTATTAAATGACAACTGGTGCAAAAGAACTTAAGTTATTACAGGAGTTAAAGTAGTCCCGAGAGAAATTAAACTTGGTGATAAAATCTAAGAGAGATGAAATCTTAGAGCTAAAATCTACGTATACCTATTTTACCATTGATTTCCCTTAAATATGAACTAGATCATGAAACTTTCTCCAGAACTTCACGCGGCACGTCAGATCGCTAATAAGCGTACATTTTGATGACTCCAATGAACCAAAATCCGTCAACCGGCATCAATTTACTGACAATGAGTCCAACAGAAAAAAGGCTATAACTTGGAATGCGGGCAATAGGAAAAGAGACGCCATGCCTCGATCGAAAGCGCAATCGAAAGCAAAAGAAGAGACACGACGAATTCAAAGTTTATTGAAGTCTGACGATTGTTGCGCCTCCCTTATTAAGTTGCCCTCCCCTGTGCCGTCAGATTGAACGATAAGACTACCACTATGCGTAGTAGGAGAGCGAAAAGGTGGTGAGTTACGACGATTTGTCAACTATGGGGGAGTCTCCTTGGGGCCCGGTCATAACCCCTTGAAAGTAATTCCTCACAGTTTAAAGAACATCCTGACAGANCTACATTCGATCTACAGTTCGACTTTGTGCGATAAAATATTTCATATTGTTTTAGAGCACATATAAGGCTCAGATCAGTCCATACTTTTCTTTTTGATTTTACGAAGATTCTGAATAAAAAATGCAAAAGTTAAAGAAAGAAAAAGGACGTTATGTGCTCCTTCAAGGACTTTCCATTCACGAATGTAGCGTTTGTTGCAAAGAGCGAGCGAACCGCTTGGGCTCCTACAAAACTACAAGAGGTTCACATACACACATGCAGTGAATGTTGTATCACTCGTTTATGAAGGGGCCCACATTCGATTTTCAGTAAAGTATAATTTTTAATTTTCTTTTACGAGTAATAAGAAAATTTGGTTCAACAAGTTTAAGACTTTGGCCGGATTCTTTACCCCTTAGAATCTGAAAGTTTTTTGGGGTTTTTTGTAGTTTGAGTCCAACAGAAAAAAGGCTATAACTTGGAATGCGGGCAATAGGAAAAGATGACGTCATGCCTCAATCGAAAGCGCAATCGAAAGCAAAAGAAGAGACACGACGAATTCAAAGTTTATTGAAGTCTGACGATTGCTGCGCCTCCCTTATTTTATGTACAACCCTGTGCCGTCAGATTGAACGATAAGACTACCAACTATGCGTAGTCGGAGAGCGAAAAGGTGGTGAGTTACAACCATTTGTCAACTATGGGAGAGTCTCCTTGGAGCCCGGTCATAACCCCTTGAAAGTAATTCCTCACAGTTTAAAGAACATCCTGACAGACTTCTAAAAATACTCCCTTCGGCCGTGGAGGTGGAAGACCACGCTTTGTTGCTGGCGGATGATTTACCTACCCGGAGCGGAAGCGCGTTTCTAAACATTTCTCGGAATGCAAGTGCTTTCGACTTACGCTCGAGGTGAACTAAGCTCCATCACTTTTGGACTAATTTCGTTCCAATTTATTTGATCAAAAATCCATTATTTAGAAAGGAGATGTTGCATGTGTGAGGGATTTGCGATTTGACTGTTGTTTCTTATGTAAAAGTTCGCGAGAACACATTGGTGCCACTGGTTTTCTCTGAAATCATCTCCCAAGCTCAAAAAAAGCTCTCAAAGTGAGGCCAAAATGGAGGGGATATCCCACCCTACCCTGAGAGTCCACCTTTACATCAAAACAAACTCTCCATGCAAAGATAGGGAGCAAATACATTAGCAGGGCTGCCACTTTATTTGGGGACTCCAAAACTGAAAACACGGCATCACTGCTGATGTATTTGCTCCCTATCTTTGCATGGAGAGTTTGTCTTGATGTAGACGTGGACTCTCAGGGTAGGGTGGGATAGCCCCTCCATTTTGACCTCAACTTGAGAGCTTTTTTTGAGCTTGGAAGTTGATTGTAGAGAAAACCAGTGGAACCATCGTGTTTCTCACGAACTTTTACTTAAGAATCAACGATCAAATCACAAATTCCTCACACATGCAACATCTCCATTATGAACTTTCTTTGGGGATCGGG